GACAACCAAACTAAGTACACTAACGTCAGATTTCACATCATGATCACAGAAATATTTTGAACCACAATGCAACTACATCAACTCCAATTAGTTTTAAGTTTTTTATCAATCATAGGCTGACGTCGTTGAGTCGACTGGAGAAGGTACCGGATTTCGGAATGAAGTTTCTGAAGACCACAGGCATAGAATCGGTGTTGTCCATGGTCTCGAGATGAATGTCGAGGAGGCAGCTGACTTATACGGCTCTCAGTCTTCTACTTCTACTGATGTGGATAGTCACGAACGTGTAGCTGGTGGCGGAGTTGATGTAGTGACCTCGTTCGCCGAGGAGCAGAAGGGAAAACTGAACGCAGTACTGTGAATTTTTACTTTTTGATGCATTGACTCTACTCTTTTGTTGGCTTTTTTCATCATTCAGGTTGATGAAGAAGAAGATTTTTTAGCTACTTAGTACAACGTCATCTATCAACCACGAGCGACACTTTTATCACTCACAGGTTGACGCAGATGCTGAGTCTACCGCAGAAACAAGTGCTGGATTGAGGAAAGAGGTTGCTGAAGACGGTCACAACAGTGATGTGGTCCGCGGTGTCGACGCGAATGACGTGGAAGACAAGCTTCAGTACCACTTCAACTTCTACAACAACAGCCAGTCTTTGTACAACTTTTACAACTACAACAACACGAACCAGTGGCCGAGCGCGAGCACGAGTGGCCCTGTTGTGAGCTCGTTCTTTGAACCGGTGAGCGTGATAGCTCAGCCTTCATGGCCAAGCGAAAATGAAGGTGCGTACGACGTTATATTATTCGAAGCCGGAGAGTTTGAAATTTCATCGAACTACCAGAACGAACATTACACACCCAAACGCACCGAAGCTACACGAGCAGAGCGCACTCGTGTCCTCTTCCAAGCCTATGAGTCGTACGAAACGGTGTTGGGAGCCATGAGACAAGATATGAAGAACCCTTTGCTGGACCAACTTGGTGCAAAACCATTACATAATCATGCAGACAAAGATGAATGGAAGGCGTTCGTACGAAGTGATAGTCTCGACAGCTGGTTGGAACTCGTTCCAAGTTCGGGAGAGGCAATTACAGAGAGGTTTGGGCGTTTCCGCATCACCAAAACGATCATCAATGAAGAACAATATGACTTACCCTTCGCAGGAGAACAAGAAGTAGTTGCAGCACAGAAAGCGTGGTGGCCTCATTTGTGGTCCACGAAGACTAGAGAAGTTATTGAAGCAGAGTATGCGGACATAAGAAGACAAAATGAGGCGCTAATCATGCGGCGGCAATCAGCGTGGAGTCTGCAGCTTGTGCGTTTCGTCGACTATGGCGCACCAGAAGATCAAGCTCAACCTCTCTTTCCACTCGCCTTCATCGTAGGAGTACAAAAACCCAAGGGACCTTCAACTCGTAATAACAAATATCTCTGGTTTTATCCCAGAGCTTTAATCTATTTGACCGAGCCTCCGAAAGACTTCATCTTTACCCATTTCTTCCACGCCTCTGCTGCACCTGCGTATAGTGCTCTTACTTCCACATCTCAACTGCCCACATCCGGTGAAAAAGAGAGAAAGATGAAGGAAGGAGTGCTGCAACTCATGACCGCCGTGATGAACGATTTTCGGTGGCCAACGTTGGCTGAAGGGGATGAATCTAACAACAACAATAACAACAATGATGTGCGACGAGAAGGCTTAGCCTTCTTTTTGAGGGATCTAGCAGCAGAGATGATGAAGACCTTCAAAACACCAGGATACGAATACTCCGTGAAATTGTTTGCAGTCCCAGAGCTAATTGAATCTTCCGAACAACTCAGAGGAGCTGAAGTAGCTAGATCAACGCACTATCAGCTTTTCCTTGGCAAGGCGTTTGAATCGTACAAAAAAATGTTGGAAAACACGGACCACCCGTGGTACCACGTAGCGACGCCACTTGCTGATAGTGATCACGCTTCGATGAAAAAATTCGTGGAACGTGACTTCTACCGCGATGATGACGAGGAGCAACATTCTTGGGTGGACAAGGATCCAACTTATTCAAGACTAGATGAGTCGCGTGGTCGCTTCCACATCACCAGAGGAAACTTCATCGGAGGCACATCGAAATTACCCTTCAATGACGAAGAACTACCTGGAAGACATGCACATCCAGCTTGGTGGTCTCACTTGTGGTCGCATACGACTAGAAGAACAATTGAAGATGTCTTTGAGCGCGCACAAGAATCCGCGTCGAAGAAGACAATAGGCACTTTCAGTTGGAAGCTGCAACTTGTTCGGTTCCTCGACAGATCCACGTCAGCGAACCCCTTTGCTTTTCCACTAGCTTTCATCCTAGGAGCACGACACGTTGGGAGCGGCGATAGTCGCAATGGCAGATTTTACTGCAGAGCTCTAATCTATCTAACCGCACCTTCGAGGCAAGATGCAGTTTCAGAACATGGACTAGACGGCATTAGTGAGGATAAGAGTACGCCAGGCAACAAGAACATGGTATTTTTCGAACTCCCAAATTTAGCAAAACCACTTGGTGAAGGTGTAGTTGACGTCACGACAGGGACTTCGAAAGACCACCCGAGGCTAAGCACACAAAATAAGACTTTCTTCGTCTCAGTGACACATACAAGCCAAGCAGACAAATTAATATAGATTCTATCAATAACAACATCCAGATCCACATCAACTTTTTTTCTTCCAGCTGTAGTGTTCGTATCTGATGAAGATCCTCTACTCCTTCTCCATATTTCAGATTGCAGTACTACCGACTGGTATGGCTGATTTTAGCGATGCGAATACGATAACAAAAGGATACCATTACGACATGGCATTTTTCGGATATCCAGATTCATTTGGAGCAGGTGACGCTCCGACCTCTCGAGATCAACCCGCTGCCTATTCGCAGGTCCTTCTCACGGCGTACGACTCGTACGACAACATGTTGAAGAGCATAGACATCCAGGAGTCCCAAGTTGCGGGTCTACTACTTGACGATGATCGAACCGCATTAGAGACGTTTATGCGGAGCGCTGACGGTTTCGGAAAGTGGGTGCAGATTTCTGGTGATCAAAATTGGCCGGCGATTCTAGAGGACAGCGTGCGATTCCGTATGATCAGATCGGAGGTTACAAGCGAATCGAAATCGCTCTCGGATAAAGAGGGAGAACATCTACCAATACCACTTGACGAGTGGTGGGCTCACTTGTGGCGGATGCCTGGAGATGCTAAAGACGAGTTCGAAACAGTGTTTAAGACCGCAAAGGAATTTGCTGATCGTGCTGAATCTTCCACGAATGTTCTAAACTGGAAGGTGTATCTTATTCGGGTCTTGGACTATAGCGGACCTAGATTCAACACCGCCTTTCCATTCGCCTTCATGTTAGTAGCAATAAACAGACATGCTACTTCCGATGATCAAAGTGGCGTCTTTCATTGCATAGCCATAATCCGTCTAGAAAGAACGAAAATGCCTGAAGTTTGACCCCATTGATTACGCACAAACTCTTCATGTTATCGGGGAATTCCATTGATTTTGTTGTTGAAAAAAATGCGCTTCCACCCACTTTCCGTCTTGTCCCCGTCCCCTTGCGCATAATTTTGATGATCATCATGCTACCGCTACCCATACACTTGAGATCGGTATTTTTGCTCAGCGTGTTGGTGTTTCTCTCCATAGTGATGAGCGTGTTGTCCTCTCGTCAACATTATGATTCATTGTATGATGCTCAAGATGTTGTTGTGTAACAGTTAATGTTGGTCATTTTCAAGTAGTTGCCGCGAGGTTGAACATGAAGTGCAAGCAACGTCGATGGAACCAGTAAAAGAACTTCTGAGGTCAAGTGGCTAAAGCAAGTGGTCACTCCAACAAGGTTTTCCTGACAGGTTGTACGTATAGATACTTTTTTCTAGCCTGCATTTGCTTTTCGGACGATATTTTTACGACGTAGGTAGACACCTTCAGGTCAAAACAACTGCCTAATTTCACCGAAGAGGAAAAAATGTCGTGAATGACAAGTAAAAGCAATAGAAGTATTCAGAGCAACTACTTCGCACCAACATTGGCACTTTTTACTAAAAAATGAAACTACATGATTATGTACACAAAAAACAGAAGCAGTAAAATGCGTCCTTCTCTGCTCTATTTCTGTCCCTTCGTGCCATGTCTTGTCGTGGCAAAGCTTACGGAGGTGGACGAGCATGGCAATAACAACGTGATGGTTGACAAAGATTACATCAAGAATGTTGAAAGCACGCGACGAAGAAAAGGGCAGAGCTATAATGATACGCGACGAAAAATGTTCGAGGAGTCCTTGTTGATCGAACCGGCCCAAAGGTCGTCGTCGGAAGGGTCGTTCGCTCAAGCCGATCATGTGGACACTCAACAAGAACGTGTAGCTGGTGGCGGATCTGATGTGGTCGTGAGCTCGACGTTTGCCGAGAAGAAGGGGAACGAGGTGAAAGTTAATGCGGTAAGCAATTTCACTTTTTTCTTTATTTGATACAAAGATGAGCAACAACAACAAGAAATCACTCTTCTGTGTGATATTAAATTACGTTGATTACAAAGAATCTTTATCAATCCCTGGCCTTGCGGCAAGCACGCAGCACCTACTAGAGTGCCCTGCGCTCCAGGCTCTAGTAGAGGCCCACGGAGTCCCGGCGAATGTTGGGGTGGCTGCGTCGAACCCGAAGCGGCTAATCCCATACCTTCGCGACTTAGCGACCAGCTTCGGCGGTGCGTTCTTGCGAGCGCAGCCGCCACACCTCCAGTGAAGACAAGGGGAAACGAGTAGCGGCCGCTGTGGTAAGCCCATCGCTGCCCGCTACGATAGGACGGGGGCCGAGATAGGTGGTGGCGAACAAAGAACGAGCAGGGAGGAGACAAGAAAGGAAGCACGCGAAGACAAAAAAGAACGAAGACAAAACGAGAACGCGAAGAACAGTGCACGCAGGCCGCAAAAACGTCAACCAAACCCGGACGCGCCTCACCGCCAGGCGCTACCTACGCGCAGTCGCCGCCGCCTGCTGCACGCCGCGCCTGGTATGCCACAAAAGCCGCAGCTGGCGGGGACTGTGGCGACCAGACATACCATAGTCGATCGCAATGACGACCATAGCACTACACACACAGAGCACAAAGAAATCCGGCGGGATCGTACGCGTCGCCCGGAGCGCATCAAAACAAACAAACAAAGATGATTGAATTGTAATGTCATGATGTTACATTAGATCAACACAAATTTTTTTTGCGGACGCATTAAGTAGTTTCTTTATCATTTTTGCAGTTACTTCAGATTATTACTATTATTATTATTATTATTATTATCAGACGTTTCATTAGATCAACACGAATTATTTTTGAGGACGCATCGAAGTCGAACATTTTAGCAGCTACTTCACCTTCATATCATTCAGGTTGGCGCTCATTCTTCTGCTGATGTGGACAGTCAGGAACGTGTAAGTAGCTGGTGGCGGACTTGATGTGGTCGTGACCTCGTTCGCCGAGGAGCAGAAGGGAAAATCGAACACGGTAGGTACTGTGAAGTTTTACTACTTTTTTCTTCATTTTGATGAGTTGATTCTGTTCTGTCTTTTGTTGGACCTTCATGTGCATCATAGTACTTTTTTTATCATTCATGATTCAGGATCAGGTGGAAGAAGATTATTTGGCTAGTACAACTTCATCTATCAACCGCGAGCGACACTTTTATCACTCACACCAGGTTGACGCTGAAGAGTCCTCGACCAGAGAAAGTGCTTTATTGAGGAAAGAGGTTTCTGAAGACGGTCACACCAATGATGTGGGCCTTGGTGTCGACGTGAATGACGAGGAAGACAAGCCTACGCACCACTACAACTTCAACTATAGCTACCAGTCTCTCCACAACTTTTACAACTACAACAGCACGAACCAGTGGTCGAGCGCGGGCGATCCTATCGCGAGCTCGCTCTTTGAAGGGCGAGGTTTGATAGTTCAGCCAGAAGAGCGACTCAGCGAGGAACAGGAGAGAACGGCTTTCGCTGATCAAGAGATCACTAATGATGAGGCAAGCACTTTTGTTGACTTTAGCGTGGTAAAACAGAAAAGTGGGTCCGAGAACGCAGCCCTCAAAGGAAAGGAGGACATTGGAAAGATCATCGATCTGCAAGCAGACATCGTCACTGACGTCGACCAGGTCTTAGAAATGCTAGAAAATCTACAGCAGCAAAAATATGCACCTGCATCTTCTTCAACTTCGACGGCAGGAGTAGAGGAGCACAAATTATCATCACCAAAGGAGGATGAAGACACTAGAACAAATACAGCACAGCACCTCATGAGGGAAGAGATGGAGAAGCTTAGCCTTGAGTGGCCAGATTTTGCTCGCGAACAAGAAGAGGATGCGCAACGACAACAATTACCCTTCTTATTGAGGGATCTAGCAGTAGACATGATGAAGACTTTGAAAACAAAAGGGTACGCGTACGGCGTAAAATTCTTTGCCCTCCCGCCACCATTTTTACAGGATTCGTACATGGGCCTTTCTCGAGCTACATCAGACGACGACCAGATCGTGCAAAAATACCTTAGCGAGGGCTACAACTCATATAAGCAACTGTTGCACCAGGTCAAGGACATGGCAGAGTTGTACAATTTTCCGGGTCCAATAACACGGGATGCTAACAACGATGTTGAGGATTTCGTGCGTCGTAGATTCAGATTCTGGGTTAATGATTATCCACGCGACGAAGAACTTGACAAGCGTCTTGAGCGTTTTCGCGTCATCAGAACTGATGTCAGTAAGATTAAAGAGTCTGAGTCTGACCACACAAGGACGTTTTTGCCCTTCGATAGCGTACCACACGGACATGAATCGTGGTGGCCTCTATTGTGGGACGCTGCTACTAAAGCAAAGATTGCACAATTGTATCAGGACGTAGATGAGGAGATGAAGACGCTCGAAGACAGGGATAAAGACACTAAGTGGAAACTACAAGTTGTTCAGTTTCTCGACTACGAACAACCAAAACCTGGATCTCCCATTCCACTAGCCTTCATCTTAGGTGCACAAAAGCTAGTCAGACTGTCCAGGACCACTGTAGTTAAATTTTTTTGCAGAGCTATCATCTATCTAAAGGCACCGTCACCCCCTCCATCTCCTCAGGCCAACGAGATCGTGTAGCTACTCATTGAACCCCAAACTCAAGAAATTTTTATGTTGTTGATGAGGCCCGTTGATTGTCTTGTCCCCGTCCTTCTCCTTGCGCATAATTTTGATGATCTTGCTACCCCAAGATTGGAGATGTAAACCACTTAATAACGTGTACGTGTTCCTCTTCCTCTGCATATTGACCGTGTTCTTCTCATCATGGATGTTGTTGTAAAACATTGCTTGGAGTGGGATATGTGGGATATTAGTTAATGAAATAGCAGTCCGAGTGCAGAAAAAAAGAGCCTGGAACCGAAGAAAGGAGGGTGGAAAAACTGAGCTGGTGCTCACATCAGTCTGCACAAGGAATATGTGGTCAAGAAGAACGTATTATTTCCTACTTACACTCACCAAACTACTGAAACAGAAACTAAGTTAGTATGTATATACATATAGTTAAACCAGCTTGACTACAAAAGCTTCAATCCATTTGGGGATTTGGCTCTCTCGCTCTTTGATATAAGACAAACAAACGAAACCCACTCACCAAAGAACTGAAACAGAAACGAAGACTAACTAATACAATAAACAGACGAACAATAGTAAAATGGCAGCTGAAGAGGATGTTGTAGCTGCTGCAAATAGACTATTATTTCCACGTGGTCCCTGTGGAAGTGCCACAAGTAAGCACAAGAAGTAGACGTTTTTCACGACAGAGAGTTAATTTGATATGGTTACAGGAGCTCCTGAGGACCAGGAGACGAACTTACTACCAGTACCAGTCATCTTTATATTGCCTTACCGCTGTTGTAGGTGTTGTAGCTGAATTACCAGTTTTTATACTCTACTCCTCCACAGTAGCTGAAAATTTCGCCGAGTCATTTTGCATTACCTGCTAGAAAAAAATGTCCTGGTTGAAGACCTTCACGGAGAGCGTGAAGCTCGTTTCTCAGGATGTTGCCCACATGGCAGAAGACATTGTCGGAAAGGCTGGCGAAAGCTTGCGTAAGATGGCACAGACCGATGACGTTGCCAGTGTGGAGGAGGCAGCTTGTAGTGTACGTGATTTGGGAGGTGCCATACTCATGCTCCAGGGATGGAATCAGTTATGAACTACTGATATGCTAGGATGCCGATGCTGCTACTGGTGGTCGCGGGTAATATAGATTAGTATTTCTCTCATCAGTATTAGCATTACTCACATGCAGCTAGTAGAATGGTGTACGTAAATGTAATAATCGTGTATGTGTAGATGAGAGAGAATGTGTACTAGATCATGTAGTCGCAGTTCTAGTTGCTTTTGAGGGACGAGAGGTAGTTGTAAAGTAAATGTAAGTAGTAGTACCGCAAATTACATGCTCATTCTGCTCTTACTAATGCTCATTCTTCCACCACTTCTTGAAGATTCTAAAGTCAGATCTGAACAAGAAGATAGGGCAGATATCAGACGAGAGACTGATGGAGCATGGTGTTGGTGCTACGCCAACGAAGAGGGACACGTCGTTTGTGGGAGAGGAGAAAAGCCCTTCGACCTTGGCTATCGAAGAAGATCGAGGTGGTCAACAGGAGCACGACGCGTCTATTGTGCTAGAACATCAACAAGGAACAACTACTACTACCACTACTGGACATCAAGGAACACAAGGAACTACCGGTCATGATCTATGAGCAGTTGTTGGAGAAAGTAGTGCGACAGGTGGGGTAGCAGGAGCAACAGTCGTCAATTACGCGCGTAGTTCCAAAGAGCAGGGAGCTTCTACTAGACCGAAATTATTCGGAGAAACATCGGCAGCCGATCAGTCTGCAGTTTTGGGCTCGTCCGGTGTTATTGGTGCGGCAGCTTCTTCTGGAACCGCAGGAGCAGGAGGTGCCCCACAGAAATCCCGCAAAACGGTGGCTTTTCTTACGTCTGTAGGCAATCACTTTTATCTGGTCCTGGTGTGGATCATCACTCTGATAATTGAGTTGTCCGCGACCTGATGGCTACCGAGTACAGACCGTCTGTCCAGCATTTAGAAGACCAGAAACAGCCAATATTCTACGACAAGATGGAACCTTTACTGAAGGAGTAGGTGGAGGTGCTGGCACAACCACCGGCACCGCATCCCCCTCTTCTTCCTTGTCTTCTGGAGGAGGTGCAACAGCCAGCACCACGACAAGAACTGGTATTGCTGATGCAGAAGCAGGAGGAGCTGGTGCAAATGCCTCTACTTCTAGTATAGCAGGAGGAGCGTCAGGTGCAACAATAACAACCTCAGGAGGAGACGGCGAACTAGATCTGAGAAATCCAGCGCTTTACAGCAAGTTCGACCAAGATGGATTTCCGACCCACGATAAGAACGGAGAAGAATTGACCAAGAACCAGTATAAGAAAGTGCGCAAGCTGATCGAACAGGAGCGCAAGAAACAAGCGAAGAAGAAGTAAAGTAGATGTGAGAAGATTATTAGTTCGTCGTGATGAGGTCGTGGTAGAAGTAGAAAATTCTTGTGACTTCTACGCGAAATGGAGTTTTTTACGTAATATCTTGCGACTGGCACAGCAACACAACAGGTGCTATTCGTCCTTGACATGAAGAAACTACGAAACCCGTGCTTCTTCAGATTGAGACCCAGAGGCCCCTTCTGAATTTTGTTGCCTCTTATACTATTTACAGTACTTAGACGTTGATGCCGTAAATCCAAGCCCAAGTAGACTGGTCGAGGTTACAGTTGTACTTAAACCTTGATGCCGTAAATCCAAGTAGACTTGGCGAGGCTGGAGCTTTCCTTGTGTTCGGTGTAGTTCCTCGTTCAGTTCAAGATGACGAGGTTGGAGCTTTCCTTGTGTTCGGTGAAGTAGATCAAGATGACCGCAGCTCAAGAATCCGAAGCGAAAGATCACAGATCCATCTGAATCTTGGAGAAAGAAATAGGAGATGAGTAACTCCTAGACTATAACTACAACGAAAAGGAAATATTGGGATTACTATTGAGGATGAAATACAAGAAAAGATCTAAGCACGAAGTACTTGTGCTTGTGCTCAGTATCTTGCAAACCTAAGGAGCGCCGCGGCCGTTATTGTTCTCGGACGCGGCCTTGTTAAAAACTCAAAATGCGTTATTTGCTCTATCTCTCTTGTTTGGCGCCATGTCTTGTCGTGGCAAGGCTTGCGGAGGTGGACGAGCATGGCAATACCAAGGTGGCTGACGAAAAAACAGCGACCAAGAAAAGCAGGCGGCGAAGAAGAAGGCATGGCTATGGTACGCCACGAGAAATGTTCCAGGAGGCCTTCCTCGAATTGGTGCAAAGCTCGTCGTCGGAAGGGGTCGCTCAAGACCATAATTAAGGCTCAATATATTTCATTTGATTTCTACAAGTCGTTTCTCCCTATTTCGTTCTTAGGATGGAAAGAAATGTAGGCAAGAAATGAATTGTTTTGAGCTCTAACATAATCAACATTACAAAGCTGTCCGCCGTCACACGCCCGCAGAAAGTAGTGATCTTGACTCGTATAGCACTCAGTCTCCTGATAGTGTGGATATCCAGTCTCCCTCTCCTGATGATCATGTGGATACTCATACTCAACAACAAGAAGAAGAAGATCGAACTGATGTGGTCGTGAGCTCGACATTTGCCGAGAAAAAGGGGAACGAGATGAAAGTTAGCGCGGTAGGCAGTTTTTGTTTTTTTGTTTTATATTTGTAGTGGACCGACTAATAGAATAGTTCTCTCACAATCTTCGTGCATACATTTTTACTTGTGATGCATAGAGATAGATGAGCACAACTCTTTCGTTTGATATTAATCTATCACATCACAAAACACAGATGATGATGAAATTGAAAATGAATTGCAATGACGCTACATTAGACGACCAAGAACACAGAGTGTTTGGGACGCAAGTTCTAGTTTTTTATCATTCAGGTTTACGCTCATGCTCAGGCTGATTCGGTTTCGGCCGCAGCAGGTTCCGGATTTCGGAATGAAGTTTTTGAAGACCACAGTGATAACAGTGTCGTCCAGGGTCTCGAGACGGAGTATATTGAAGCAGCTGAATTATCGCACAACCCTCAGTCTTCTGCTGATGTGGATAGTCAAGAGCGTCTAGCTCCTGGTGGCGGCGCCGATGTCGTGAGCTCGTTCGCCGAGGACAAGGGAAAAGTTAACATTACGGTAGGAGTTTTCATTTGTCTTTGTTCATTAGAGTTTGATCACCACCAACAACTTTGCCGGTAGAGGAGGACAACCAAACTAAGTACATTAACATCAGATTTCAGATCATGATCACATGATTATTTTGAACCACATTGCAACATCAACTCCAATTAGTCTTTTATCAATCATAGGCTTATGTCGTTGAGTCGACTAGAGAACGTGCCGGATTGAGGAACGAAGTTTCTGAAGACCACAGGCATAGAATTGGTGTCGTCCAGGGTCTCGAGACGGAGTATATTGAAGGAGCTGAATTATCGCACAACCCTCAGTCTTCTGCTGATGTGGATAGTCAAGAGCGTCTAGCTCCTGGTGGCGGCGCCGATGTCGTGAGGTCGTTCGCCGAGGACAAGGGAAAAGTTAACATTACGGTAGGAGTTTTCATTTGTCTTTGTTCATTAGAGTTTGATCACCACCAACAACTTTGCCGGTAGAGGAGGACAACCAAACTACATGGACATCAGATCATGATCACAGAAATATTTCGAACCACATTGCAACATCAACTCCAATTAGTTTTTTATCAATCATAGGCTGATCCTGGCGTGGATGAGTCGACTGGAGAAGGTACCGGATTTCGGAACGAAGTTTCTGAAGACCACAGTGATAACAGTGTCGTCCAGGGTCTCGAGACGGAGTATATTGAAGGAGCTGAATTATCGCACAACTCTCAGTCTTCTGCTGATGTGGATAGTCAAGAGCGCCTAGCTCCTGGTGGCGGCACCGATGTCGTGAGCTCGTTCGCCGGGGACAAGGGAAAAGTTAATATTACGGTAGGGATTTCGATTTCCATTTTTCTTTGTTCCTTAAATTCTGATCACCACCAACAACTTTGACGGTAGAGGATGACAACCAAACTAAGTACATTAACATCAGATTTCAGATCATGATCGCAGAAATACTTATTTTGAAAGACAATGCAACGTCAACTTCAATTAGTTTTTTATCAATCATAGGCTGATCCTGGCGTGGATGAGTCGACTGGAGAAGGTACCGGATTTCGGAACGAAGTTTCTGAAGACCAGAGGCATAGAGGTAGTGTTGTCCATGGTTTCGAGACGAATGTGGAGGAGGGAGCTGGCTCGTATATCCCTCACTCTCCTGATGTGGGTATTCACGAACATGCTGTAGCAGCTGGTAGCGGAGTTGTTGTGGAGAGCTCGTTTGCCGAGGGGACGGAGAAAGAAAACATTGTAGCAAAATTCACTTTCCTTATTCAAATTTATGCTTACACCACAGAAGTAGAAGAGGACATTGACAAAGACAATTGTGATTACATGGGATCATCACAGAAGTATCATACTGAGCTTGAACAACCACGACGCAGGTGGTTTTTTGTCTTTCAGGGTGCAGATCATTTATCCACTTCACTTAACAACGAGAACGACACTACTGCCATTCAGGTTGACGCTCACGCTGCGTCGACCGAAGAAAGTGCTGGATTGAGAAAAGAGGTTTCTGAAGACGGTCACAACAATCGCGTAGCCCGTGGTGTCGACGTGAATGAAGAAGAAGCTAAGCCCAAACACAGCATCAACTATAAGTACAACCAGTCTTTCCAGAACTTTGACAACTACAACAACACGAATCAGTCGAGCACGGGCGATTCTATCGTGGGCTCGTTTTTTGAAGGGGGGAGCTTCATAGTTCAGCCGAAAGAGCGGCTCAGCGAGGAAAAAATGGCTTTCGCTGATCAAGAGATCACCAATGATGAAGCGAGCACATTTGTTAACCTTAGAGTTGATAAAGTTAAAGTGGAGAATAAAAGAGTCACAACGTCGGTCGCGGCAGACCAAGTTACATTCCCAAAGAACTTCGTCAGCAGGAGCCTCATCAGCCTCGAGGATGTTATCGATCTTTTACAAAATCTACAGCGACAGCACGAGAATACGAATACGCATGGGAACGAGATGAAGATCACCTCTGATAACGGCAAGCAGGTAGGGCACGAAGGGCAGGTAGTCAATTCGATTTTGCTTGTGATATCATTTATTAATATCACCTGTGACGAGATTATTGATAATCATGTCATCATACTACTTTTCTTTCGTTCACTCCGTCGTGTGAAATATCTTGATACTTTTCATCTAAATCTATGAACTACAGGTCAGCACTTCTTCGACCTCTGGCGCTGCTGCATCGGAGGAAGCTAGAACTGCTGCACCCAAGGAAAAAGTGCTGCAACTCATGGGGAAGATGATGGACGAGGTTGTTCCACCTAAATTCCCAGAGTTTGCTGAAGTGGGTGGGTCTTCTGCCGAGGATGACGACAAAAACAACGAGAAGCAACGACAACAATTAGCTTTCTTTTTGAAGAATCTAGCACTAGGAATGATGCAACGTTTGAAAACAAAGGGATACTCGTACTCCACAGCATTTTTTGACCTCCCATCACCATTTAGACATGACGAGGACCACCCACTCGCTGTAGTTCGAGCAAGCGACATCCGCGTTGTACAGTACCTTCTCGAGGCCTACACCTCATATGCACAATTGTTGAAGGACGACGAGGACGACACGATGTTAGCAGCGTACAAGCTTCCTCGGGCAATAGAACGCGAGAGTAAAGAAGCGTATGAGAACTTCGTGGGATTGCCGGATGACAATTTCATCCACACCTGGCTGGAACAGAATTATGGCAAGCAAGATGTAGAGAAGGTGGAATCCAAGGACCGTTTCAAGTTCGTCAGAACGGATGTCGACGCGATCCCAACGTCGAGACACACAAGAAGCAAATTACCCTTCATGCAAGTACCTTCCGGATACGAGTCGTGGTGGCCTCTATTGTGGACGGATGACACTAAAAGAGAAACTGAGCGTGTGTATCAAGCCGTGTTCGACGAGATGGAGAATCTCAAAATTTCGGATGTACCTTCTACCTGGAAACTACAAGTTGTTCAGATTCTCGACAGCAACCAAGAACAACTACCTGGATCTGCCATTCCACTAGCATTCATCTTAGGAGCAGCACAGGAGTCTCCGATGCAGCAGAGCAGACCCGTGAAGACCAGTAATTTTTATTGCAGAGCTATAATCTATCTAAAGTCGCCCGTGTCGGCATGATCTCGTTTTGAAAGTACGTGAAGAAGTAGATGATGATGTAGCCACTCATTCAACCCCGAACTCAAAAATGACTCTTCATGTTATGGATGAAACCCATTATGATTTTTATTGCTCTTCAAAAAAATCCCAGTCATCGTCTTGTCCCCGTCCTCCCCCTTGCGCATAATTTTGATGACCATACTCCTCCTATCATGCTACCCCCTCATCATGGTACCCCTAACCCCACGCAAGGGATCTGCACCGCTTAACGTATATGTGTAGTTCCTCTTCCTCTTCATATTGACCGTGTTCTTCTCATCATGGATGTTGTTGTAAAACATCGCTTGGAGTGGGATATGTGGGATATTAGTTAATGAAATAGCAGTCCGAGTGCAGAAAAAAAGAGCCTGGAACAGAAATATAGAGCGTGGAAAAACTGAGCTGGTGCTCACATCAGTCTGCACAAGGAACATGTGGTCAAGAAGAACGTATTTCCTACTTACACTCACCAAACTACTGAAACAGAAACTAAGTATGTGTATAGTTAAACTTAAACCAGCTTGACTACGAAAGCTTCAATCCATTTGGGGATTTGGCTCTCTCGCTCTTTGATATAAAACAAACAAACGAAACCTACTCACCAAACTGAAACAGAAACGAAGACTAACTAAGACAATAAACAGACGAACAATAGTAAAATGGCAGCTGAAGAGGATGTTGTAGCTGCTGCAAATAGAATATTATTTTCACGTGGTCCCTGTCGTGGAAGTGGAACAAGTAAGTACAAGAAGTAGACGTTTTTTACGACAGAGAGTTATTTTGATATGGTTACAGGAGCTCCTGAGGACCAGGAGACGAACTTACTACCAGTACCAGTCATCTTTATATTGCCTCACCTCTGTTGTAGGTGTTGTAGCTGAATTACAAGTTTTTATACTCTACTCCTCCACAGTAGCTGAAAATTTCCTCGTCGAGTCATTTTGCATTACCTGCTAGAAAAAAATGTCCTGGTTGAAGACTTTCACGGAGAGCGTAAAGCTCGTTTCTCAGGATGTTGCCCACATGGCAGAAGACGTTGTCGGAAAGGCTGGCGAAAGCTTGCGTAAGATGGCACAGACCGATCACGTTGCCAGTGTGGAGGAGGCAGCTTGTAGTGTACGTGATTTGGAAGGTGCCATACTCTTGCTCCAGGGATGGAATCAGTTATGGACTATGAAGAGTAAGTGGTACTAGTACGACTACTAGGAACAGAGCTTAACTTAAACTTTAACAAGTAGAAGCTTGGAGCTTAACTTTAACAAGTAGGTTTGTATGCTAGGATGCTGCTACTGGTCGTGGGTAATATGTATTTATTAGTATTCCTCTCATCAGGATTAGCATTACTCACATACAGCTAGTAGAATGGTGTACTTAAACGTACTACGTGTATGTGTAGAAATAGAGTGCGTAGATCAACATGTGGTCGCAGTTCTAGTTCATTTTGAGGGACGAGTTGTAGTTGTAAAGTAAATGTAAGTAGTACCGCAAATTACATGCTCATTCTCTTACTAATGCTCATTCTTCCACAACTTCTTGAAAATTCTAAAGTCAGATCTGAACAAGAAGATAGGGCAGATATCAGACGAGAGACTGATGGAGCATGGTGTTGGTGCTACGCCAACGAAGAGGGACACGTCGTTTGTGGGAGAGGAGAAAAGTCCTTCGACCTTGGCTCTCGAAGAAGATCGAGGTGGTCAACAGGAGCACGACGCGTCTATTGTGCTAGAATGTCAACAAGGAACTACTACTACTCCTACTACTACTGGTCATCAAGGAACACAAGGAACTACCGGTCATGATCTAGGAGTAGTTGTTGGAGAAAGTAGTGCCACCACAGGTGGGGTAGCAGGAGCAACAGTCGTCAATTACACGCGTAGTTCCAAAGAGCAAGGAGCTTCGACTAGGCCGAAATTATTCGGAGAAACATCGGCAGCCGATCAGTCTGCAGTTTTGGGCTCGTTCGGTGTTGTTGGTGCGGCAGCCTCTTCTGGAACCGCAGGAGCAGAAGGTGCCCCGCAGAAATCCCGCAAAACGGTGGTTTTTCTTACGTCTGTACAGGCAATCACTTTTATCTGGTCCTGGTGTGGATCATCACTCTGATAATTGAGTTGTCCCGGATCTCTTATATTTTTGAAACGGAGACCGAGACTCCGGGCTTTAAGAAGTTAGTAGGGACAAAAACAACTAGCAAGGGAAGAATCCACTATTAACACTCAGCCACGGTCACGGATAAAGATGATTGGTTCGACGTGCCACCTTTAATTTTCAGCACATTTTGCTCAAAAGTCGAGCCTTGGAATTTCTCTTTCGGTCGATACACGCAGTTCCAGAATTGCAGACTGCCTTGAGGCCTGCTGTACTTGCTGCCATCGGTATCTGCACGGAAGTTCAGGGTGCCACTTCTGGAACAAAAATAGGTGGAGAAGGAGGCACCAGTGGAACTACAAGTGAATCTTCTAGTACTGGAGATAAAAGTGGGAATTCAGGAGCAATAACAACAGCGGTAACTTCTGTTGTCGCTGATGAAGCCCAAGGAGCAAAGATAGAAAAAGAACCTTCTGCAATAAAAGATGAGAGTTTTCAAGAGGCGATGGAAAAAAAATTTGCGAAAGAACTCTGGACACTATTGATGGAGGTACTACCGCGATAGAGATGGTTTTTGGAAGTGGTAGTGGTTGTAGTGGGACAAACAAGAGAAAGGAGAAGACGAAGAGCTTAAACCTCTGCATCTGTGGACCAATCATGCTTTTATTTTTGCGGGACTAACACGAAGTACTCGTACTACTTACTCATACTTATTTAGAACTGCAAGAATTCAATCTCAACGTCAACCATAGTAAGTCCATCTTACCAAAAATCAACACCTCTCAAACTCAATACCGCCTTCCACCAGTTAACCCTTCCGAATTCGGAATCTCTACTGCTCGACCTCTTCAAGTTTATGCAGTCGCTTGCTTCAGGAGATCCCTTGCCTGGTAGTTTTTTCGCCATGCTCGACCGGCTCAAGAGAGATTGGCGTGCAGCGTTGTTCGCAACGGAACGCGTTCTGCTATCACAAAATGCAGAACAGATCAAAAACGCGATGGAAAGGTTATGGCACTACAAGCATGTATAAGTACTGGCTTTTAGTAGATGTGGATGGTCATAGGCACATTCATTCATTCATTCATTCATAGTCTTCAGGTACTTACCGTTATTCCGAATATTTCGACTTCCTTTAAAAGGGATCCGAATCGGACTTCTCCTGTTCCGTCTCCTTGTCCCTCTCCCCCTGCCAGTCCTGCTGCTTTCTAACAGTAAAAGTCGATAACGTGTCGTCTTTGAAGCCTGCGGCGATTCTGACGACTTACAAGGCTCAAAATCTGGAAGCCCACAAATCGCAGGCGCTTTTGGCCTATCTCACGGATGTTCACGACTGCGACCTCCATATAGTGGAAAGATGGACGACCGCACTGGCACAGGTATGTGTACCGTCCTGCTCTCGTTGGGTTGTTGGAGTTGTTCTTCTAGTAAGTATGTTGCTTGGGGTTTTTTAGAGATTTCTCTTTTTCTTATAGATACGATTCTATCTACTTTCATCACATCTTCCATGTCCATCGTTTTTTTTCAATCAACCCTACGGTATTTGTATTATACCTACGTACAGAATCATTCCGATAAGCAAAACGTTTCTTGGAGTGGTATCGCTCTTAAGTTGCAGACCCAATTGGACCAGTCCGCGCAACAGCGTGAAGCGATGCAAAAACGTAAAGTTAGGGGTAGTTTTTCACTATGCACCCATGTGGCCTATGCTGAGTGGCGCTTCCCTTGATTTAGAGGGAAAATAAGGGGGGCGCAGGACATCCCGATCGACTCGGTATAGTGAAAAACTACCGTTAATAAAGAGGCGCTAGAAGACGCTTCCAAAACACAAAGAGAGGAGCTCGGAACACAACTAGGTGGTCTGTCGGACGGAAAGAAGGAAGTACAAGTCTTATGGCGAGGACAAAACGTGAACCTACTTCATGGTCAGTATCAAATTCGGAAGTACCTCTACGTACGACTACCTACAACTACAAGTAAGTACACCTGCTCTCCCGTCACAAAGTAGTACCTCTGCATCCTCTAACAGTAAGAGTAGACGCTTTAGAAAAAGAGAAGGTTGAGTTGGAAGCGAAGCTGCAGACGATCAACACGGAATTGTCTGAGTTGAAGGCTCAGGTCGGCCGTGTGGAGAACTCGGAGCATGCGCTAAAGAGGGAAACTGAGAACGCTTTAGTCTTCTACGTTAAGGCGACCGCTAAAGCATCCTCAACGGCACCCTTGGCTTTGGCCCGTTTTGTTTCTACTTGAAAAAGCTTCTTCTACATTTAGATTTACTTCAAGAACAGGGTTGTACGGGTAGTTAGTGATTTTTGATGTACTTAATTTCACGTATCTAGTTGAAAATAACGAAGCCAAGGTAGGAGGCACTAAGGGATGCAAACGCGCTTGCTCTAACGACGAAGAAAACCTGGTGGTTCTTAAAAAACAGGAAGCTCTGGCTATGAGGGAAAAGACGATGCTGGAACAGATGAAACTCACCTGCGAAAGGGGCGGCGAGATTCAGGTTTTTACTTTTCTGTGTTGCTCAGCACTTGTTGCAAGCAGGTTGCATGTAGTTGGAAGGTTGGTATTATAGACATGTTGCGCAGTTGCGCAGCACTTGTAAGGTTGCATGTAGTTGGAAGGTTGGTATCTAAATTATAGACACTTACAAACGTACAACTATTATGGTTCGTCTTCCCCCATTACCGCGTCGACTTTCCCCAATCACTCCACCCCTACACACATGACACAACTACAGATCTCTTACCTCCGTTCCGCCATCGAAGGCCAAAAGAAGCTCGCGGAAGAGGCTTATGCTGCGTTGAAAGCTGAAGGGCTTCGACATTTTGACTTGGAGGCTGTGCGACTACGGACAGCCATGACGTTGGTCGAGCAAAGCTGTGTCGTATTCCAGGAATGCAAATTTGCGGTGGTTAGGGCCTCTTTGGACTAGTAATTCGAATTTGGAAGTTTTCCTGTTGTAATCTACTCAACATGTAGATTCTAGATGTAGTAGATGTACATTTTGTCTTGCTGGCAGTGGAATCGTACTGTCTAAGACGCAAATAAATGAAAACATCACGACTGGGCAGTGGGCCTATGTATAGTCCTTACTTTCTTCTCACCTAAATTCCAAGCACGTCCGTTATATTTAGTGCTATCTTGTTTAGCACCATCGATCCTCTGTCTGAGTCTTCTTTCTCACGTACCAGTTGTCCGGTGGAAGAGGTAGGTTGGGGCTCTAATCTTTGCCAAACTGGAGGGGGCCTTTCTTCATCCGGGCTAGAACAAGGCACTAGTACGAACTCGAGCCCTGGCACCACAGGACATGAGCAAAGGGAGTTAGAGCGATTGAAGCAGCAGAAGCTTCGGGACTCCTTGATGGAAGTAAAGCGCGCGGTGCTGTTGCGAGACCGGTGTAAGGCAGAAGTGGACGCGTTTTTGACGAAATACAAATCTAGATTACTACAAGAGGAGAAAACCAAGGTGGCGCAATTGCTGGAGGAGTGGCAGAAGCACCAAGCAAAACACGAGAAACTACTGACGGAAGACGAGGCGCTTCGATCTTTTTTAACCACGAACAAAGCTACAACTGGTACTACTCCCTGTCCCTCGGGAGGAGAACATCAGTATCTTCAATATCAACATCCAGCACGTCACCAGACATCAAATAACGTTGATGCAAGAACTTCTTCTTCTGGAGAAACTGCCCTAAATCAGATGGCATCAAAGTCAGAGGCTGTGATGGGTAACCTCACGTCCGCGTTTTCAGCGACAGGAAGTTTCTTGGGCAAGTTGCGCGATGAAAATTTTCCACCACTGCCACCAGAAGGAGGTGGGAAAGCAGTACCAGAAAAGAACACCTCATCTACTACAAGTAAAGGCGTACTAGCAGGAGGCTTGTTTGACCAATTTTCAAGCGACATCAACACCTTGTTCTTCAGTAGTCCAGCACCGTCTCCTTCAGGAGCAGAAAAAGTAGGTTCAGTTAATACAGCAACTACGAGTGGTGCTGCTGGTGCTAGTGCAGCAGGTGGGACAAAACTATTTGATACATCTGGAACCGCTACTGGAAGAACAAAAACCACTATCCCCGCAACATCAGAACCTATACCCGTACGAGAAAATGCACCAGCACCTTCTAGCTCTGGCCCAGTAGAATTTCATTCTATGGCCACTCCAGAGAATAGCCCTGCAGCCGCAACGAGTCAAGAACAAACATTCGCGCCTTTCGCAGCGGCCGCTGATGCAGCTGGGAAAACTACTGCAGCTGCCAGCAATGTTGAAGTTCCAACAGTAACTCCAACACCAACTACTGGTGAATCTAGTACAACTACAGTTGTAGCTCCACCAGTTGCAACAGCAACAGTTGTAACAACTACAGCAGCAGGAGCAGTTTCTTTCAAAACAGCTACACAAGCTCCTCCTCCAGCTGGTGCCTCAGCACCAACCGTACCTGGAGCAGCACCTACCGCAGCTCCAGTAGCCAAAAAAGCAGATGATGACGATGATATATTCGCGATGTTTGAAGCGGATTTGGGCCTCGACAGTAAGCCCTTCGCCCCACCAGCACGCATCAATGCGGACGCGGAATAAAGAGCGGAGGCGCGGCTACTATAAATTGGAACAATTATACTGGCCATAATAGCAGGAATGAATACTTTTGCTACCATAAATTGGAAATGGTGCTGACGTAGATGTATGTTTCAAAACAGCATCACGATTAGAAATCTAAATCTTCACTACATGTACATTGATTTGCTGCTAATGATCTTGCTGTAGATTTCAAGACAAGAAAGAATAAGAACTTCTAGCTACCTTAAGTTGCAGCTTTGATAGAGAGACTCCGAGATCATCTTCATCAAGACCAACTCCTGTATGTATACGTGTGCGTGTAAAAGGTGTTGTCACGACAACATACCAGCACCACCTTGGAGGATACAAGTACAACCGATGGTCGTACCAAACATCGACGCAGTCCTCTTGATATTCGATGCATGAGGAACAGTTCTCTGATTCTGATGAAAACAAGTTCGTGATCCCTGAGCCTGATCCGAGAATCAAAAGTTCTGGTCATTCAATGAAGATCTTCATGGGAGCTTGATCCTAAAGCAACGAAGGTAAAAATACACTAGCTCAAGAGTCCTTAGGGATCATGGTATTCGGCAGTGGAAGATTTGATCAACCAATCAATCAAGTCGACATTCATTTAAGATTGAAGATCGACGAAGGTGTACCTCTCCTGCTGCTCAAAGCTATGAAGATCAAGAGAGCAACAGAAAAGTTCTTACTTCTGCGAGCAAGGCACCTCAAACTACTTAAGCTTCAGGTTCAGGAGGACTTGTTTGACGATTGAATTTATATGTTGTATGTGCTTTGGTCACAGCTTTTTATTTTCGACATTGATTCCTTGGTCGACAATAAGTAGGGTGTCTGCTCTACTTTTTACCTGAAATCCACAATACCTCCCACTTCGACTTCCAACAACAAGCTTGCTTCTCTTCTATTATACAACCGTCTGCTTTATTTACAAGCAAAATTATCAACAAGATGGGCAAGCGAACTGGGCGTGCTCTGTCGGTGAAGAAGAAGCTCCTTCCAAGCAGACCACAGGTGAGAGCAAGCACAAGCAAGAACAAGAATGTGTGTGTAAAGACACACGCACAGCGACTGCAGGAGAAGAGGGACCTCGAAGCAACACGAGATCTAGAAAAATCATTATTGGAATTTGGGAAAACGAAGAGGGTATCTTGAATTTCCCATCTGATCCAGTTCTTGTACATCATCATCGTCATCATCATCATTTATGAAACCCAACACAATTTCGATTTAAGTATTTTGCGATCATTTCGTCCATTCTGTTTCCCACAGGTAGCAGCAGCCAAAAAGCGTGCCGCAAAGAAGGCACGGAAAGCAGAAAATGAGATCAAGTCAGGCCAGTATCAGCTGATTCAAAACACCGAACGCATTCGACAGTGGCACAAGAAAGCAAAGCGGGATTTGATGAAAATGAGCCAGGAACAGGTTGACATGATTGGAGGGCGTAAGTAACGTGATTTGTTGTCGACATGATGTGTCGTGAACACGACGGGACTAATGGCCTTCATCTTGACGACGACCTTAATCACCAATAATTCTATCACAAGTCAGACCTGCTTGTAATTTCATTCTACTTGTTGTTTTTAAAGTAGCTAGTACCTTGCAACATGACGCGTCCCGAAGAACAAGCTGTGTACTATTACAGCTAGATCTATCCTGATCTTGGAGGATACTAAAGCCGCGTGTTCTCTGATCTTCGGTTATCCATTCACAATTATATCGAGATGGCACCTGCGAGATGATGTTGCCTACAAGACGTTACCTACGAGATCGAGATGGTTGTGCCTACATTATACAAGAGGAACAATAGAGTATGTGAGAGTACTAAACGAGGCGAGAGAGATCTAGCGTTCCCAAGCGTTCAGTGTCTGTCTGTGAGAGTGATCTAGCATTCCCAAGCGTTCAGTGTCTGTCTACTGTGTGGAGATATCTAAGTGTTCTTGATCATTTGTGAGTGCCGTCATGTTGAAGAATTCTGTTCTCGAGAAGCTGTACCACTACTAGATCTTCAGATCTAGATCATGAACAAGTGAAAGGTTCAGATCTAGATCATGAACAAGTGAAAGGTTCAGATCTAGATCATGAACAAGTGAAAAGTTCAGATCTAGATCATGAACAAGTGAGAAGTTTCAAGTGAGAACGAGTAAAAAAGTGAGAATCTTCAAGTGATAACCGTCTGTCTTCTTTAATATTGGAATCTGTGGGTTGTAGTTCTTATGCGAGCGTGAGCGTGTGCATAATCTACATGACGAACAATTTTTACTCTGAGACGAGTTGTGGATTATACTCGCACCAACATAACCCGACTTTCATCTTTACTTTGAACATTATACAAGCAGGGAAGTTGTTAGACGACGGATGGCTATCCTCGACGACGGCTTTTAATAGAAAAGATTTTTCAACTCTCATAACGTGGACGCGATATTATATTTTGATAACGAAATAGAAGCTCATTAAAAGGTGTTCAAGATCATTAAAAGCTAACGACTACGAAGATAGGAAAAATCACTACAACGAGGATTTGCATGCGCATTCCCCCAGTAATGCACTTTTACAGCTTCGAAAAACCAATATAGTGCCCAACAAAAAGATAGGAAAATTATATTCTACGTGTAATTTTTTGTAGCTGTTAAGGTACCTCTAGTGTACGAAGTGGTCTTACAACGTCCATACGCGTAAGTCTGGGTATTGTTTAAGGAACAACTTCACAACTCGTCACAACTTCCAGCATTCACTTTCACCTTGGAAACTAATTATAAAAAGTAAAAAGAATTTGAATTTCCCTCACTCAGCACACCAGCACCACTAGAAAATCATAAATCAAGAACGCTTCTGGTAAAAAACTCAAGAATATAGTTTTACTTCTATCCCTACAGACTTGTTTGTACTTGCAGCATCCAAAATGGTACTCCACGACAAGACCAAGCACGTTCCGTTCGAGCGTCAGCCGTGGTTCAAGCGTAAGGAACGTCAGTCCGGCGACATCAAGAGCTCGATCAATGCGCCGGCTAAAAAAAATGGCCAAGGCGGAAGCTTCACCTATTTCGGGACTTCCTTGGAATTAAGGCTTTTCTTGAAGAGGATGCATTGGTTCATTCATTCATCTTCTGAAGAAGCACCTTGCTTAGTGTTTGCTGGGCTTGCATCGTTTAATAACAGGGACAAACACGACGGGCACGACAAATTTTTTACTTACTTACAACATCACTGATGTTGATAACAAAATGCTTCTCAAGCCACAGTTAGATGGTTCTAGGTAATGAAATTAAAAAACGCTCCTACTCCTTCTAATCAACGAGGAACAACTAATGCAGCATGACGGCGCTCAACAGATGATGGGTTCTTTCAACAAATCGGCTTCGGAGCCTTCGTCCGCCAGTTCTTCCTTCATCGAGGAGAAAGATTTCCGATTCTCTGCGGCTGACTTTCCTCCCTTGGGTTTGGGTTCGATGAAAGGCTCGCCGAAGGCGACTGCGATGAAAGAGCGTCAGGCCTCGCAATGGATTAGGAACGTGTTAGTGGATAAAAGCTTGGGAATCTAGGAGAAGAACTAGTTCTAGAACTAGTGAAATAATAGTGCTAGCTTAGCACTAATTTTTTTGAAAGAAGATGCTTGCGGTTCCGAGCGTAGCAATCGGAGCAGGACGTTAAAGAATGCTCGTCGAAAAAGAAGCGATGGCAAACCAACTGCGAGCTTGAGCTTGACATATTTTGAATCCACAAAGGAAGAAGAATACTTGAATTGAATGTTGTAGTCGTAGAACTAGAAACATGGTTGAAATTGAAGAATATGATGAATGATCATGATGAACTCAGAATTATCGACGGCAGCCAATGAATGATCATTGAAAACTGAAGAAAGACCTTATTGTAGTGCATCGTGAAGATGAAGGATATTTGGAATTTAGAACTAGAAGACGAAGCGGTCGTGGTAAAAAACATAGACCTACGAGAAAGAGAATGTGAATGTGAAACATGATGTAGTACTACATTTTCTAAATGTTGAGTCGGATTCAATTTTTCGGATTTCGAATATGTATCCGATTCCTCATATTTTTTGTTTTTTTGGATGGTTGATTTTGTCGTAGATTTGATTGCAGATTATATTGGAGCTACAAGTCGGTATTTCGCTTTTCTCGCAGGGATCAATGATTGTATTGTTAAAGTAATACTTTGCCCCCCTTAATATAATCTACTCAATAGACACTAAGAGGACTAAGTCCAAGTACTACAACAAGTACTACTAGTAGAAGAAGTACTTAGGTGAAACCTTGAAGTAGGTTTAATCAATTCCGACGAGAATATTAGCAAAATCAGAGCGACTTAGTTCGAAGATGGAAAATTGAAAGAGTTGAGGCAGATTCTACATCAAGTACCTTCAGGAACCTTGAGGTTCACGTTCCTTCGAGATTGATACCGAAATACAATAAATGGCATGCCTGTCAGGAATAAGCAACATTATCTTCTGCATATGATTTCGATGTAATGAAAACTAACATGATGATGGTAGTACTAATATTTTCATGATGAACTACCAATCATAATAAAGTAGAAGGGAAAGTGACGTTGTTGAGCTTGAATGAATCTTAGATGCATATTTTGTCTTGACCACCTCTTGTTAGGGGTTGGATCTTGGCATTAAAAGACACGAAGTTCTTGACGGTATAGTGCACTAACATCAACGTGGTAGGTTTGAAAAAGAAATATGATGCTTGTATTGAGTCTAAGGGTATGGCATAGGCATACTACCTAGCCATAGAGTGTTGAAAGCATCAGGTTACTCCGACTTATTCTTCTCAGTCTCGGTGCCAACACGACATCAAAAGATTTCTGTCATCAGTGTGCTAGTCGGTGTCTTCATCGGTCTAACCTGTATAACTCCTAAGTAAAATATTGACGAGTCGGTAAACTACATCTTTAGACCTTTGAAAAATCGGTTCCGGAGCGACCAAGGACGATGCTCACATATGATGATGCAACCAACAACGACCATCACAAAACTGTTTCCCGTAGAAGGTGAGCGACACCACCTCCTAGTCTAGCTCTTGTTCTACTAGTTGTAGTTTGATGTATCAGTAATCGCCCCTTGTTCTTGGTCCTAGCTACTTCTGTCTCATCCATATTGTTCCAGGAGAAAATGTACTTATACCTTCGCCGCGTTGTAATTGACTCGTGGATTCACATGCAAGATTCAAGTGATGTAGACTGTGACTGGTATTGATGTGTTTAAATGGAATTATGGCGGGAAATTGTAGACCTAGGTCCCAAAAAAATGAAGTAGGAGATGCGCACATGCATGAATGAATAGTCTAACAAGTGCAGCGCCCAAGAAGCCACGAAGTCCTCCAATATTAAGGAGGATCAAACACGACAGTGTCCACCATGTCCAGCTCCGACGACACGACTTTCCAAGCGCTCGCCGCTAGCGGAGTGGAGTTCCTACGTGCAGAGCTTTCAGTTTTTCCTTGCTGTGTCTGGAATTCCTCATTGCTCGTATCGCCGAACCCTGCTTTGGTCCCTGGTATAGAGATCGAGACGTTCGGGACCAAGTTTGACTCCCTACAAGACGCGCTATCACGGTTTTTCCGCTGTGTCGATATTCGGTCTCGCCACCTAGACGGAATAGCAGCTGACTACAAGCAAGGCGTGTTGAGGATAGTCAAAAGTCAAAAAAAATGGAGTGAGAGAAAAGCAACTACTGCAACCACGACATCAACTAGTAAAGCAAGTTGTTCTCCTGACGCCGAGAATGTTTTGAAGCGTGTGCTCGGAAGTGGAGGTGATAGGAGCTTTTCTACTACGAGTAAGACAACAAGCAAAGGAGCTGCACGAGTAGGTGTAGATGATCAAGAGCACGAAGATTACGACCACCAATTGGTATTGGAGCGATCGGAGCAAGAGAGATTGGCTGTTTTTCTCGACGAACGCTTGACCGGCGTAATCAAGCTTGCTCGCAATACCCGACAACCCGGTCGTGGAGTTCCCAGTTCTTTGCTGTGGCGTCGGGTGAATGCAAACGGTGGCGCATTAGACGAGAGAATGATGGAGGCGTATGACAAGTTGTGCAGTTTTCCTACTGGCGGAGATGGGATCAATCATGGGTCGCCGAAGAACAAGGCGCCTTCTGTATTGCACGCCGCTGTACTAGGAACGCAGAGAGGACAGCAGAAGATGGACAAAATACCAAGTAGAAGACCATCTTCTTCTTCTCCACCTGGAGCTTCCCCAAGTCAACTTTTAGATGAGCGCAATCGTGTGACAGCAGACCTAGATCAACTATTGGAGAGCATGAAAACGAAGTTGGAAACAAGCGAACCAAGCGGCGCATCGCCGATGTTTGGTTACCGAGAGGAGATTAATGATACAACTGGTGCGGCATCAAATAACATTATGGCAACATCACAGAGTTACAGTTACTCATCTTGAGCACCAGGAGCATCGTAATGGTTGGCTTTTTCATTTCCAGCGAAGGAAAAAAAAACTATAAAGTGACCAAGGATAATATTAATGGATGCTACCTCCAAGGATGCAACTTCTTCGTCGACAAACTCTAAAGCTAACGCTTCTTCTCCAGCACCTGCGGCAGCACTTCATCTTCCTCTCCCTTCTTCTGCTATGACAGAAAATGAAGTAGCCCGTGTGCGTGTAGAGCTGGGCTTAGGTTCTTGGATACCTGGTTCGTCCATTCTCCCGAAGGTGAATCTCACAGAAGCCGTCCTTCCTGCTCTGACACCACGAAGTGGAGCGATGGTGCACGCTTTGCCTCATCAAGCTCAGCAACAAGTAATACATCACAACGAACAAGGTGACTATATCCTGATGGACCAGCAAAATCAACAACTACAACAGCCCTGCTTATCTGCTAGAACATCAGCTTCTCGAAGTTGCACAACTACACCTAGAATGAACAGCAACAGCCTACTAACCTCTGCAGCAGGTTCACAACAGCATACCCCAACAAGTACCACAGCTGCGGCTTTGAATATGACTGTTCAGAAGATATTACTGGAAAAGTTTGCGGAGTTAGACGAAAGACTCGCGAGATCCATCGCTGACGTGGGCAAGCAGGCAGTGGAAAAGAAGGCTTTTCTCAAGGGTGAGCACGTCCGGAAAAAAATGCAGTATCTGAATGAGCTTGATCGTGACTTGCAGAGGAAATTCCTAGAGTTGGACGACATCTTGGCAAAAAGGAAAGTGGAGCTAGAAGCAGAATACGCGAAGCGGGCGAATGACGCTGATTTTCGCTATGCGAGAAATGCTTTAGAAATGAGCTTTGCGGCAGTTGGGAATAAATATGCCAAATTGACGCCACCAGCGGGAATACAGGTGGTCAGGACAGCACCGATTGGAGGAGGAAGTACAAATAACAGTATGGGTCTGGGTGGAAATGGAACAGGAGGTGGAGAGGTCGTGGCTAGTAGAAGTAGTGCTGCGAGCAGGCAGTATTCCTACTCCCAGTCTTCTAGCAATGTGTTCGCTACTCCTGCGCCGCCTGCCTTCTACAACAGAGCTTCTAGTAGTAGGACGCCTAGAGGATGGAGTTCTTTACAACCTACAGCAGCATCTTTTTGCTCAAACACGAGGAGTAGAACACCTTCAAATGCCTATTCCCAAGTACAGCCAATGTGTTTTTTTGGAGACCAGGATCATGCGGTGAACGTGAAAAGATCATCGTCTTCAGCAGTAGGACGTTCATTCTTTCAGAGCACCAAGACACCACCAATAACACCCATCAATTCAGTACAAGGAGGAACATCTTCGCCAAAGTTGGGCTCATTTTGTCGGAGTGAGTCTGGTAATATTGGTTTTATTCGAGGTGGAACGATTACGCCAAGGAACAGTAGTACAGCATCAAACTTCCTCAAGTCTGGCAGCAGCTCGCGTTTTCTCGCGCCTGAAAGGACGCCTCGCACTCCTGGTTTAGTTTCGAGTTCGTTATCCTCTACGACGCCACGAAGACAAACCCTTGGAGGAATAATAGGTCCCCGTCCACCTCTAGGAAGCTCAACAAGCCTTCAGCAGTCCCCCTTTGCCCAAAGTAGGAGTAGCAAAAACACCAGGACTACTAGTGCATCTGCAACATTTCTGCTCGGAGGCGGACTCGGCGCAGGAGCACGAGCTCCCCTACCGTTGAACAAGATTATGACAACGTGGTCTAATACTTTGTCATCGTCTTCTGGGGTTCCGCCTGTAATTATAGTAGAAGATACAACTAATAGTTGTAATACAACACGAACACCCACCTCCCCGAAGGAGGATCAAACCAAGTCATCTGGCGTTGCCCAAAGTCTTGAACGTCTTCGCGCTGACGTTCGCGATAGTGTACCAGCTTCAGAGCACTTTTACATAGCATCTACTCGTCGTGGAGATCATGGCAATGTTCTGAATAGAGCTCACCTTGCAGGAGCAGCTCCAGAGGGTGAGTTTGCCTTTGAGGGCCTTCAGGGTGCTAGTGGAGAGGAGCCACATCTTCAAGGGACACAACCTCGTCAACGACCCTCATCAACAAGTTCTTTTAAGAGCCGAACTTCTGCTACCAAAACCAAATCATCCTATGAAGACTTGAAGCGACTCAGCATTCTGCAGCAAGGCCACAATGTATTGGAAGGAGGTGCCGCGCATAGAAGAACGACTGCTTTTGAAAATGTGAAGAATGAACTCATTTCAAGGCATAAAAGTCGTAACTACAGTACATCAACTAGGGAACAAACGACAGCTACGGACCACGACCAGGAGAACAATATGGCATCTCCTACGACGCCTCCACGTGAAATAAATCTAGATCATGGAGGACGAGAGAGAGGAGTAGAAGAATATGAAGAACAAGATGCAGTAGTTGTGCATGATATGCATGATACACGGCACCAGCAACAATTACAACAACTAGCACAAGAGCAAGACACGAAAATCAAAAATGGTAGAGACCATGACCACGAGTTGGTTCCTGTAGTACGCGTTGTTGTACCTGCTAAGAGCTCTCCTTCTGGATGTGGTCCACGTCAAAATGGTGGCAAACCCGAACAAGAAGAGATCCTGATCGGCGGTTCGCTACCTAGTGCACGACGTAGGATAGAGGAAGCCAGGCGCAGCGCAATGCAAGCAGTTGATGCCGCAAAGAGGAGTTTTCGCGAATCGGTGGCATTACATTCAGCACCGACGCCGGTGACGCCCACTAGTACTCTAGAAGTACCATTAATATCAGTTGAGGGTAACGCGGCAAACACTTTTTTTGGAGGAGGCCCTTTTTCTGTTAATGGTGAACCAGGATTTGCAGCCAATTCAGACTCAAAGATCGAACAACCAAGGATGTTGGAACAAGTACGCTTGTCAGACCATGTTCTCTCACGGATTGAACGACTCGAGGAAGAAAATGGTAACGAGCGAGTAACGAGCTCATCTTCTGATGAAGAGGAGGTAGGAGAACAAGAAGATGAAGTAGAAGAACTACAGGAGCACGAGCAAGAAGACTACATGAAGATGAACAACATACAGCAAGAAGACTACATGTTGAAGATGAACAACATTTCTGGAAACATCAACTCTGCGCGCGTCCTGGAGAATCCTCCATCTTCAAATGGAACAGAAATTCAGCCTTCAGCATCTTTTGCTTTTACTCATTCAACATCTACTTCTGGTCTTCGTCAACAACGTGGAGAAGGTAGTCAACTTCTACAAGGGCTCCCTGACGTAGAACAAGGCACCACTATCGAACCTGTGGATGCAAATCCGGCAGGAACTTTGGTATTGAAGATACCCTCACATAACTCGACAAGCGCTTACTCAAGCAGAGCTGGCAGCAAAGTGTCAACAACCAGTGGTCACGATGTCGCGGGCTCGGGAGGGTACTAGTATAGTTGTCTAGATAGATTTATGAGTATAGGAAATTCATCTCCAAAGTCATCTGGGCTAAGAAAATAAGAAGGAAAAGGAACCCAGATGATTTGTGAGATGAATTCCCGATACCTCTAATAGATGTGATGTATCTTCTGTGTGAGCATGAAAAGCAGGAGGATTTCCCTGACATATGAAGATGCTTTGTTTTTTCTGTACAACGTCACTCATTCCTCCTTTTTTCTCCGAGCATCAACTATCACTTTTCCTGTGGCCATCACCAGGTCTTCATCGCGTGTTGTTTTACAGTACACGCAGTCTCAACCGGTAGCCCGAGTAGCAGTTCCTCCTTTGAACCTGGTCCCTGCGCGAGTTATTAGGACACATGCAGCTCACGTGATCGGAGTCGGGTCCAAAGACAGTCAAGAACTGAGACAAGAAGGAGAGCCACTTCGACAGGGAGGTCAAGAGGGAGGACCACAACAAAGTAGACAAAGTAGTCATCAAACAAGCACCTATGGACGAGTGTTATCCGCAGAAGAGGCCGCGGAAATATTGAGACAAAATCAAGAGAACTATCAGATATATCAGCAGACGCAACAAGGCCAGATACAGATTGCTGCACAGCAGACACAGTCACGCCCACAGAGTGAGCTTACTGCTGCAACTACAACTGCTAGTACTGCAATTCCAATTTCCTCTAGTGGTAGTGCAGAGCTCTCAAGAAGTACCAAAGGCGGTTCGATTCGTGATCGTGCCCCTTCTCACTCCACCACGTCTGCATACGAACAGATAATGAAGAACAACCAGGGAAGATCTTTTCGTGGTCCGATTCCCAATATTATTCCTCCAACAGCTTCAGGAGCTCATCTCCTTGCAAGCAGCACAGGAGCGCAACAACCTTCACCTTCTTCAATCGCCACTTCTACAACAGGAGCTCCGAATATTATACCAAGGCAACTACCACCTCCTCAGCATGATGTGTTTTCAATGACAGCAGAAAATGCGGACATCTACTCGAAGGTAAGTGAAAGCATGATGAGTGTCAACAACTTAGGAGGTCCCAAAGTTTCCTCTCTCTCAACACGGATGTTTGCTACGAATCCTGGCTTCAACATGTCGACCAGCAGTGGGTTTTCATCAATTATGAGTTCTGCAACTCCTGCATTGCTGGGTGGAACAACAGCAGGAATACCCAGAGTCAGCTACAACGGTGGAGAAGAACTTGGCTTGCGGAAAATTGTGGAGGTGGAGGATCCGGAAACCGGTGAGATTTTGAAGACCATGGTAGTGACGGGAGCAGACGCGGTGACTAGGGTGTACTGTCAGAGGGAATAAAACGAAAATGTACTTAGATCAGAATAGAAGGTTGAAGACTTCGTCCTACAACTTCTTAGACGATGTTGTATGCTGCCAGTTGTTATTTTTGTTCATCGATCAATTTCTATTTCAATCATGAAGAATATGATGTTGTCCAATATTCACAATTTCAGAATTATGCTCCAGCAAATGCAACCATACTACAACATATCCGGTAGCATATATTGCTTTCGCTAGCTAAATGAGTAACAACTTTAACATACATCATGGTAGTATCAGAAATAGAAGAATCGTCTCTGAAGTAGACAACCTCGGCATCTGCATAGTACTAGATTCATATTCATCACTGAGAGATATTAAACGTACCACTTGTTATTTATTCTTCATTTATGTTCTGTGTGCTTCTCCCTCTGCGTCTGTCTGTAAGGGTGAACTGCAAACATTCTCGAGAAGTAGTAGATAAGTCTGTAATTGATTTTGTTTTTGAAGCAGGTGGAGGTCACCTCTGTGATCTTCATCTTCGTCCATGATTTCACATCTAACATTTCTAAGAAAAATGTAAAACAGATAAAGAAAGAACTTCCCCCTATTGAAACAAAGAAGATAGAAATTACACGAACAAATTTTGAGAGAATGCAAGAGATCAGTTGTGAAAAAATGTTGGAGGGCACACCGAGTTTGTTCGGAGATTCAGAAAGGCGGAGAACATGGACGTCGGGTATCAAATTCTGTACTTGCGCAAAAGGGTGACATATGCACATCAGAGTTTTGAATTTGAAAAATGAGAAATGATGTAAGAACAGAGAGAAAAAACTGAAAAATCAGGGTTGACTAGGGTCTCTTGCGTCTGCAGCGTGATCTCGAAACTTTTTGATATCTCGGAGTGAGACTGACAAAGTAAAACTCCTTGCATATTCCAAGTTGTACTTCAGCACGTGCCCCCTTCGCAAAAGAGGTTAAGAAAAAAGGAAATGTCCTGCACCTGCCCAACATGATGTCAGGAGAATCTTCTAAAGATGAAAGCTCCTCTTTCAACATTTTGCGGCACAGGAGACGCCGACGTCGAAGTAGCTTCCGCGCTTCAACTAAGTTGATATTGTGTGGAAGTTTTGCAACTGGCAGCAACCTAGGAGCCCTAGGGCTATCCATAGCGTCGTCTAAAGAGAAAGACGGAGTAAGTCTAAGAAGGCTAGACGGCCTCCACTCAGGAGTTGTAGACTCCTCACAGGACGACACGAACAGCAGGAGGAGGAAGAGCATCCTAGAAGAAGAAGACGAAGTCATCATAAATGACCACGACAGGTCTATCATAAGTAGTGACCAGGAGAGCTCCAGGTCGCCGCAGCACTCAGGAGTCTCAGAGGCGTCGAATTCCTTAAAAGATGAAGAAGTAGAACACCTCGACGTCGTGCAGCAGGCAGAAGGCGTGAAGAATGAAAACAGCAGGCACAACGACGACTACAGCAAGATGAGAAAGAACTACTACAGTGGAGCAAACTCAAACTCTGTTGGTGATGAACTGGTAAGATTAGTCGACCACTTCAAGGAGAAGTTTACTGGAGCTGCAGAGCATACTACAAAGAGAAGCGCGGACGATGAAGAGGAAGAAACCACAAGGATGAGCAGAACTACTTCTACTAGTCGATTATTAAGGGTAGGTTAAAGGTGCTTTTCTTACCGCTTTTTATGCCTCTCTCCCTTAGGATGAGAAAGGCATAAATAGCGGGGTAAGCGAGCACCAAAAACCTACCTCTAAGATTAGAAGCAATAAAAACTGAGCAAGAGGAACGGGATGATGAAGGTAGAGGTACTACTGCAATAGTCAACCAGGACCACGAAAGTGGTGGAAGCCGCGCAGCTGTGAAGGAGGAAATACAACTACAAGGTGGAGACGTGAAAGAACTACAGTCCCCTCCACACGATCATGATGCTCAACTACAGCAATCCGAGATCATGGGTCGTGGACAAGCAGCAGATGCGTCACGACTTAGCAGTAGTACTGGTAATAGTAGGACTACACCTACAAGAAGAGCAGGTGGGATGAACATCAAGCAAGAAGTTGTAAACGCAGAAGGAGGTCAAAAATCTTCAGAAAAAGAGGGAGTACTCTTGTCCGCTTCCCTTCTAGAAGCCAGAGCTGTCGAATTAGCACTGGAGCAGATGGGGAGAGATTCTCATTTTATGGCTGGCTGGGTCGTTTCTTGCTTCTCTGAAGATGTACCAGAAGATGTTCTTGATGTCCTTACAACATTAGAAATTTCATCAATCTTCTCTAAGCTTTTTCGCACGATCAACGAGGCGTGTTGCTTCTGCCGCACAGCCTTCACCAGCGTGGAGGACCACTTTCCATCCTTGCGTTCCAAGTTCAATGTGAAAAGTTCTTCCTGTGCTTTCGGTTTCTGCATGAACCAGTACCCACTCGGCGGGTACCGTAACGAGACACCACATGCGGACACGCCATTAGACGATACAGTGATAACGATGGCACCAGGCTTTGGGGGCGGTGGTCGCGATCTCGGAGCTGGAGATGCCTATTACACTTTCGGTCCGCCACCAGTAGAGATCAACGTCACTACTGATGAAGGAGGGGCACCGGGGCCTGCTGGAAATTATGGATAATTTGGAATGGTCATAAGCTGCATAACATTTTTAAAAAGCTCACACCCCTTAGCAGCTGGTGTTACAGACGGCAGACGAAGACAGAATCTAGATTCGTCGCCAGGACTTTTTCCTCTTCTACTTCTACTTGTAGACTTCTTATTATCCTACTTCATCTAGTATTACGACCACCTCAACGACCGCAAGCTCCTCCTCACACCCCGTACCTGACTTTCTCTGCCCATTTTCATCTGATCGTGGCCCCTACCTCCTCCGACGCTTCCACATCAGCAGTGCCGTGGTCGGCGGCACCTGCGAGCGTCCGCTATGGTCACGGCATCTTCAACACGACATGGGATAACGATTATTACTACACGCAGTTGTACCCAAAATGTAGGGCAGTAGCAGTACTAGCTATTAAATTGTTTCATCAAGATCAACGGGAACTACATCATCGAATATTGTCTTATTGTGTGAACTCTACTGTGTGACTCACGTTTACTGAAGAGAAATAAAACAAAGTGGAACTACTTGGAAGTTGGATGAGCATTTGCAGATCAGTTTTTTTTCTTTGTTTCAACTTACTTTCTGTCTAACCACTCTGCGATTGCTCAAAGTGTTAGTGTAGCTGCAGTTGGTGGAACCGGAAGTCAGTCCAACGACACCAGCGCTTATGGTGATAGAATCCATCTTTCTAGGTAGCACTAACCACCTGATGATATGTCAAGGAAAGCTCTTCCATCTTGTTCGTAGAAAGAGAAGGTAGTTGGAGTTGGCCACTCTACTACTTTCTACGACGTTCTTCTGTTTGAAAATATCAGGCCTAAGGCCTGCTTCTGGTCTTTCTTCCTTATCCTCTAATCCTCCGTGATCTTCACTGGGCCGCACCGTCTGACGAGAAGAGATCCGAACAATTTTTTCTACCGGAATCATCTACAAGCGGGCTTAGGCGAACCGAATCGAGGAGAAGAAGCGTTGGACATCATGCGGAAGGGACATTATGAGACATAAATCCTAAACTACTTGAAATCCTAAACTACATTATGAGACATGGAACTTGAAATCGTCCTAAACTAGTTGTAGTAATTAATACTAACCATGATGAACTACAAGAAGAACAACAAGATGATCTTCTAGCTCTAGTTGAACATTTCCGATTTGGAGTAAAAACATGCATAGACTCCTTGATGCTCAAGAATCGTGAAGCTCGCACTACAACTAGAACCACTATTAGTACCTTCTAAAGTCTCTACAACAACCTCTAGTACTTCCTCCACGCACCACCTACTATTTCTCCCTTGATGTTCAACATATTGCAGTCGAAGTCTGTACCTCTTTCAATCCTTTCTCACTTTCTCCTTTGTTCATAATCCAGTCGAAGTCTGTTTCAATCCGGCAAAGCATAAGACGCTGGGAGCTCTTTTCTTCCCCTGTGAATCGGCGTGTACGAATGACTGGTGCAGTTTGTCATCGTTGCGGAATAGAATTAAGGCTTACTTTTATTCATCTTAAGAGGCATCTTTGATCCCTTTTTCAAGAGGGAACTGCGTCAAAGATGCTTTCCAAGATGAATAAAAGTAAGGTCTAATAGAACTGGGCAGGAAGTCAAGAAGCAGATCCAAGATCCGAGTGATAAAACCTGTTACAGTGGCGATGGAAGGCTCAGGACAAACTGAAATACGAATTCGTAGACGTAGAGTCAAGAGTTGTTGTTAGAAATATCGAGAAATTGTCACAAATGTGTATAGTCCTGACTCTTCCACTACACCACTATATCTAGCGATCTTCATACCATTTACAAATTTTCATTTTCATTTTCACGTCGATGTCAGTAGCTCATTTGATATTTTCTTCATTGGTTCACAAAAACAAGATTTTTCCAACTTCCACCATTCCATCAACGGTAGTAGACGTATATTGTCTTCAATCAGAAAGAAATCGATCGGTAGTTCATTTTGAAGATTAGATCCAAGTTGTAAGTAGTGAAAGTAACAACAACAACACCAAGAGACGAATAACATGTGAGGAAAATCAGGTTTGCTATGACTGGAACCTCTACCTAGTACTGCTGACGATGTGAGGCTCTGAAAACCCGCTGAACAAGAAGCGCGCGAAGCGACATGACCTAAGAGTAGCACTTGGAAAAAAAAAATATTCGAAAAAGGCAAAGTCCCGAAAGAAAATGAAGAAGAGGACAACAACATCGATCGTAGTGAAGGTATACATAGGACCTAGCAGGTATCAATTTTTGTTTTTCTCGTGTACAGGAATAGTTACAGCAGAAGGAACAGTAAAGAAACATGACGATAACATCTTCGTGACAGAAGATTGCACAGCAGACGAGGTCGTGGAGGTATTAAAATGGTCCAATTAGTAGGTCTAAATGACCGAAACAAGAAGGTGATGTGGTCAGCGGGGGCCGCGGCATTGTCGTTCTGTGCCCTGTACAACTATGGCTGTGGTGGACCACAGACAGTCGGAGCACGAAGCCTACATGCAGCAGTTCCCAAAAGGGGAACTTCTACAACTTCTAATGAGAAGAGAGCTGGTGGGGGTTCAAATGTTGTGATCTTCAACAACAAAAAGGAGAAAAGTTCTTCCTCGTCCTCTTCCTCAAGAGAGCAGGGTGATCATCATGCTCCTAGTACCTCTCCATCTTCTTCCTCATCAATTAAGAGGCAGACTTCTTCTTCTTCAAGCAGGAGCTCTACTACAACTGCCAGTAGGAAGAAAGTACTAGAGAAACAGAAACCCACTACAACTGCTTCGAGCTCTAGCTCTACCCTAGAGCAGAAACAGAAACCCACTACAACTGCTCGCTCTAGAACTAGCTCTACCTCTACGTGGCGACTGGAACCTACCTCTACCTATTCCAAAAGCAGTAACTACAAAACGAAAAAGAAGGAGCATTTAGTTAGAATAGGCGGGCATTTCGATGAAAAGACTATTCATAGAGAGGTAGATGAAATGGTGAAGGAAGTTACTGCCGAGCTTGAAGTCTTAGCCGATGGACGCCTGATGCAAAAACGAGTAGCCCAAAAGGAAAGCACTAAGACTTCATCAAAAAACTCTAGATCTTCTAGTAGTAGTAGTACTAGAAGTAGTAGTAGTAGTAGCAGTAGTGCTTCATCCAGATCATCAATGTCCAAAAACAAAAAGTCTTCTTCTTCCACTACTGCTTCCTCATCAAAAATGGATCAACCTAGTGCATCAAAAAAGTCAAGGCAGAAGCACTCCGATGCTACAGTTGCTGCACTTAGTAATCGAGCTCTGAGTTTGATGTCCCGCAGACGGACATTTGGTAACGCGAATGCGGCTTGCTGTTTCTGCAAACACGCCGTAATCACTGCTCTAAGGGCCAGCTCGGATGCTTATAATTAAGGCCTGAACAAGTAGAGCTAGTTCAAGTTGATGTTGAAGTTCCAGGAGAGAGTTGGTGCAGTCTCCAACAAGGTCCAAGTTATACTTCCTTGGTGGAGTAGATCTAGCAGATGAATCTAGGATGTTCGTAGGCTTCTTCTTCTTCTAACATAAGGCATCAAGTTGGCAACCTGAGGACGTAGTAGGAGGTCAAGGCATGAACATGACAGTGCCCGTGCAAGGCCAAGTGGACCCTTTGAAGCTGCTTTTGGGTATGAATGATTTATGGCACTCCACTTGCACTTGTGAGTACGACGAGTATTTCTCTGAGGGCTCTTAACGCCAACCCCATCAAGAAGAGATGTATAGCACTATGCGTTTCTATCCTTGTATACTTCTTCGGGTTCTTGTTATTTCAGGGAAGATGACCATGACTAGAAATAGAATCTAGAAACTTTCTGTTTCTAATTCTGTCAAGTAGGAAGATGAAACTTTGCATCAGTCCGCTCTAAACAATGCAGAAAGAGGCAGCAGTGCCAGTGTGTCAAGCAGGAAGACGAGCGAGCAGAAAAAAATGCCTGTCATCGTGCCAATGCTATGCCGAGAAAAACACCTGATTCGTGTGTTCATGTTGTGCATCTGCATCATGGGTCTTAACCTTATTGTGATTCTGCCAATTCTTACTCTCAGTCTTATCCCCACCAGCAAGACCACGCCCACGCCCAGTTTTCACAGTTACGTAACGAACACGTCCTAGTACTACTTCCTTGCTATTTGTTCCCATTATTCTATTCGTAGGTCCCTCTCCAATGTGGTCCCCCTCTAATCCCCTCCACCGATGAGCCGCCATGGACAGCGGGCATCCGACCTGCCGATGCACCTTGGAACCTTAGCGCTGGAGCCGTCTGGGGAAATACAAGCAATTACACCAGTGTTGATAACAAGGATGCTAGGAACCCGTATTACCCTGGTGCAGGCCGGGTGAATGACGTGAAAGCTGATTATTTTAAGGCCAGTCAATCATTATCAATCTGGTGGATCTAGTGAAGTGATGGACTCTGCTAAGTGAGTTCGGCTTAGATGAAGCCAAGGGGATACTACTTCTAAGGGGATCCATCGGATGCACGACCCCACTTGAGGAGGGATAATGATTGACTAGCGTTTTTAATTGTTGCAGCTACGGCAATTGCGAAGCTATTAGGGTGCTGGGAGAGTTGAACGAATTTATACTGCCACCAGTCGATGTCTGCTACTCGCCAACAAAGGAATTGCCGGATACGTTCATTAAGGGGAGCATTAGTAGTCCGTTATTCTTATCACGACCCGTTTTCAGTATTAGTTCCTGCGTGAGGCTCACTTGTTAACAACTCACTGCAGCGAGAACGAACAGCAAGGAATAACAAGAATACGCCCCACAATCTTGACCTTCACTCCTCAACGACACCACGTCGCACTGCAATACTTACTAACTCTAACTTTCTCCGATGTGACAACGTGATTTGCACAGTTGACTGGTGTGCCAAGAATTTTAACAACGTCAGCATCGGCTCACGCAAAGAAGGCCAGACAATAACAACATCTTTGCTGCTTGTAGAAGAACAGGATCATGGTGTTGGTGACGAAGATGCTAGCCAAGCACAAAGTGACGAACACGACGACGGTAGGCAGGAAGTTGAGATGAATGGCATAGAGGTGGTGGAAGAAGAGAATAGGAGGCTTAGAGATCATCATCACGCAAATGAAGAAGATGGAGAAGACATAGACGGCAGGAGAGATGATGAGCATAAAAGCGGTAGCAGAGTAGAAGAGGAGGAGACTGAAGTGGTCGGGGACCACGAAGACGATATAATAGAAGAAGATGACGACGAAGAAGAAGTTGAGAATAGCCTTGAAGACAGCAAGAGGAAAGAAGTTCAGCCGACCACAGAAGATGTAGCCGTAGTAGAGAATACCAGGGAACAAGAACCTGATGCAGAACGAGTAGAAGACGAACATTTAGATGGTCGTGATGTGTCTTTTCTTGAAGAAGTTTCAAATACTAGAGCAGCACACAAGAGTAGTCCTACTCCCGCATCTTCTAGTGCACCTACAACCCCTCAAAGTCCAAATAGCACTACAAGCCCAGCTAGCAATGGAAATTTCACTAACGGGAGTAGGGTTTCAACCGATGAAAACGGCACAATTGTGATTCAACCGGCGCCCCCGACTACTCCAACGCCCATCCCATTAGACTACAGGTGGGAGATCGAGCCGTGTGGCGCGGGACCGATGTTCCGCGTTAACGCTTCGGACTTATCGTCCTCGTCGAGCAGTGCTGCGCCTCCACGATGAAGTCTAAGTTCGGTGTAGTATTTTCCCAGAAGAACAAGAAGTATCTATTATGACTCCAATGCTAGTATCAGTAAAAATAGTACGTGCTGCAGCTGTAGACCCAGACGTAGATTACCTACTTGCCTACTAAACCAATATCCAAGTGTGTACGGTTATACGCAGACGAAACAAAAAAAACTAAAGAACGGGTTAATCATTTCGTAGTTATTTGGTTTTCTTCTTCGCAACATTTTTGTCACTCAGGCGACAAAATACTTTTCCAAGAACAATAGAAATATCAAACACTTTTGAAAGACGAAGAGAGCCCAGACGTAATGGAAATCTGTAGAAGTTGCTTACATACTAGAAACTCGAGGTCCAGATCATGCACAACCAAGAGACTAATTTCTGCCATGACAAGGGAAAAGTGTTCCTCGTGTTCGTGTTGAGAATGGAAATGATGATGTTTTGAGTTCTGTTCCATCAAGGGTTCTTCCGACGGCGCAATGTGACGCTTGGGCAAGAAGAAAGACGCGACGCCTTGATCCTGGTGATCATCAGTGTTGTCAATCTTATCAATCATAATTGTGAGTAGGATCTATCAGCACGACTACCATCTTCTTTTTGCAGTTGGGCGAACAAGCATGTCACACACACCTGGGCCTGGATCTGGTTATCGATCGTCTTGTGTCCATAACTAAGACGAGGGTCTTGATGAAGATGAATGCACCGATCTAGTATTAGGTTCTGTTCGCTTATGGAATTGGAAATGGAATGACCACGGCAATTGCTCTTACATCTCCAAACTCTACGTTATTTGCTACCGACTGTATCCTGCACGCTAACATTTTGATCTAAATTTTTCGAAAACCGATTACTCAGTGAACGAGCAATATGGCGAAAAAATGAGGTACACCCACGAAGTACTGGACTGAAACTGATTTATCATTTTCCTAGTCCCTTCGCCTTGTTCACCTTCGCCCACGTATCTATTATGAGTAAGACTTGTTCCTAGAAGATTCTAGTTCTTTGTGTTGATTTTGTTGGTTCTGAAGGTGTCACTACACAACCATTGAAGATTAGATAGCATTAGTGGCTGAGGACAGTACCTTTTTCACTGTATAGAAAGTGAAAGATCAGTACAACTCCTTCCACTTTCTTGTTCATTTGCTTTTTCTTTTTTAGTTTTTCTCCACAAGGAGAGCAAAAATTAGCCCAAGATGGCGTATCATTCGTGGCCTGAGTTTGACTCCATGCGCGATGAGAAGACCGCGAAGCGTCAGCGCACGGAGCAACAGGGTTTTATGGGCAACAAGAAGGCACAAGTCCTCAACAAAAACGCTGCCGAACAGCAGATTACAGCCGAACAGCTGATTCGAGAAGCGACAGAGAGAGCCAATGTGATCCATATAGAGCCTAAGCAGGACATCATCGGTGAAGATGAGCTGCAAGCGTATCAGGGGAGGAAGAGAAAGGAGTTCGAGAATGCGCTGAGGATGAACAAGAATAATATGGGTACCACTTCTGCTAGAACTGTGAGAGTTCGGATCATAATTGGTGATTAGATGATGATGATTATAGTCGTGGAGTTTACGTGGCACCATCCATCTATTCGTGATGAATCCTGCCAAGAATTCGAATTCAGTATATTTATATCTTCCCCACATCAAAATCAAAAACGAAAATCTGATCCTCCTACACATTCCAGGTACCTGGACTAAATACGCTACTTTTGAGGCGTCCATGAAGGAGTATGCGAGAGCAAGGAATGTTTTCGAGCGTGCGTTGCAGGTCGAAATGCACAATACACCTCTGTGGCTGAAATACATCACATTTGAGCAGAAGGAAGGTTTCGTAAACCACGCAAGAAATTTGTTCGATCGAGTGACGCTGCATTTGCCAAGAGTAGACCAGTTTTGGTACAAATACGCTTATATGGAGGAGCTGTTAGGGAATTTTAGCGGTGCAAGAGCAATATTCGAAAGGTGGATGGAATATGAGCCGGAAGATAATGTACTTACTTCATTTTGTCTTTGATTTTGTGTAGTGCTATGATCAACTGCACATTTTTAATCTCCCTCACTTCATACCATGGCAGCAAACTAGTACTGGAAACTACATTTTTTACACCGATTTAGCTGGGCCGCTGAAATCTGCATCGTGGTCTTCCTTGAGAATATAATTCTCCAACACAAATAACCTTAACCACCTGCAGGGCTGGACCTCCTTCGTGAAATTCGAGGAACGGTGCGGTGAGATCGACCGTGGTCGCCGCGTCATGGAGCGATATGTTAGTTGCCACTGTACACAAGCAGCCTTCACACGTATGTGCAAGTTCGAAGAGCGGCATGGCAACGTAGCGCGAACCAGATCTGCCTATGAGAAAGCAATAGAGCTGCTGGAAACCGAGCTAGACGAGAAGTTCTGGATCGCTTTCGCGCAGTTTGAGGTAAGACAGGGGGAGCACGTGCGAGCACGAGCAATATTCAAGGCAGCATTGGAACAAATACCGAAAGACAGAGCAGAAGAATTGTATCAAAAGTACGTGAATTTCGAAAAGATTCACGGTGGACAAGAAGAAATCGAAGACGTAGTGATGCAGAAGAGAAGGTACAACTGCTATTTGGAGCTTTTATGCCTACAATTGAGTCGACGAGGACATTAGAAGTATTCATATTCTAGTGGTAGTGACGACGAAAAAACAATGATGAAACACATGGCATTGCAGAGCTACTTCTTTAGGAAGCGATTCCAAGAAGAATGCTTTGAAGAAAAACTCTCACGTTCCTTGCTGATACAATCTTGGAAATGACTGCAACTTCTTGTTGTCAATCAAGGTCCTTCGTCGTTCCATGAAAAAGAAATTCTCATTTACTTCTCCCCCCACGACCCTTGTCCCAGGTTCGCCTACGAGGAAACGCTAAAAGACAAACCTCGCGACTACGATACTTGGTTCGATTATTTGCGTCTCGAGGAACAAGGTGGTGACATTGGCGCGGTCCGCGAGCTCTATGAGCGCGCTATTGCGCAGTTTCCGCCTATTCAGCAGAAGGACTATTGGAGGAGATACATCTATCTCTGGTACAACTACGCCATGTTCGAGGAAATGCAGGCACAAGACTACCCGAAAGCACGCAAAGTCTACGACACTATCATGAAGATCTGCGGTAGCAAAAAACTCTCTTTTGCCAAACTGTATCATCAGTACGCGGAATTTGAACTGCGAAGATTGAATCTGGATCAAGCAAGACGAATTTTCGGCAGAGGCATGGGCGAGTGCGCGAAGCCGAAATTGTTCCAGTGGTACGCGGCTCTGGAGATGCAGCTAGGTAACTTCGACAAGTGCCGAGTCATCTACGAAAGGTTCTGCGAAACTCACGCCACAGCACCGACTGGCTGGCTAAAATACGCTGAATTCGAAGAAGCTTTGGATGAAATCGAGAGGGCGCGCTTCATCTACGAAACCGCTATTGAAGTGGTCCAGGACAGACCAGAAGTTGTCTGGCGCGCTTACATCGACCTGGAGGTGAATATGGGCGAGCTAGAACGCGCAAGACGGTTGTTAGACAGGTTGTTGGAGAAGAGTTCACATTTGCGAGTTTGGAGAGTCTATGCGGAGTTTGAGCTCGATAATGCAGGCGATGCAGGTCGTATGCGAGACGTATTGGAACGCGGCTGTAGCGAGTTCAAAGAACGAGGCCAGAATGAATCAAGAGCCATGCTTTTGGAGTTCTGGCTGGCACAAGAACGCAAGCGTGCTACGAAAGAACTCAAGGAGATGAAAGAAGCTGACATACAAGCTAGTGCTGAACAACAAGAGCAGGACCAACCAGATGAGGTAGAAATTTCTAAAGATGAGGTGGAAGCAGATGAATGGGTTGGAAAACTAAGGGATAGACAACCAAAGAAGAAGAAGATGCGTAGTGAGGATGATGGGCAAACTTACATGGACTACATCTTTCCAGATGACTCAGCAGGAGAAAAGAATCTCAAGATCCTACAAGCAGCACAAGCCTGGAAAGCCAAAAAAGCAGCGAAAGCTGCGGCGGCAGCGGCAGCTGCTTCGTAGGCTTTGCAGGGTGGCCACAGCGTGAGCTTTTGGTCTACTCGGGATTAGACCTAGTCTTTCACCGCGGATTTCATTTTCACGTTCAACATTTTCAGCTTTGTTTCATCTACTTTCATGCTCATTTTCACGCCATATTCACCACGAGTGGTCAGTTCTTCGTCATGTTGAAGAACATGATCTTCATGATACCACACCAAGAATGTGTCATTTCATTTACCTTGTCCCACTGACGCCCCTTGTTGATGCTCTCGTCAACGTGTACAGACTTCCCATGTGAGAGCATGATGACCAGCTGCTAACACTAGCTGCCGGGAAAAACACTGTAGGATGCCTACAAAAATAGACGTAAGCGAACCGCTGATGATGCTGGTTGGCATCTTTGGAGGAGTGTACTAGCTGTTTCACATTTGATCGATCACTAGGAGCTGATAATGTTCCGTCCACACGAGCACTTTCATTTCTGGCTTGTTGCGTACTATCAGGATCCTAAATTGTTCGTTTTCGTGCTAACAACGATCAAAATTCTGAAGTCGTGCTACAGACCACGACGCTTGATGTGCAGTCACTCGTTTCATCATTGATGACAAATAAATTACAGATGCACTTACACGACGATGGATTCTTCACTTGCGCTTCAAATCCATGTGAAGAGTGAGAATGCAATTATAATAGTTGTTCGCTCCAGACAGCCACACCCCTCCTGTTTCGAATGATCAGTGAAGATGCTTGCAGTTCGTATTTTGTCACCGGTTTATTGAGCTCATGCACACACACACACAGATGTAGAGCTCCCTCGAACAGATATGTAGAGCTGGTTATCATAGAGTGCGATATTGGATGAGTGATTTATACATAGGAACAAGTTTTTAGAGTGAGTACTCCTGCTTTCTTAATCTACGATAATTTTAAAGATAAGGGGGTAAATAATTGATTGAAAGGGTGGCGGCATATAGTCCTAACGCAAAAAAAAAAAAAAAAACTACGGGTGTTGGGAACGACACTATCAGGGGCATACACATGACATAATATAGATCTTTCACAACTACTTGGTCCTGGTCTAGCTACAGTACCCCCAGCACCATAATGAGTAATTCCACTCCTCAGATGAATCAAAATGATGCTCCTACTGCGTCGGCCTCGTCTTCATCAACGGGAGCTGCAACACCACCGGCAAGTGACAGCCCAGAAGACCCTTTGATCATGTATGTCGTCATACGGCAAGACTTGGACTGGCCAAGAGGAGCCATCGTTTCACAAGGGAGTCATGCTTGCTGCGCCGCTATAGCAGAAGGGTTAAGAGCCAACGATGAGCATACACAGAACTACCTAAGACCAGAAAATCTGCCACACTTGAGGAAATGCGTTTTGGGGGCTGCCGATTTAAAGGCTTTGGAGAAATTAGGAACGAAATTGACTTCAGCACCACCGTCGACATGTCCCTTCTACATGTGGCTGGAACAACCTGAGAATATTGCAACAGCATTAGCTTCATGGCCAAGACCAAAAAGTCAAATACAAAAACTCTTTAAAGGATTCAAATTGTTCGCATGAAGAACAAATTATAACGATTTTATCTCTTTTTCTAACTAGTAGTAGTACTCACACGACTCTCTCTACTACCTCGCCCAGGATTCTCCTCGTCCTTGAAGACCAAAAATGGACGTGCTAAATAAATAGTTCCGAGGGCGCTATGATTGTTGTTTACCCAACGTATCACGGAGCTACCTGCTTCTATGGGCTGAATGTTATTTGGGCCTTTGTTGAAGGGTGTTGAAGGTAATCACAAAATGAAATTCAAAGTTGGTACAAGGAAAGAGCATGTAGTGAGCGGAAACTGAGAGATCACCAAGAGCATTTTGAAAAACGAAAAATTTGTGATGTCCGAGAGCGGATGCTGCATACAAAAAGAGGAAAGACTAGCCGGTCATGATAACTTTCGATAACTCCTGGCGATATCAACTTACTGAAAAAATTTGACTTCTGGTGCGGTTTGTTACACATTGTGCGCTTACAACAGAAGTATTGTTCTTGAGAATAAAGACACAACATAAGGAAACATGACTCGTCCTCCGCGACCGAGAAAACGGTAAGAAGACTAGTATGGCATGCGGGTCACCGCTTGCGGTGGTCTCCGCCATGCTAGGACGGACGGCGACAATCGTTCTGGTCCTCGTCGTACTAGGACACCAGGAAGTTTTCGCCAGATCTCGCAGCGGGAGAGTTCTGGGTCGTGGTGGCTCGTTTCTGGCCACTGACACGACGAAGAGAGCAGGAAGGCGGGATGCTGGGAGGTTTCGTGATCTTGGAGATGTGGCGGCGAAAAGAGCTAATTATTGGAGGCCCAGCACATCCACATCGTACGTGTCCCAAGACAACTTCGCTTCTGAAGAGAATAACCAACAGAACAGCTTCAGCTACAGCCGAAGATCCAAGAAGAATTACAACAAGAATCCTGCAGTCGCCAACAGTGATCAGGGCTCGTGCATGTCCCAGCAAAGCGCCAGAAGCAAGCGTGAACTCCGCAGCTACATGCTCAGGCAGGAATTTGCGTTTCTTATGCGGAACGCGGATAGCACTGAAGCTGCCTACCGACACATGATCCGGGAGGACCTAGCGACTGCGGAAGAACAACTTGCAAAGGTGGTGAAATTCAACAAGAACAGAGAAGATACGCACACCAACAACGCTCTAGGAACATCGTCATCATCATCATCATCATCATCACTAGGAAAATCGTCATCTGCTTCGTTAGCATCGTCATCGGCTTCGTTAGTGGAACAAGAATCGTCTTCGCAATCGTCTGCATCCCTCACGAAGGCTACTTTGGATCAGTTTGTGGAGCAAACGAATATGGCAGTCTTTCAACAAGCTCTGCAAAACGACATTGAGCGGTTACGAACCTCTTTGCGCAACAGTATTCCTCCCTCTTCTAGTAGGAGTGCTGAAAAGCGCTCGCGAGAGGTCGCGCTCGCGAGAGTGGCATCTCGTCCGCAGGAGAATGTTGACCCTGCTGCCCTTCTTTCTGACCTTGACAGGTTCCATGACGACGTCAGTAGCAGCGCGGACAACGACAAACAACGGGACAGCAGTAAAGCGGGCGATGCAGCAGGCTCTTCATCTTCTGCATCTGAAGATGCGACTAAGGTAGAACAGCGCACGGAAGCAGAAAAGCACCGAGCTGAATTAGACAAGATCTTTGGACGAGGTACGACGAGCCTAGTAGATGACCCTAGCAAGAACGAGGACGCTCGTCCTCATCTTCAATCACAATCCCAACAAGACGAGCAGGATAACCAAAATGGTTACAGCGAGGACAATGCGCTAATCCGTCTTCGTCAAGAGAAAAGTCTGAAAAAGCAAGAAAAGGCGCTGAAAAAGCTCTTTTCTTCGAAGTCTGGTCGTGAAGAGTTCCTCAAGCGTGTTGTCCGATTAGCGGAGCACGCTGTGACGCTCCTAGGCCGTCGAGCTCAAAATGCCTGGAATGTCAACACTGCCTGTTGTGTTATGGCTAAAAGAGAAGATCGTTTTTTCTGCTTGTACCTATTTTTGTACTATGCGAAAGTAAGAATTAGCACTCCTCCTGCTGCTGCTCCATCATGCCATAGTGAAGGATACAACTAATACTTCACAACAAAACGCACTGATAGCTCACTTCTAATCCCAGCTGCAAACACGCAATCAAGGTCGCTGGAGACGCAATGAAGGAGCCTAACTTACCGAAGATGTTAGGCATTCCACGTGTACTAATGGAGGGTTTCGGCATGCCTGATGGTGAGATAGTCACCTACTTGCGATCGCACTTGAATTATGAAGAGGATTTGGTCCATCGGTAGATGATGTCGATTTCTCCACAGTATTAACTGCTCCAAGTAGTCCTTGATGTCGATTTCTTTTTCCCTATGATTCTATAATCATGGTTATCCACTGTCACTGACTTGGTTCGACGGAGCTATTCCTATGCAGTGAGTTTTCTTTTGCATAACCCAGCTTCGTTCATACCTGCTCTCCCTTTCAGACCACGACCTTAAATTCAACGAAGATAAACAACACTCACCTGCTCCGCGTGCCCCTCCTTTCATAACCCGTTAGATCCACAAGACTGCCAATGGTCCCGGTGCATTGATGATTTGGCTAGCCACGATCAAAACTCAGCCTTCGGTCTCGCAGTTTTCGCCAACCGTACAGCGCACCTTTGCTTCGCTCCGCAACGCCATTTGTCAGTGCACTACACAAGATGCGACTTGGATTTATGACAAACAGGATAGTAGACGTTGAGATAAAATAAGTAGATGATCCAGAATACATGACGATGACTACTTCTGATGTATCTTCTATAGTGTGAAATTGAAAATCAAAATGATGTTCATCTGGAACATAGAGCTAACTAGCACGACGACCTTCGCACTCTGATTAAATAGTACTACATGACTTCTACAAACATCGTTGCTCTCTCTCCTCCTTGTCTCTCGCTCCTCTTCTACGCTTCTAACCTCAGAGTGCTCCCCTGAATGGTGCGAGTCTTACGTGTCGGAAATGGAGTTGAGGGCTAATTTACGCCAAGCTGCTGTGGACAACTGTACCAATGCGACTGCAGAATTGGCTGTTATGTTTTGATTGGTGAGAGGTCTACGTTCTTTGCGAACATGAAAGATATCAGAGTAGTACTAGACGTAGAGTGCTGTACCAAAAGGGTTTCATATTGGTAGGAAGTATGCAAGTCATTGGGAAGCATGCAAGTCATTGTGAAGAAATAGACTAGCATCTTCATCTTTACCAAAAATGCTACTACCTACTTCATTATAGATTAGCATTAGGAGCTACTACAACTACGACCTCACATGCATATCCTGTTCTACACTCCCTCTCTAACCCTCAAGCTCACGAAGAACAAGCTCGGGTAGCGGCTATGGGGGACAACGCGACCAATGAGACGATCGAGGCTGCTCAAAATGATACGGATTTTTGGACAATCCAAAAGCCCATTCGATGCGACGTTTCTGCCTATCCTACATGGCCGGGACATCCCCAACCACTGGGCGATTACAACATCACGGCGTGTAATCAGACATTTTATGACAACAAGATTATCCGATGGAAGCCTAACTTGACTTCTAGATCATTACCAGATCATCTTCATCTTCACACGGCACAATCGAACTCATTTTTCTAACATCTGTCTGCATGGATGAATTTGAATATTAGATTCAGTAGTACAACCAGACAAACTGTATAATTTATTTTGTCTCCCTACCCCTCTTCATTCCACCGAAAAAGCGATTTACGTGAATCAGAATGACTGGTGGGAAAACTTGCCTGATGACATGTTCGGCAACAAACTAGTCAAGAAGCTTGGTCTCGAACGTATATGGAATCCACCTGCGGGAGAAAGTTCTTATGAATGGTTGGGTGGTCTTGGGCAGTTGGTACTGTTGTGAAATGAGGCGTTGAGAAGGCTGAAGCTTCAAAGTCAAGTAAGATGTAGATGGTGTGGCTAGATGTGGCTAGATGTAGATGGCTGTCCTGGGAGGTAGATGAGCTCATCCTAATTATAGATTTGCTGCTCGATGGTGCTCTAATCTTCTTTCGTCTATTGGCAATGGGAAGATCCTAAGCACGACGTGGACATGACGGATCACTCTTTGAGGTGACGCTGGTGGAAAATCTAAAGAGCAGGAGCAAAAGATATTAGTGAAAAAATGGTGGTTTTTTGAAATAGATTGAGATTAATGATTGCGCACAAGAACAAGAAGAACCTTCATGAGTAGAATCGATTTAAGCCTAATCAGAACATGGTGTATGCTGAAGCTCAAACAACAACAAGTAGTTCAAACGAATATTCATAGATGAAAAGGAACACCAGCACAACGAACGGACAAGAAATAACGCGCATGCACAGGAGTGACCTTCAAAAGGTCGTCTTTGTTGTTGAATAGGTGGTTTGTTTTGACATAACGACAACTGTCGTGAGAAACATGATCATCAGAGCATAGTGGATACTAGAGTTCGAGAATACGCGTGGAAAGCACCTTTTTGGTGTTTCCCAAGATATGGGTGCAGCTCGTGTTCTTCATCAGGGGCGAGATTCCGAGAGCCTTTCTTCTTGATTTCTATCTGACCTTGAAAAGAAGTAGTTGAGCATCTGGACGCGATCCGTATTTGTAACTAAAAATGACGAGCATAAGTGGAGAAATGATGCCTTTTTGAAGCTGACCAGCTGGTTCGGCGCACACGTTAGAAGATTTCATCTTGTGTAACGATCACAGGCAAAAAAAGTTTTATTGATTCTCGACGAAACTGTAACTTGAATTTGTTCTTATCCTATTCAGACAATCAAGTACTAGAAAATGTCATCGTCTTCAACCTCGTCAAAAAATGATAGTACAGAGCTAGAACAAGCCCGAAACACCACCAACGAACCGCTTTCGATTCCTCGATTGCTCCATGGTCTTCGGAACTTCAAAGTCCAGGTCGCCTTTCGGCCTATTGCGATGGCACCCAAGTTAAAAGATCCGGTCTATCGTATTGACGGCACACTTCGGTTTGCGCAGTTGTACAAACGGGTTAATTATGATGTTGTTGGTTCGCATTCGATGACCATGAAGACAATGAGTACTTGATGGAGATGGTTGCTTACTTTTCTTCTGCATGATGCGCTTGCGCTCTGCTAGAAAATAATCACAGTAACACTGGCGCATCAACAATGAGCGGCTTTGATGCAGTCCTCCTCAACGTTCTCTTCTAAGTCCTGCAAGCTCTCAGCGGTTCTCGTGGTGGCATACCGAATTTGTACATGTATTTGCAGAACTCGTTTCAGCCCGAGGGGGACGATTGCGTCGCTGACCTCTACAACTGCTTCAAGGGACCTGGTGATCAATTAGTGTTTACCTACAGTCTGGAACCGGCTTATTCGTGAGGACTACAAAATGACTGCTTCCACAACGACCTCTTGACGAGGCCCGAGCGCATTTCGATTTCTAACCTTCGACACAACGAGCGCCGTTCTTCTAACTCCAATAATTCATTCTATGATCTTCATAACGATGTTGGACTACAACTACAAGAAGAGGATACAGAAATTATAGTGGAAGCTGCATCGAACCGGCTTATTCGTGAGTATCAAAAACAAAAAGGACTACAAAATGGCTGGCACTTCTTCAACATCAGGACCACCATTTTTCCCCTCTGCTTCCTCCAACAACAGCAGCAATTCTTGCAGAAACAATCTCTCAGAGCAGACGGCGTGGTTTCAATCAGTGAAGCCTGATGTTTTGCAGACTGTGGCCTATGGGTTTGACCCTAGCGTGGTACAGCAACCACAACACATCCCTCATTGGAAATTCGTCTCCGGGTGGGCAGCTTTGGATGCTAGCGGGCCAGTGACTGTTTCTACAGCTGGTCCATCTAAAGGACTATCCGGTGGTGCAGGAGCAGCAAAGTCAAGTGGAACTACAGGGACACAAGAGTTGAGTACTACGGCGAATTTGAAACGAGATCAGAGTCAAATACAGCAGACCCAGACAGCTGCAGCGCAAGAGGGAGGACCGTCATCGGGTAGTGATACGAAGATGTTAAAGACGTCAGGACCCGTCGGAACATCACTAGGACGACAAGCTGTTGGGCACCAACAACAATTCAACAATGTTGGATTTGGAGGTCAACAAGAACAGCCAGTTGGCTTTGGTCAACAACCATCATCTTCTTCTTCTTCCTCTTTTATCGCCCGAACTACTGCTCCACAAGCAGCGATGGCGGGCCAACAGAATCTATCAATGTCAAGTTTGCAACAACGACAACAGAAAATGCCCAGCACCGGGCAACAACAGCCACCAGTCCCTGCACAGCCGCAGGTCGGGGCTACAACGGCGTCCGGCTTTCCATCTTTCGGCGCTCCTCAGCCTCGTCAGGGAAGTACCCTCCAACAGCCACAGAACCGCAACATCAAGCAACCGCGAAGAGAGGCTCAACATCAATCCTTCAACAACCACATGAACATGCCTTTTAACAATACAGCAACTACAGTGAGCGATCCCCCCGTTGTATCGTCTTCAAGTTCATCTTCGTTTCGACCTCCTAACACTAACATGATCAACGCAGGTTTTACTACTTCAAATGCCGGTACGCTAAGCGGAGGTCCGATAGCAGGTGGAGGTTTTGGCTTCGGTCAACCATCATCTTCGAGCTCGTTTCCTAATTCAAACTTTCCACCTGTAGCTAGTGTTACGCGACTGCCTAATGAAACAACTACTAACGTGAAGCCTGAAGCTAGTCTGACTGCTGCTTCACAATCCCTACTTGCTCGCATGCGAGCGCAACGGGCGAAAGTAAAAGACGACATTATTGTTTTGGACGACGATTGATTTCTTTATCTTTTTCTGAGGTGGTTTATTCAATAAGACTTGCTCTTTCTGTTCCAAAAACCATGCGCGTGGTGTAGTAGTCTACTCGTATTTTACTGTCGACTCACAGTCAAATGAATTAGTATGAATATTAACTCCAAACTGGCACTGACTGGAGGTTGGAATCAACCAGCTTTGTCTAAAGATTGTTTGTGGAGGAGATGCTCTGTTTCGTCTGATGATTAAAATTTCGACGAAGCTGAATTATCAACCAACAGAAGGCAGAAGGTGAACAACAAACAACAGAAAGAACAACTAAAGCAACAACATCGGTAATCTGGCTGTATGACTTCTGTAGTTGTGAATTGACTCAAGAAGCATCCAACTATCGGTACTGCGTCGGTCTGACTTTCTCATATTTCATGCTGCTCACGAATGCCGACTTCTACTTTAGTCTGTACCATTCAACATTCCCCTCAGGAAGTACATTCCCCTCAGGAAGTGTCGTTCAGTGAAGTTAGCGTAGCTAGTATCATGTTCATGATCATGATGAAAAAGAAAAGTAGGAGAAGCAAAACATAAACCAAATCCAACTCTAGCATGGCAATAGATTACGACGAGGCCATCAAGTCCTTACGTGGCAGCCTTCATCTTCACACAACCATACAACCAACCTTTCATGGTAAGCCTTGAAGATGCAACAAGGCTCTTTGTACTTTTTGCCTTTATCTTTCGATAAGTTATAACATATTAAACGTCACCAACTCCAGCATAATCTTCATTATCTTCATTCATATTGTCCACCCGCTATAATTCCCCTACATCGTAAGCAGAAACGAACATGGTAATCCCCTTGCCTGCAGTGCAGGTACAACCTGAGCCCACACAGTGTGGGATGGTTTCGAGGCCATGGCTCTACTTCTTAACCTGTGTAGTCATGCTGCATGCGATAGAGCTGTTCTGGTTTCGGAACATCATAGGTGGGTTCCTCATGCTCATACTCGTCAGCGTCGGCTTCTACACACTACGCGAAGGCTCATTGGATATGCAGTGTATGGTACTAGCGTTACCTGCATTGCCAATATTCACTTTGGGACTTCGATTTGATTGTTTCTGGATTGTTTTTGGTTACTACCTAATACTAACAAACCAGACTATACTTGCTGGTACCTACTTACATGGTATATGTGTCTTCAACACCGACATTGGTCGTTGTGACTCAACGCTTCCTCACAGCACTCTTTTCTCTTCACGACATAGTCCATCAATTAAAAAATCCACCTCAATCATTAAGGTTGTCTGGGGCATGATGTGTTTTATCAATGGCGTCTTTTCGGGGATAGAGTTGATACACCGAGCTGTACAGCCAAATGCGCTTCCACTTTTCGCTGGGAAAGAATATCAAAAGGTAGTCATCATGATGACATTATAACAACGCTTTGATGTTTTACAAAAAGAAAAAGGCTCCATGTTAAAAATCCCAATATTCATTGAATTCTATTTTTTTCCATGACTTCACACACTTGTGTTTCTAGTAGGTATACTCTCTTATTCTCGTTCCTTTCTGATTCTCCTCTGAAAAATGTCTCAGGTCCTGGATGCCAAGCTGCCGCGACTCACGTTATGGGAATGGAATATGCTGAATGCCTTCAACATTGCCGGCGTAATGGCATTGGTTTCTTTAAGGCTTCGCCTAATCCATCTCCCTAAGTATCTATCCTGACAAGTGGAAACGCAGTTCAGCCTGAACTGTTCAGGATGAGTCTCAGGATCATGGATTAGGATGTTGCGCTCTAACTTCTATTTCTATCGTGGCCTTTGTTGTTTTCAGAAAAAGTATCGACGAACTAACGCAGCGAGAAGAGCAGCCTCTGATCTTGCCATCAAGAGACTTCGGAGGAGGACGTGTAGGTAACTCGGCACGTGGAAGTGGAGCTTCACCAACAAGGGCACCGGCTGTTATGGTTTGGAGGACTTCTAATTCTAAATACTACAAGTTATAATAGAGTAGTTTATAGAACGGATGTAGGATGGACTTGGATGGATCGGATGGACCCCCCTGATTCTTCCGATCCTACTTGAAATGGTGGGAAGTCCATCCGTTCCATCCGATCCATCCCATCCCGGATCTGGCACCCCTATAAACTCCGCTATTATAACAATTCATCAATTCCCCTGCTATAACTGTTGTTCTTGTAGCTGATGTTGTAGTTGTCAAGAAACTTTTCGTCCCTATCATCATCTACTGCTGATGTAACTCTTAGTGTACAGTGGCTGTCATTGTCAAACTTGCTAAATAAATGCTTCTACGTAGATAGAAGTGCTACACCGAAGTGCTAGTACAAGGGCATGATGTGGTATCAACACCTACTTGTACCTCTCTTCTAACTTTGATCCAGAAAACGCGAATGGTCGTGGATCGAGTTCCTTCGTCCCTTTCAGCGGCGAGGGAAATCGTGTTGGTGGAGCAGATAGCGATTAGACGAAGAGGAGAAAGCACATTAGACCTAGACGCAGTAAATGAAGTCACAGTATTAAGAAGGAAGCAACTTGATAAAGCTAGTAGCTTACAAATTAACATCTTCAACTTAGTAATTTATTATGGTAAAAGTAATAGTCTGATTCTCTACCGTAGTTTATGCAACATATTACAACATTTACATTTATCATCTACATCACATTAACAACTACAACCACCACGTTACCCAACTCGTTCTCGAGTTCATTCCTTCATCTATGTATGGGGAAAACACACTGCAAGGCAGAAAGAATCAGGAAGTGGGAACACTTCCTCTAGTAGGGGAAAATTATTGTACAAAACGGATCGTTCTTTGGGCACGACCACGGTGGCGAGAGAGGAAAGACGCTACTAGCAGTACGTGAACAGGTTGTCAGTAGTAGAGGCGACTAGAAAGAAGGCAGCATAGAGTTCACAATCACGATGACCGTTGGTTAGGGTCTGCATTCCAAGAATAAGAATCTTCGTCTCTCTCAAAGCCTTGTCGTTAGTGTATTTTCATTCGAAACAAAGTCAATGTACTTCAACATCATTTTGGGAAGATCCACCATGCTGGATCAGCAAGAAAACAATTGCAATTGTACACAGCGAAAAACACCAACGACAAAGTAAGAATATAGAAATGCAGTATGCAATTATAATTTCTACGCAAGGATATGAGCGCTCCGCTTTCTCCGCTGCAAACAATTTGTATTTGAATGATCTGTGTTAGTTATCATGTGTTGAGGAAAGAGCAAGCTGGCGCAGAAAAGAGAAATCAAGCGAGTAGATCAAGAAGTGTGAGCGTGCGCTGAAACTTTGCCATTTTTCAGGAAACCATTATTCTTCAAAAGCAACACAAAAGGAGTGTGGACTACGGCATCTTCTACAGTATAGACTCACTGAGTAGAAGTACGACCACGGTTTTAGGCGTTGCCCCGGTTTTGTTAGCGCGCTTTTCCTCGGTGAAATATGTCAATTTAATTGATGATGATTTCCACTCCACACACAGCAATAATGTATTCTGAATGGTAAAAAAAAATGGTCCTTCTTCCTGGCGCTGTAGCGACAGGAGCCTCTTCGTTATCTGCGTCTAAACCTGGCGTTTTCAAGTCACTCTGGCGCAACGTGGTAGACTTTTTTCAGATCTACGTCGTAGGTGGAAAAATGGAGTACGACCCGACGGGAGACCGGAGACAAGCAGACATGGGCTACGAAAACGAATTCTACTATGATGAAAATGAAAGAATATGGAAGAGACGAGGAGGATCGTCGATGGTAGCTCCTCCTGCTGGACCTCCTGCAGCAGTTGCTGTTCCTCCTCCTGCAGCGGTTGCTGCTCCTCCTCCTGCAGCGGTTGCTGCTCCTCCTCCTGCACCAGGAGCTTCATATCCAGCAACTACTGAACAAGAACACCAACCTCCAGCACACCAGGCTGCGATACATCAAGCCTCGTTCTCTATGCCGCTTGTTCCGCAGCCTCCAATATCAAGCATGAAATTCTCGCAAACAGGAGATTTGATTCCCACGCCTGCTGATGATTCAATGCAGCAGCTGCCTCCTCTCTCAGTTCCACCAGCTGGTTCTAGCACAACCCCGGCTCAGGCAAGCAACATGATAGTACCTCCACCATATACTGCATCATCATCTAGTCTTTCAGCACCAAGAATAGGAACAACAGGAGGAGTACTTGCTCCACCTCCACCAGGAGGTACTTCAAGTTCAACAGCCGGACGGGTAGCTCCACCTCTACCAGGTACTTGTCCACCTAGTACCGGCGCAGGCAACGCAAGCAATAGCAAACCACGCGGTGAAGCAACAGCATGGACCTACACTGACTGGACGACTGGTCTAGAGGTCTCTGTGGGCCCAGCAGCACTTCCGAAAACTTTAGCGGAATTGAACCAGAATAGATGGGAATCGGGCGAACAACATCAGACTGGAGCAACCAGTGGAGGTCCTGTGCCTGCAGTTGACAAGAATAAGTACAAGAATAGAGCTCTGCAGAACCAGTCGAATAGGAGGCAACCTCAAGAATTCAAGCCCATTGTGGCTGCAAGTAACCCATTTGATTATAGTTGACATTTTTGTTGGCGTTGGGCGGGCGCCCATGCCTCATCCTCACCCTCACCTTTCACCTTCTTCAAATGTTCTCTTTTCCCATGCTTTTCGTCATCATCCATTTCCATCATTTCTATGAAAACGTATCTCCAACTCCAACAAAACTACACCTGAACCCCACAACCAGACGCAAAATGGTTCGCGTTACTTATGACTTTTTGAAGAATCATCCAAGAACACTACGACTACACTGCGAAGCAAAGTTTTTTCCTCCTGTACATTTAGTATGCGGATGCGGCACTGTTGAACGCGTATCTTCAATCATCCTGCTAGTCATCTTCGTGGACCATACGTGTGAAATCAAAAGCATGATAAACTTGTTTTCCACTAAGTACTGACACAGGAGACACGCAACAAAAGAAGACCTCCATTGAAGAAAGGAGAACTGATGAAAAAGGTGAGAAACTAGCAAATGTAAGAGAGAACCAAATTGGGTAAAGTTAAAGATGTGAGAGAGAACAAAGAGAAAGCGGCTTGTTGAAATCGTGCTCAGAAAAAAGACAGGTACCTGCGAGAACAAATCATGTAAATTCTCAAGTCGGACGAGGGACCATCACAATCACTTCTACAGGCAACGGCTGGGAAAATCGAAAAAGATAAAGCTCGTGCCTCTTCGTAACCCTCTTCGTAACTGCAGTCCAGATAGTGTGTCCACTCACTCAAATTTTCAACTGTTGTATCGTAGATTATCGGAGCGCCGCATGGCGCGGCGTTCTTCAACATCATGCTTCGTCTCCGCGGCGCCCTACGCAGACAAAAGGCATCCGGAGTGATCGTTCCTATCCTTTTGCCGAACGGTTGAGGGGCTGTGAAAACGTGGTGTGAAGAGCGAGAAACAAAAAATACAACTAAACAGCCTATTAGTTGAGTCAGTTTCCAGGAGGTGGTGGTGGAGGTACATCTCGAAGAAGCAACTCCTTGCTGCTAACAGCAAAGCCACCAAAGCGCGTCGAAAATGGCTGATTCAGCATTCGTGACTGCTGCCCCTTTGGTGACCCTAGTGGCGCCAACGGTGGACGCAGAAGGAGTTTGTGGCAACAACTGTATCCCTGTAGGATGGGAACACCTAAAGCAGATCCAAAATATGATCTTAAGGCTTCAGGTAATTCATCTCCAGAAGCATCGTGGGACCTTCCTCTAAGGGAAAAGCAAGCCCAGGATGGCTCCTAAGATGGATTCCGGGAGGTGGGTCTAATGATCTTCATGTCTTGGACGGTTGCTGCAAGTTTTACGCTGCTGTCGACGTTGAGGACTTACGTGACAGGTAATTGATCTTGTTCTTACCTTACACAACCAATGGTGAAGATCGTGATACAAGCACTTCGAATCCGAAAACTAATTTCTCAGTCTTCTAATTTGTTCTTCTGACGCTCCTCTGCTTACTTCCTTATCCTTTCCCTAAACCCTAAGCCCTATGTCCTCACCCAGGTGAACGCAACCTTTTCGGTGTGATCCCTGTGACAGAGGAAACTGTCGATCGCGTACTCGGTATCCAATACTGGCTAGCCACGCACAACAAATGGTTTGTGGTTACGATATTTGCATGTCTGATGCAACTGCTTTTTTTCATAGAGCGGTTTGAGAGCAAGCAAGTTCCCGGTCCACATTCCACCATAGAGATTGGTTTCGGAGCGATTGTGCTGATCGAATTCCTCGTTCTCCTGCTCCACACGATGTTTCTGCCTACGCCTCTAGCAGTGATGAACTGCATCTCGAGGATACCTGTGGACATAACGATAATTTTCAGCAGTTTCATGCTTGGTAGGGTCACGTACGATGCGACGGACCACATAGACGCGGTGACGATACCAGGCAATTCGATAACGACGATCCAAACGAAGACATGGTCTTGACTCCTACACACTGTGTTAGTACTGGGCTTGCTTCAGCTTCACGCTGTCCAAGATGAAGAGGACGCCACTCATTCTTACGTATAGCTCTGCTTCCACTCTCACTCTCGCGGGATTTGTACTGAAGCCACCTCCAACATCTCCGTCAACACCTCCAACATCTCCATGATCCTCCAACATCTCCGTCAACTACACCTCCTCAGGTACGTTCCAACGCAGTTCATCTGCTTCCGCCTAATGTACGTTTGGCGCAGATGGTTCGTTTCCTTACCCATATCGAATTCCGCTTCTTTCAAAATCCTTCGCCTGCTGAATATACCCATCTGCGTCTTTCCTTTTCTCTTCGTCGCTGCAATCTCCGTTGCCGTCTACGAGGAGGCAGGCTTTGATCCGAGATGGTACTTGAACGGCCCGCCGATGGAGGAGGACAAATTTGCGGTTCTGGCGTTTCGTAGTTACATAGACCCGTATCCTGCAGGCATGCCGTTTTTTCAGTACGATAAGTTGTGGGGACCGGAACTAGGTGGCGACCAGGTGCCAGAGGAGGACATGAAGCAATCGTTCAACATGCTTTGGACGCCGCTGGGAACGGCTTACTTTATGGTGTGAAAGCCTCCCACAGCACATGCACAGTTCGACGCTTTTACCGGCAGTTTAATCCCCTCTACTGTAGTACTTTCAACTTTATTCTTTCGCCCTGTAGTTGTTGTAGTAGTTCACTCTAATCGGCTTTACTTCCTTTCTTTATTGACGATTGGACCCGGCGATCTTTCGCCAGCAACGCACGTCGGCCGGATTTTCACGATTGGGAGCATGTCGCTTGGTCTCGGCAGTGTTGTCACCTTGCTGAAAGCAAGCCGACGCTTATACAAGGTCATGCTCGAAGGCAAGCAGGCCTACATGCATTAAGGGTACACCTTTAACGTGCTTTTCTTACCGCTTTTTATGCCTCTCTCCGCCCTTAGGTAAGGGAGAAAGGCATAAAAAGCGGGGTAAGCCGCGAGCACCAAAAACCTACCTCTAAATGCAGAAGCGTGGAGTGAAACACATCGTCGTCACCGGGACCCCGTGCTTCCAGCAGATCCAGGATTTCGTCACTGAAATGTACCACGACGAAAAAATGGTTACGCCCCCGCCAGTCTCAGCAGAGTTCGAGCCACCACCCACAGGGATGAACACAGAAACGGTGCTTTTACTCGAAGATCCAGAAACGTGCGATCGAGTAAGGCAGTGGTTGCACAAGATTATGGAGATACTAGTAGAGCACAATGAACTTGACCTTTGAAGATCGAGTAAGGCAGTGGTTGCACAAGATTATGGAGATACTAGTAGAGCACGACACTCTATGTTGTTGCCTAATAAATTTGTGTGATGAGTATCATGCTGAATAAAGAAGTGCTGATGGTACGATCTTCTATAATTAAGCTTAAGTCTGTCTGCTCATCATCTTCAACATCGTCTAATCTCCGAGAAAACATCAAATACCGGTCACGGGTTTTCGTTTACAATGGGTCAGTCTGGGACGGTTTGATCCCTACTAGGGCTTACGACGCCTTGATGGTCTTCGTGTTGCCCAACCTGTACACGCTTGACATCGACAAAGACGACGAGAGCAATGTCATGCGTGTGCTGCAAATGAAGTCCGCCCTCTTGCTGGATATCAGGTTATGGGTGGGCTACGAAGATTCTGGTCCTCCTCAGCATTCCCAGTATCAACAGTTTTTGAATGTGGTCTCATCTTCTCTAATCTGCATAACCGTCCTTCTCCACGTTTCCGAACGCAAAGACTTACTTACTCCGCATAATCTAAACCTCGTCAGAGCATTGCTATCAGTTCTTTGGAGTGAGCCCCAAGCGGGTTCAACATAATTTCAACCTCCTAGGAGAGCTGTAGTTGATGACCTCCTCAGGTCGACTAAGCAGGCTAAAGATTCTAGATAAGAATTTTAGACTCCGCATCAAACCGTTCTCCCCTGTGGTCTCCTCTTCTCTAATCTGCATAACCGTCCTTCTCCACGTGTCCGAACGCAAAGACTTACTCCGCTCAGCGGGTCTGGGAGAACAGTTTGTCATTTCGCTTGACGAGTTCAAAGCCGCCATCGCCATGAAGAGCTGCTTTCTCCCAGGATTCGGCTCATTCGTTTGCAACCTCTTCAAGACTGTCTCACCTTCTTTTGCGGCGAAAACGGAGACGGCACAAGCCGACGCGTTTCTGCCGTGGGAAAAGATGTACTTTGCAGGGCTGGAGAAGGAGATCTATGAGGTGGATTTGAGCAAAGCCTACTACGGTTTGTCCTTTGGCGAGATAGTGCTGGACATTTTGCATCGATGCGAGGGAGAAGTGCTCTTGATCGGCGTGGTGGAGTATGGGGTCGCGGATCTTCCGTTTCTTTTATGATGGACTGTACATCACTGCTTCGGATGTGACTATGCAGGTCGTATAGAAGATGCAGATTTTGCTTGTGCACTGCCCGACTTTAGAAATAATCTGTAAGTATGAAGACTACTGGGTGGTCGTGCTCGTGGTGCAGCGTAGCATTTAAGTTTTGAAGAATGAATGTTGCCTGACGAGGGCGATGATCTTCACTTCCCGCGCTGTTTCTAATGAGACGACTGAATCCAGGTGCTGGAACCAGAATAGCTGCGTGGGTTTTCGATCCGAACTACAAGGATTCACCGCAGCTGGCACAGCGGAAAGTCAAGGGCGTCTTTATTTTATGAGAAGGCAATGAGTTCATGTTCGAAGGCATTTTTACTGACACCAGATACTACATACAGTTACAGCCCGAGGAAGAATAGAAATCTTCATGCTATTAACATATTGATGTTAATAGTGACTATTATAAATGCTATAAACATATTGATGTTAATAGTTGCGATTACGCCGACTATTAAATAGTCTTGTTGTCCCAGACGTCTCGCTTTCTAATCCTCGCACCCGATATAGCAGCTGTTGCCCAAAAGTTCTACTTACCTGGGCAAGACGACGTCGGGTTAGCATATCGAGAGCAGCAGAAAGCGTTGCAGGAAGGCGCAGCACGTGCAAAGGCAAGAGAGCAACAGGGACTTCAGGGGAAGGGAGCAGGAAGTATACAGTTCTTTCTTGATTTTGCTTGTTTTAGTTTTTCCTAGCAGCTCTTAATGGAATTTAATTGATGAAAACATCTTAAAGATTCTTTCTTGGAAAGTAAGAAATACAAGATGAAGTGTGACAAGAATCTTCTCCCAATGATTTTATTTTAAAGAGCATGACCTTTTCCTCCTCAGATAACAAGCGTCTCGCGGCTCTCGAGAAGAAGCGTCAGCGGAAGCTTGAGGAGCAAGAAACAGAGAAACAGAGGAAAATATCGAAGAATATGACCTTGAAGGAGAAGATAAGAGCTTCCAAAACTGGCGACTTGACGCAACTCTATGGAGTCCCTAGTATCCAGAAAGCCCTAGAAATGGAGTACCCGAACACGACTATGGACGAAATACCTGGCGTCATGGACCCAGTATGGAAGGAAGGGACAGATAGGCTGATGCACGAGAGGAAGGAGTACTAAATGATCTTTTTTCGTATCATCTCACTCTAAAGTTCTTGTTCTTCGAGCAGTTCAAATAAGTCATCCACGACTTGTTCCATGTTACTCCCCAAAAGCGACTGATAGATGACATCATGGATTCATCACTCAAAATTACAATCACATTGACATTTCCCTTTATTTTTACCAAAGAACACGATCATGATAGGTTCAAACGCACGCTAGCAGAAATACATGCAGTAACGGACATGAAAGCTTTGAATAGAACTGGCCTAGAGATGCAGACGGGTAGTGAGGAGCGTGTCTTACAAGCAGCGAAGCACCGACAGAGTTAAGACGCGGCTAGTAGAATCATATTTCTTCCCCTCTACCCTCTTTCCCGTGTGATCGCTTCTAAGATTGTCCATTTTCCTAGTGCATAAGGTTAGTTAGTCTACAACTTTGATTAACCACCGTCTACTACTACTGTCTAGTACACACACATTATTTATCGAGAATCGCGATATTCTTCACATCATCTAATCGGAGCTCCGTGAGTTCCTCCAGTTACGTGTCCGACCTGACATCCGTGCCAGAGAAATGTACATTGCTCACAGCGATCCGAAGCCGCCTCCACTAGAAGTCCTGGCAAACGGTGGCCACATCGTGGTCTGTTGTCTAGGGAGTGCGCACAAATGCAACGTGAGGATCTATCCTGCTATCCGAGCTTTGCGACTGCATAGCAACGCACCCTTGGTGATTTTGGCGCAGGCAGTACCACCAGATTGGCATAGGGTGTTGGAGGCGAAAGGGATTTACATGCTTCACGGGAACCCATCAAGCATGTTCGACTTGAAAAGGAGCAATTTCGATTATGAGCACTGGATTGGGATAGGTTGCAAATAATTCAGTGTTGAACTCTACTTGGCAGCTACAAGTTATTGAGCTAGTAGAAGATAAAAGTAGAAGAGGTTCTTGTCCACCATGTACATCTTGTACAAGACGTCATGTTGTACATGTACTAGACATCAACCTCAATCAAGAAGAGTCATCAACTACATTACCTCGTCTTCCTCTAACGACGACACGCCACGCACATCGTGATTCTCGCTGGCGGTGCTGGTGGTCGCGGGAACAAAAAAAATCGGGCAAAGGCTAGCTCCTTCTTGAGGCAAGGGGAGGATTTCCGAGAATTGTATCGCGCAGACTCGGCAGTGCAGAGTTCCCAATTTGTCGCGGATACGTACGCCGCGCCACCCAACATGAACATGGTCGACGCAGATGGGATCTTCGTCTGCAAATTGATCGAAGGAAATTTGCCACCTCTGAGTTCAACGACAGTGATTCTGGAGCTCTTAGTGGACGAGAACTACTACTTATTAAGGCTCAACTTTCATCACTGCCACTGGTCATAGAGGTTGATCACTGAAAGCGAAGAGGGTCCCCCTGAGAGAACAGGGGAGAAGGAAGGCAAAGGGGAGAGCCTTGGAGGAGGTCTCTTCCGTTCAGAGTCATGATGACCAAGGAATGCTGAGCTTTAAACTTAGTTCCCTTGCGGTCAAAGGGCAAGGTCACCAGTGAAGAGCTAGGCGTAGGCGGCGACTTGAGCGACGAAGCAGGCATGGCAGCGCACCGAGCAGCACTGCTGAGACAGCCTAGATACGCTTCTGGACGACTGTTCTGCAGTAGCATGATCACCTCTCTGATCGTGAACATCCTCTACAACTTAAGGCTTACCTTAATCCATCTTCATTCTGAAGCATCCTCGTCCCGAAATGGCCTTTCAACAAACTTCAAGGTGGGGACGAAAAGACGAAAAGGAAAGGACGAGGACGGGGATGCTTCTATCTTGATGGATTAGGGTCGTGAGCTCGAAACAAGACATCTCTGGTGCAACTAGTGTCAGGTTTGATCACGTGCAAAGGAGCGACAGTCGAAGTGCCGATGAACTGGGTGGGCATGCCTCTGCTCAACTTCATGGAGTCCCTGATTTGGCACCACAATTTGATCCCAATCGGCATCGCCAGACTGATCATGCACGAAAAACCGGAGAAGAAGAAGCGGTTTAATCCGAACGAGTTGCCACCACCGCCAAAGGATTCTGCGATGAAGGAGTTGACAAGGGACATCGAGCCACGCTTCATCATGGCAGCGCCGCACGCTTTCGACGAACTTTTGCATGCGCAAGATAAATTGGTGTGCATAGCCAAATACGACGTCACGGATCAAGACTTGAGTCTGTAGGATAATTTTTCTACTACTTCGATATAATGATGTACAACTTTTGTTTAATTGGACACGACTCACATTATAAAGTTGAACAGGATTATGTTTTTAACAGATTGGACTAAGGTGCCGTATCGAGTGAAGTTGTTGCTTTCTTGACTGGAAATTCGTGTTGTTTTCAAGCTCCATGGAGCGCGGTTTATGAAAATTTGCTTATAGATTTGTTTTTCTTTGAAAAAGTTGTTCTTGAAGATGTTAACCTTGACTACTCCCGGTCTTGCCGTCGTTGATAATTGGAGCGCCAAGCTATTGAAATTAGAAACATTGTTACTTCTGATTCCTTAGTGTAATGTATTCTTGCACAAGTTTTTGACTTTTTGACCCAAAGACTTACATACCCTCCATCTGCCCACAGCCCCGCAGCAGAACCCAAACCAAATTCTGACGGATCCTCATCTGATGGCATTATTCCGACCACCATCCGAATTGAAATTGAAAAAAAAAAGTTGCAGATCAATCTCAATCTCATGATTCACTCCGAAAAATAACAATTGTGAAATAACTTTGGAACAGAAACAATCTGATGATTCACTCCGATACGCAACATGAGGGTGTTCCAATCGTTAAGCGTTCCACCCCACCATCTGTTGAATTGAAAGGATATGTTGAATTGGAAATTCTAAACGACCACGTCCAATCATCTAAATCAGTTCAACACGTTGTTGCAGCATGCCGTTCATCCTGGGCTTCTAGCTGAAAAGCGAGAGGTGGATCTTGATCTTCAAAACCGGAACTCATTGTTCTGCTTGTTCTACATCCTTACCAGGGGGGGGGGAGACCGCATGTTGGCGCTCACCTTCACGGGAGGACTGGCCTCTCAAAACGTCATCTTCTTTAGTACTGATATTATGGCTCCCGCGGCTAATCGAAATCGCTACCGCTAGGAATCTCTGATTAGATAGCTTTGGAAATTATGTACGGCTACTAACAACATCTACATCATTGAATTTTCCTTCCGATTGTTGTGGCCCTTTTCGGTAGTGCTTGTCCTCATGTAAAACTAGATACATTTGGCGCATCAATATTTTTCACACTCCGTCTAGCTCTTCCTGAGGACCTATATGTTTCACACGACGACATCATAACTATTTGAGTCCGCACTTCACCACGCATCATAATTAAACACTAGCGACTACCACGAGGATTAGAAACTACCATGGCTTCGTTTGAGTACCAGCACAGTATCCTGTACAAGGGTGAGAACCCGGCTACTGCCGCGTTCGTGCCAAAGAACAGAGCAAAACAGGCAGCGAAAGTAGTTCGACATAGACCTGGTCTTGAACCCTCCTTTTACCGCAAAGATGCTGAGGACCAGGCCAGAAAGCAGCAGGAGGAGGACCGAAGAAAAAGACAGCAGGAAAGAGATGACCGAAAATATCGAGGAAGTACTTTTTCGCTTTTGGGTGTGTGTTATTGATGAAATCTTCATTAGAATTTCATCAGGATTTTTGGAAGAACAAGCAACTACTACTTTCATCCATTTCTGCATAGGAAAATAACATCTCGATTCATCCTTTTCACCTTACCCTCCTCCTCTCCCCTCCATGCCCCCATCATCAAACCACATCAAAAACAGTTTCCCGCTGGGGCCCTTCGAAAACGGAGGCTAAGAAGGTATTCGGAGGCGTAGCGCAGACGCGAGTTGCGGTCGTCGCACAAAAACAGATAGGAGACTCACTAGCAGAAAGAATAGCGAAACGACAGCAAATAGCGCAAGAAGGGGCCATCGAATTGAGCAGCAGTGACGACGACAATGAGTACTACAAGATTCTTCAGGTCGTGTTGCTGTTTTCAGACGATCATGTTGTCGTTGTAATGAAATTTTTGATCAACAACTAAGTAATTTTGGAATTGAAAAATTATACAAATAGATACATCATCTAAAAGTTGTGACTGGTCCACTTTCACCCCTTTCAATTTCCAGCAAATCCAATATCAAAAACAGCCTCGCAGCTGGTGTACCCCTCTCCAAGCCTTTAGTAAGACCTGGACAGCAAGCAGCCGCTGAAGAATCTGAAGATATATCAGAAAGCGACGAGTCATCAGTCGACGAAGGTGATGCCCAAAAGCGACAAATTGCACTGCAAAGGGCCAAGGCAATAGCACAACAGGGAGGCTCAGCCTCATCAACAGCATATAGTGGGGGAGCTTTAGTCCCAGCGATAACGACCGGAGGAGGAGGAGCACAAGTGCTTGACGATAGCGACTCAGACGACGAGAGCAGTAGCGACAGAGAGAATCCAGGAGCATTGTTGGCGAAGCCGGTTTTCGTGAGGAAAGGTATTAAATCAATACTTCTAACTATGTTGCGTACAAAATGGATGTGGATCTTTCACGTCGTTCAATATCTATATCAATTTCAACAGAAAAGATAAAGAATTTAGTTGAACACGCAAGACCACGTGCGTTCCTCAATTGACATCAAATACTCCACAAACATTTCAGGTCACCGTGCGCTTGACCGCGAGCGAGCCGCTCAAGCAGCTGCTGAACAGGAGGCCCTACAACAGCAAAAAATCATAAAGCGACAGAAGAAAGAGGAAGCTAAACTTCAAGTCGCAACAATCGTCGCTGAAGAGGAACAACAAGCTGCCAATGCAAGCAAAGTCGTGCATTCCGAATCCGAATACAGTCTCGACTCGGAGGAAGACGATACTGCTGAAGCCTTAGAAGAGTGGAAAGTCCGAGAGCTCGAAAGAGTGTTACATCTGCAGAAGCTGAGAACGCAACGCATCGAGGAATTCGAACATTTGGAGAGGAGAAGAAATATGACCGAGCAAGAGCGCCAAGAAGACGACGAGCGGTTGGACAAATTGGAACCAGAGACGGTCAAGTCCGTCAAATACACGCACATGCAGAAGTACTACCACCAGGGTGGTTACTTCCAGGACAAAGCGCAGGATGGCTCCGAAGCTTTGTACAGGAGAGACGTGAACCAACCTTTGGCCAGCGAGAAGTTCGACAAGCAGTTACTACCGAAGAGCATGCAGGTGAGACGTGGCCAGTTCGGTGTCAAGGGCAACGTCAAGCACAACAGCTTGAAGGAGGCGGATACAACGGATTTCAGCAGTGCTTGGATAGACGAGGCGCAGAAAGCGAAAAGGGAAAAATACATGGCAGTGATGCAAGATCAAGAAAGGCAACGACAGGAGAAGTTGAACGAAATGAACAAGATGGGACAAAGATGATACACCATGCATTTGGTGCTCTATCTTCAGCACTTTCGCTTTTGCTTTTGTTTTTCCCGGAGGATACTTTTTGCCTCTTGTATCCTGCTTGACGCGGTCAGTCATTCGCGCTGGACTTTATCAAGACGACTTCACCTCCCAAATCAGGTATCCCCTCTCCAACGCACTTACCCACACCCTTGCGCATGACAACAAAGTGTCTATCCCCAAGCGACTTCTTTTTGCGACTTCACCTCAGTGTCAATTGACATAAGGTCAACCTTCGTAACTTGGTTTTGTCCGCCTTGTAAAGATCAAGATGGACTTCTAAACGAGCACAAATAGACGTGTTCCCATTGATGTTCTACTTTATCCGCTCAGTATTCGCTTGCTTCTTTCCTTTGAATTGGAATGCATCTTCTTGCTGAGTTCCTTTAGTATCGAATACGCTGGCTGACTCCAGCTCCACCCGCCAATGATATTGATTTCACTTATGCTTGCCGCGAGTCAAAGTCAATCAATCGACGCCCGTTGAATTTTGAGAATTCAAATTCTTTGTGAGAAATTCCTTGTCGCAAGCATGCTGAAATTGAACACGTTCTTGTCTCTCACTCTTCCGCGTCGTCCCAACAGCATGCTTCTTATGCGCAAGTCATTTACAAGCCTTCGGGTAAAATCAATGAACCAGGATTTTTTTCGCATAATGTTAGTTATTGGTCAATTGATGTTTCAACGTTTTTCGCGTGTTCCTAGGCTAGCGTCTTACTAAGAAATAATGTCAGCCCTCATGCGAAGGCTGCTCGTCGCCGCCTGCGCCACACTTGCGCAGCCAGACGCTATCTCTCACTTCAGTAGTCTTACTGTTTCCAGTAGCCCTCTGATTTTCGCCGTTGCTGCAGAATCAAAGTCTACATCATCTTCAGAGACGAAAAAAAAGAAGTCCAGCAAGTCATTCGAGGACAAGGAGGGAGCATCTTCTTCTTCTTCAAAAGCAAAATCCACACCAGAACAGCAGTTCTGGTCTTCAACGCCATTCCTCATCGCTAGTTTTGTACTTTCCACTGGGATTTTCGCCGTTTTCATCGTCTCCAATGGCCTTGCAGGTGGTGCTGGACGACACACTGTCAAGGCTGATGCGCATGTGGCCTTGTTTGGAGCTTGCAACTCCGGAAAAACTTCGCTGTTCTTCCTCTTGCGTGATGATGAACGCGACGTGCCTTTAGTCAGTTCTTTGAAACCATCGAGGGATGTCATCAACTTCAAAAGAACATCTCCTTTAGCACCAGCATCGCCCATCAAAACTACCAGAGTAGCTACTTCAGAAGAGCAACATCAAGATGCTGAGCAAGATGAAGCAGGACCATCTTCTCCAGTCGAGTTGCTCGATTGCCCTGGCCATCCTATGATGCGCATGGGCAACCGCAATGCTGTCATCAGCATGCTCAAAGCCAATACGGGGAAAAAATCTAAAACAGGCATCCTCTACCTCGTAGATGGCAGTGACAAGGCTGAACTGAAAAATGCAGCCGAGCACCTCTACGATCTCTTCACCGATACCGAGTTCGTCAAGGCGGATCCGGCACTGTTGTTGACTATCAACAAGACTGACAAGATGCAGAGGACTGAGAAGATGGTAGTGGACGAGATCGAACGCGAAATCGAACGCATGCGAGCTTCGCGCTCGCACGCTTTGGAAAACGACGACGCGGCGGACCAGTACCTAGGCGTAGAAGGAGAGCGTTTCAGCATCAAGAAACACGCACCGTTGAGCACTGTGGAGACCTGCGCAGTGTCGGTAAAGCTGAACAAGATCGACCCAGTGAGGAACTTCGTGGCCAATTTGTTGGACTAGCTGCAGTAGACTGGTAGGATGGGGAGGTGTCGTCAACTGTGACGTGATTTAGACACAAGATCAAGGAATGCAGACGACGTTGAGTTTTTCGCAACCAGCACAACTCTACCTCCATGATCAAAAAGGTCAACACACCACAAAAACTTTTGCTTCATTTTGTCTTTATCCTCGATATTTTATCATACAGGCCGACAAAGTTTTCTTTTTAAACTTTATTTCCTCCTTGTTCCCCCATTGAATATCATGCGCCTAGTGACCACTTCTAGCACAGAAAGGGGAGTACCGCCCACGTACTTCAATTGAGTGTTCTTCAGCAACAGCAGGTCTCACTGGTATCGCTTTTGACAGGATGGCATCGAAAGTCGAATAGAAAAGTTCGATCTAAGCGGTGGAAACATAGGTCTTTCAGATGATCATCTGCTGGAACAGGCGCCCGCTTCTATATGATCGACGATGTATAAGAGCGAATACTGTTGCCGTTGCGAACAGAAGAATACGAGCATCGTTATCGAAGTCTAATTAATGAAGTATCCACTCGTAGCTTACTCTACCTCTACGCACATATTAGTTTGAAAATGATTGCTCCCCGAACATCAGAGGCATGGCGTTATTACGCCACTCTGCATCTGCGACCGCTTACAATGTCCTCAAAGCCTAGTCGCATTTTGGCATCCCCCAGGACAGCTCTCTGCACCACCAGAAGCGCCTCCTCTTCTTCAACTCCTGGGAAACGGAATAAGGCGCCATCTAAAGGCATCGTCATCAAGAATCGAGCGGCAATGTCAGACACGGCCACTATGAATACGGGTGCGCTATTGGAGGCGATGGAGAGTTTGGTGGGAGAAGAGTACAGCGAGCCAAATGATAAGGAAGAGCAGAAAGACATGAAGAAGATGAAAATTAAGCTTGGTCAAACCTTCCAACTTTTGGACCGGTATCTTGTTCGAGCAGCTGCGCTATTGCCCAGTTTTTCGGCTATAGAGTTGGCAAAGTTTTTGCTCGATGTGGGGACGCTAGTTGGCAAAATGAAGACTACGTGTCTGTTGACAGATAAGGCTTTCGTCCCTGTGACAGCCCCATTCGTTTTTCTCGAGGAGCTAAGCCTGTATGTCCAAGATGAGACAAATTTTCCAAAGGTAAATGACGCAATTCTCGTTTTGAAGGCCATTTCGAGATTGGAGGTTGAGTTCCTGTTCTCCTCGAGGACGAATTCATCTGGAGATGTTCCTCTTGACAACAACATGCTGCAGCCTTTATATGATCATATAGGCGACCAGCTGGATGCCATGACAGGACCAGATGCTGCTCAGGTTTTGGAAGCCTCTGTAGAATTGTTGTCAAGTGGTGAGCCATGTCTTAAAGATGATGATTCTCACGGGATCCTCGAGGACGACACATCAAGAACCGTAGTCGACATCGCACTACTTCGAGCCTTAGTGGAGCGAGTATGTGATCATACTGAAAGAAGCCTGAATTTTGCCAGCAGGAGAGGGCTTCCGGAACACGAGAGTGATTTAACCTCTTCCAGTTCGTTCGTCGCAGCTAAAATGCCCCAGACAAGCACAAGCTTACTCAGTTGCGACCACGATCAAGTAAACCGTATGGTTGGCGCTGTGACGAAGTTAAGGGAGCACAATCTTCAAGGTGACTTCTTGGCTTCCCGGCTGCTTCTCAACGTTGCTCGAGTTACGACTCGTCTAGGTCGAAACAAACGCATGGCTCCAGGGACGACGATCAAGAGACTGAAAATACTGGCAGAGCAGTTCCAGTTGCCTTTAGCTTTGCCTCTCGTGGTGCATGGAGCAAATCACCGATATCTACCTTTGCTGCCCTGTACTCTCGCTGGCCAGCTGAGCAACGTTGCCAGTGACCTAAGCATGGCACAGATGCAAATAGCTTTAGAGGATCTTGCGAGATTGTTAAGCGTGTTAAGTAAGTCTCAAGCTTGTGACGCTGACGCCTTCGCCGTGGTCCTTTGTCTAGGACACACTCTAGATCCGTTTCTTTCAACCATGATGAGAAGACTGCATGGTTCTAGTACCAGAACAAGTCCTCGATCCAACCCTGAATATGAAACTCCACGATCATCTCAATGTCTTTTGTACTCGGGCATAGAGCCATATTTGAAAAATTCTGCTGTCTTTCCAATATTCACAAGGGTTTTTGCTGAAACTACAAGTAAAACGAGGAATCAAATCTGTTAGAAAAAGACACCGTTGAGACGGAGGACCAAAAGACTTGGTCCAATATCCATTTTCGTGATCTTCATGTCGACGGGTTCTCGATCTACTAGAGCTGTTCATCATAATGCATAATGGCCCCATGCCAGATAACTTTGTTCAGACTTCCTTGTACAACAAGTCCACACACTTCCATCCTCCACAGCACGAACCCAATGTGTGCTGCTATTCTCCTCGTTCTTTTCTGTGGTCTGTTGGAAGAAAAACGGATGATGAAAAGTTGGGAATTCAAACAGCATGTAATTCTTCCTGATGGAAAAAGCTTTGGGTCGTGCCTACTTATAATGATTCGGAACGATCTTCGTATGGAGCTCACTAGTACACATAAAATTTCACGATTTTATATTTATTTCACAGTTGTTGGACACCTCCTGGCAGTTGGAGCCGGTGTTCAAATTGACTTACTTGTTTATTCGAGAAGATGAAGAGGATGTCTCCGTAGTTTCTGCTGGAACAAGGACCCAAGTACTAATGCACTTGTGAAAAATAAGAAGTGCTCCTGTCTGAGAGAGTACTTCGTCGACGAACTAGATCTAAGTACGATAACTATTCGCACAAGCTGCCTAGTGCTAGTCCAAAATGCAGGATCCCAACGTCCCTGGCGGTGGTCCGCCGCCGCCGCCACCTCCAGACAGAGGTGCTGCCGCTGCTGCTGTACCAAAAGCAGGAGTATCCACTAGTACATATGCTGCCTTCAATGGTGGAGGTTTAGGCGGGTCTGTCTCCAACGGAGGCAGTATGGCAGGAGCAGGAGGCTCGTCTTCTACAACTGGTGCAACCAGCCAGGATGGAGGACACCAACAGCAACAGAAGAGCTCCAGCGCCAATGATTCCAGTGACCGCAAAGAGCAGGACTTCTATGATGTGTTGCAGGTGGACAAAGCGGCTACGCCAGACGTGATCAAGAAGAGTTATCGAAAACTCGTGATCAAATGGCATCCCGATAAGCATCCGGCAGACAGGGAAACGGCAGATGAAAAGATTCGCATGATCAACAATGCCTACGAAACTCTGAGTAATCCAGCGAAGAAGCAAGCCTACGATGAGCAGATGGCTGCGCTGGAGCGGAAGAAGAATGGAATACAACTCCCGACAAGTTCAATTGCACCGAGGATGGCGATACCGAAAGAGTTTATGCTGTGTCCATTGGCCTCAGGGTGCTCGCAAAAGTTCGTGCGCTATCAGGGGAGCAATCTTTTTGTGCAGAGCAGGTATTTTTCTACTTAAGATTTCTTGTATTTTCAGAGGAGGACAAAAACGACCTCTCCAAATCCAATGACAGAACAGCTATGAGAGCCAGAGGTGGAAGTTGCTCTAGAAGACTAAACTTTAGATATTCGCACTTCTCGCTCTCCTTACTTGATGTCCTGATGAAAGTAAAACAATAATCTGAAAAGAATATTAAGAAAGTTGTACTAATACTTATGTACAACAAACCTCAGGGAAGACGATTCCAAGTGCGAATTTATGCCCTTTTTTGAGAAGACGCGTTTCAACCTCTACTGGTTGCCAGAAGTGAACAACATGTGTCGGATAAGGCCAGCCGCAACTGCTCAAGTAGGATCCGCAGGAGGCATGAATATCACCTTTGGCGAGCTAAAGGAAGGGGAGTCGGAGCTTCATCTCTCAGCAGCAGCTGCAGGAAACCAAGCACAACCGAATATTATGGTGACATGCTGTCGTGATCAACGCCAGTAGTCTACTTGTGTTTTCATTTTATGTTCTAGAAGTGCATGATTGGACTTCTTAGTCTTAGAGCAATAGAAAGGTAAATCTAAATTGTAGAAGAAGATTATCTCGCTCAACACCAGCTTTATCATCTACTTCGCCTCGACGTCCGTCTTCCTCTAATGTTGGCAGTCAGATAAACTTTATCGCCGTTCCATCTCCGACAATGACGAACGCTTTCCGTTTTGAGGCTGCTTACTTTCCTGGTGCCTATTTGGCATTTAAGGAACCGAACCACTTGCGAGTGATCACGCAGATTGACGACGCTGCAAAGACTAGCATCGATTTCTCCCTCGTGAAATACGACACCATGTTTAAGTACGTGACCATGGAGGAGGTGTTGGTGCCAAGTATGATTGAGCTTTCCTCCTCAGGCTCGGGCGCAGTGGATAGCAATGGGTACGTCAGCCTCGACAGATTGCGAAGCCACGAGAGTGTCATACTCTACTTCCGAAATATCCTGGGTACGCAGCCGTGGGACGCAGAAGACTTCGAGACCTATTTCGACGCACATTGGCAGCAATGGTACTATTATCTGACCACTTTGCTCGTTCATGGACGTACTAGGGGGCGCAGTGTGATCGCTCTCTTCGCTATTATTTTGGGGCGGCTCGGGCCCTGCGCGCAGAGCCCCGCGGTGTCAGATGTTCCCGGGGAACCCTCGGGTGGCTGTCCCGGAGTTGCCTATCGCTATCCCTATGTGCAGGCGCCCGAAGCTTCGGCCGTACCGCCCAGCAGTGAGCAGGCACGCGACACAGAGAGGCGCCTTTGGGGGGGGCAGTTCTTAGCGTCTGCGTTTCTTGGCTCGCAGTCTTAAGGCGTCGGAGCTGATAAAAGGCAGGCGCAGTAGCAGCGGAGGGAGCACGATCCGCGGAACAAGTAGCCGCCCCATGCGTCGCGGCCTTTTTTCTAGCAGCTAGCGCGTGAGGTCGATACTTTTGAAAAGTAGCCGCTGCGGTTTTTTGCTCTCCGGCCGATGGTGAACAGGTGGTCGTGCCCTACAGCGTGATGGGATTTGGCCAGCTGCTGGCTCTTCCTGCGGCGGCATCATTTGCTCAGGCATGCAGCCGAGTCGGCCGGGGCTGCTTGGGAGGTTTGAAAATATCGCCTGGCGGGGATTGTATCCACTACCTCCTAACGGCTGAAGACGGTAGCCGAGGCGTTGGGGTCTCTGCTCACAAATCGACTAGCCCAAACGTCCAGGATATCACGTTTTCGCCTGACGTTGACCCCAGAGCGTGCCGCTGCGATGGAAGTGGCATGGGAAGGAAAGAGGTCGAAGGCTTGCTGACAAGAACGACGCGCCTTCTGCGGACTTCTTTCGCGTTGTCTGCGATCGATGAGTGAGGTGCCCACTATTGGGGAAAGAGAGCCGGCAGCCGCAGACATTACCCGGATGCGTCTCCTTACGGATTTGGTGCGAGCGATCTGCGACGCGGTGGCCGTAGCCACGCACCTCGAGACTCCCAAACACAGCGCGTCTCTTTCTGCGGGCGTTTTCTCTAGACAGTAACGACGAGAAGCCGCTGCCGGGTGGAGAGGGAGAAGCTCGCTGCCGGATGCAATTCAGGCAGCCACATATGCCCTGGCCACGAAGAAGGAGCGCCAAGGTGGGAGCTTCCCACTCCAGGGCCTCAATGTGCCCGCGAGCGCTTCTTCTCTGTGAGTGTTCAAGAACGACGCGCCTTGGAAACACTTCGACGCGCCAGCTAGATGCGTCCGGGCGGAGTGGTTTGCTATCTTTCTAGTGCTGACGTTGAAGACCGAAGAGAGGCCGGCAGCGGCAAGGCTTGGAGGGAAATAATAGGGGGGAGGCTGCTCAATCGGACGGAACCGAAAGCGCCTTCCCCTTCGTCGACACTAGCAGCGCGCCCCACTCGAGAGGCGTCCGGCCTTTCGTCGCAGACAGGTTCCTTCTCAGCAGGGCTGACGCGTTTACTGGTTTGGGAAGGTGGCTGGAGAGCCGAGCGAAGGCGCTAACTTCTTCGACGTTGCCGCTGCGGCTAACCTTCCTCACTTCACTTGGCTCGAAGCTTCTGACTGCTTGGAAGCCGGCTGAGGGGGGAGATTTGGCTGATTTTTTTGCCCGAGGTAAGGCAGCCAGGAACCCAGTCAAGAGCTTCACGCTTTCGGCTTTTGGCTGACGGGGCCGCCAGGCTGCCTACTGCGACCCCAGGGCCTGCCTGCCTCTTAAGTGGGGACTCGCGTCGGACTTTCTTCTTGTCCCAATCAAGCCAGACGCGTATGCTCGAGCAACTAGCGACCCTCTCGCTTTTTTGTCTTCAATGGCGAGCGACTCAGCCGCCCAGTCAGTGGGACGCCCCTGCAAGGAACGGGCCGGGGCTTGTTTGCGAGCCTGCGGCGTTGGTTTTTATCTCTGGCTGCCCACACGGTCAGCCTTCTTCTGTTCAAAATAAACAAGCGGAAGCGAGGGGGGCTGAAGCCTGCTGACTGCAAGCGGGAGCCGTCGTCTGAGGAGCGGAAGCGGGTTGCTGGCGGGTGCGTCTTGGTCGCCAACTGTGCTAAGGAGCTCTTTCCTGAGCCTGCTCTTCGGTAACAAAGCTGACAGCAGCCCGGGCCGTGACTGAAGGGCGGGGCGTCACACCGGGAGCCCGCCGCTGTGAGGTATGACAACGCGCCGCCTGTGCGACTGACGGGGCGCGGGGGTGAGAATGGTGGGCATGAGGCTGCGCTGGTGTCTGTGTGGGCTGTTTGTATGTCCGCGGCCACTCGGGTTGCATTCTATCGAAGCTCGCGAGAGTGCTGCGCTTAGCACTTAGCGCAGTCCACCTTGTAGGAGACGACTCGGCAGAAATTCGCACGGAAGAAGTTGGGGGCTGCGCGCGCCTGTAGTGTGCGTCAGAAGTCGGACCTACGTGCGTGGTGCGCCTGGGGGCCGTTTGTCTGCGGTCGCTCGGCATGGGTTAGATGCTTGCGGGCTCTTCTGTATATATGCCTTGGATGGCTGGATAGGCGTAGGGGCCTCGGCTTGAATCGCGGCAGCTAGTTGCGGCGGGGGTGTGCTTCCTTATGGTGTTGGCAGCGCCTTCACTCTGGCCGTGGTAGGTCGATCGAATTGCGGAGGTTCGTCCTCGCCCAAAGTATGATGGTGGCGCCCGCGCTCTCACTTTCTGGCGGCAAAGAATCGCGCCCGCGAGCATGGGAGGGGTGCCACCTAGTTGGGGGGCCTTTCGCTACCGGCTGAAAGCGTCCGCGCCGCAGCGCCGTGGGCGATCGGTATGGCAATCAATGTGCCAGCCAATGACGTGGCTGGCGCTGCTTTCTTCGTCTCTCTTCTCTCGTTGCCCTTGCCGTCTTGCCTTTGCGCTGGACTGTGGAAACCCACTCTGGCACTCACTCTGTTCGAAGTCTGAGGCGAGACGGTGACACGCTGCTGATATTGCTGCTGCCGACCGAGGTGGCGCCCGCGAAGTTCACGGCGTGGCTTTTTTATGGCTCAGCTCTAGGCGACTCGGAAGGAACGCAAGCCAGCGGGGCGGAGCCAATCGCGGGCGGGGGCGTCGTGTCTTCGAGAAGACAGAGAGAGGGCCGGGCGCTTTTCTGTTCTTTTTAGCTTGTTACTCTGTGCTTCGCGTGAGGTCGTCGAGCGACAGCAGCAGCCAGCCCCCTACTTGCTTCGTGGTTCATTGCGTTCTGGCTTCGCCTGTTGCTGTTCGCTGTAGAATTTAACTAATACCATGAGAAATAAGAGGGACGCCTAAAAACGTTTCAGCTTCTTACAATATAAATATTTCTGGTTCTCTCTCAGGTATTATTCTGGTGGAAAAGTTAAGCTCAGAACACGCGACGAGCAATTGGCCCACAGCTTGAGGAAGGCAAAGAAGGGGACTGATCTGGCGGCCCCAATAGCTGAGGCAGATCCCAAGGCGCTTGAAAAATTGCATCTCGAAACGGTGGAGCGCGTTCTCATGGTACTACACGTACATCTAAAACTAAGTAAATCTATTGTTTTTTTTGTCAATAGAGGAAATCGACCTCGACTTCTAAAACGACTACAACTACAAGGAGCACCGAAAGAATTAGTTATTACGTATCAGAGCCTGAGTCAGAAACAGAATATGATCTAAATTTACATCACCGTCTTCACCCCTTCACCTCCTTCAGGTCCTATGGCGTGACAACAGTGGCGCTTCGATCCAATATGCAGTCGACAAGATGACAGCTCAGAAAAAGCTCCTACAAGCTGTTCCAGGCATTATTGAGGCCTCTTCCGTGGATTCTCTAGGCCTACATCGCTTGGTGACGCTTGATTTGCTGGTAAATTCCATCGAAGACCGATCGCTGCATGCTTTGAAGCTGGAACTCCGCAAGCATTTTGCGCAACTCTTCGCTAGAAAGGCAGAAGAAGTAGTGTTTGGAAGTAGAACAACATCTGGGGCCTCCACGACCGAACAAGTGCTAGGAACACAAGAAGCCGAAGTAGCAAGAAAAGTCTGGCGGATATCGACTATTGAGGAGCTAGAAGTGGTCCTGACACTACCGTTGGACGTGAAGTCCGTGGACCCCTTGTTAGCTGCGGATGCTTCTCATGTCCAAGACGGATTGGAAGGTGGTCCAATATCACCCTTGATAGCAGACAAGTTGCTAGACAACAGTAGTACAGAGAAGCTAAAGGCTTTGCTCAAGATCGCGCGGAATCTAGAGATGCCCATGTTTTCACAAACGCTGGCACGTACTCTACTTTTCGCAAAGTTGCCGAAGGAAACGCTGTCACAGAAGAAGCGAGATATACTCCTGTGTGTGGCGGATGTATTAACGCTAAATTCTTGATTTCAAGCTTGAGGAAAATGTAAATGAAATTTCTGACGGATGAATGATCCACTATTACCAAGAAGTACTATAATCCGTATCCATCCTGAAAAATCCTTACGCTTTGTAAATGTTGATGTGTGAAAAAAATAGCCGTTTCTTCGTCTCCACATCTTCACAGTTGCCCGGTCTCGCGGAGGGCGCCGTCATCGAGTTAGGGAAAGCGGAGCTTCACAAGGACGATTTCGCAGAAGTTTTGGGTTGCAAGAACATCGCTAGCGCAATTGACCGATCTGCAGAAGACGTGCATAAGACGATAACCCAAGAAATATCGCCCTATTTGACGCCGGCGTTAGATGCACTGACAGCCTTAGGTCTCGCATGTGCCAGAAGTATCAAGGTAGCAGCCGCGTGCCTGTTGGACGTGCTGAAAGCGAGCCCGATGCACATCAAATCGCTGAACGTGAAGCAAGACGAACTGGCGCAATTTTTCTTTGGTACCTCGACAACTACCTAGTATCTTCGTGTGATCCTAAAAATCGGTCCACTGGTGGATCTTCAATTTATTTCTGATTTTTTACCTAGTACTCAGTACCAAAGCAATGCCTTTTAAACACTTATTCCAAAAGCAAATCATTTCCATCAACATCCTCCAAATCAACACAGTTGTCGCCAAGGCTTATCAGCTCTACCGAGAAAGAGCGGACGAGGAGGGCTTGGAGGCGGGGCCTTTGCGCAAGCAAGTACTGAATGTGGCGGATCTCGTACTGCAAAAAGCAAAAATTGAAGAGTCAGGGGAGCTTAGCACTGGGTATATTTTGCTCTGGAGATTCCGAAGATCATCTTCCTTGATACCAAAGCCAATCAATCAAAAATTCGTCGACGTAAGTAGTTAAAAAGTTGTAACTATGTATGTACTCATGGTGCATTATCATTAAAAATCAGTAAACACAAACAATCATTAAAGTTAAACGAAGCTGAAACCTCTCGGTCTCATGATCCGTCAAGAACAATCAGGACCCTTTTCATTCTCTCTTCCCCCATTCCTTCCGACACAGTTCCCTGGTGAAGCTTCTCTTCTCCTCAGCATCGGTTGTGACGGACGTAGCGTTTGACGATATACCTTTGTCCGCTTTCCGCTTCTTCGAATCCGCCAATGAGGATCTACCGAGTCGCATTAGCGGAATGCCTCTATCGCAATTGCTCTGCTACACGGAAGGCTTGTTGTGCAAGAGCATCAATTTCCAGATGCGGTTGATGTTTGCGGGTGAATTTGCGCAATTGATAGCTTTTTGGGAACAGATGCTGTTGTCGCCGTCGAGTTCGTCGTTGGATGCGAAAGAAAGGGAGAGACGGAAACGAGAAGCGAATGGACCTATTCAAGGAACTTTATGAATTTCGGCTCATCAATCACATTCATCTCATACTCATTCTCATGGAAGTTCACCTTCTCATCACATGATTCTCATACTCTTACTCATTCTCATGGAACAAGTTCACCTTCACCCACTGGTATACAATGTGAAAGTAAAAGTTTTCGACCAATAACGACAAATAAATTGTGTTGACCTGCCTGATGAGGTTTCTTCCACCCCTTCTCTAATCTCCACTATCTCTTCTCGCAACGGCACGATCAAGATCATCCCTGGCAAGGTCATTCCTGGCGTGAAGAAGGACAAAAAAGAGGACGAAGAAGTCGAAGATGAGGTAACCAAGAAACGCCTAGAGATGGAAAGGAGACAAAACCAACTCTCACTGAAGCAACTTGTTTCCCTAGGTCGAGTCGTCGGCGACTTCATCCGCGAAGACCATCAGGGAGAACAAGAAGAACGAGACGCGGCAATCTTAGGCGGTGGAAATTTGTCTGATAACGAAGGAGGTGAAGACGACCAAGGTCTTGGTAGATCTACGTCAGCCAAGGTGAGTGCTGTTCCAGACGAGGCTTATGAAAGCTACAAGTCCTTTTGGGATGCCCTGACGACACGAGTCTTGAGAAGGCTTTCCAGGAAGAATCTCGACTTGCTAACTCGCGTAGAAACCATCGACTTCTTGCAATCAGCATTGCAGCCATGGCCAGTGACGTGTCGCGAAAAACTAGAACGACGAGTCCAACAACTAAATCAACCTGGTGGAGGTGGTTCTAGCTCTAGTTATGACAGAGGCGATCGGAGCGCAAGAAACCGAGATGGAGATGATGATGTTGACGAGAAAGACACTCTAGTGAGACCAAGAGATCATACGTCCGGACGAAGTGACGGACCATTGCGAATCGGTGGTGGTAGAGGAGGATACAACTATTCATCGAGAGGTGGCTACGGATATGGAGGTAGCAACTACGGTCGTCGGGGAGATAGAGATAGGGAGACGAAGGATAGGGATAGGGAAACGAAGGACAGGGAACGCGACAGGGAAACGAAGGACAGGGAACGCGACAGGGAAACGAAGGACAGAGAACGAGAAAGGGAACGAGAGAAGCAAGATAGGGAGAGCACTGCTACACCGGCCAACGCCTCTATCCGAGGGAACCGTGAAGACCGACACGCGGAAAGAGACCGTGCCCGCGAGCGCGACAGAACCGACCGCGACGAAGCAGGTAGGGATAGAGAACGAGATCGCGAGCGTGAGCGTGGCCGGGCTCGAGATCGAGAGAGAGCTAGGGCAGAGGAAGCTCTCTCGTCTAAAGGGGTTGATGTTCTTAATAGTCTCCCTCAGGCGGGCCAAAATGCTCCTGCGCAAGAAGATCATGAAGTTGACATGGATCTCGAAGAAGTGGATATGGACGTCGAGCGGGAGGAAACTAGAGACCGCGAACGACGTGGCAGAGATAGAGAACGTGCTAGGAGACGCGAAAAAGAAGAACTGCCAGAAGAAACTCACAAGAACTTCTGTGATAGACGAGGACACGACGAGACCGAACTAGCTGTACAAGATGAAGATGTTGAGCTACTAGAGGAACCTCCGAGGAAGAAACGTCGTGACCGTGATCGGGAACGCGATAGAGAGCGAGATAGAGGTAGACGACGCGATGAATAAAGAACGACTCACGTTTCGATGCGCTTCGAAATAGTAGTTCTAAATCATGACAAGGAGAAGTAAGCTAGCTGCTCTTCCTCCTCTGCCTCTTTATTTGCTCAACTTTCCGTAACACCAACAGACACCTCCCCGGTGTGGAAATTCTTCTGGTCATCCCATCAAATAAGCATCCTCTACTTACACTCATCGAAAATGCCAGCTTCGACCGGAAAATGTAAATCCATTCTTTTCTCAAGACATTTTGATTTTCACCTTTGAAATAATCCTGTAACAAGTGAATCCGAAAAAACAGCTGAAAGTGGAACCGAATATAAGCAACAATAAGAAAATCGAACGGAAGAACTACCGAGTTACTAGTAGTTGGTTCTGGATCGCTGAAACTTCATCTTCATAGTGGAAGAGACGGACTGATCAAAGATAGAGCTACATCTCCATTTGGTCCAGAGCGCAGTACAAGGATTGCTGCAGGAGCAGTAGTATGAGCATGGGTTCGGTATCCGGATCTAAGTTAAACACCTATAGATGAGCGTCGGATCTGTCAGTCTCGAAGTACGACTAAGATGAAGACATAAGTCGGTCTTGTTTCTCACGCTGTCTGTGTTCATGACGATGACCGTGAACAGAACGTCGGTTGATGCTCGCATATAATGGTTGTAATATTAATTTTGATCGGTACACCAGCACTACCCAAAATTCCCTGCATCCTCCTTCTCCAAGTGGGAATCTCATCGTGCCCAGAAGTAGAGTCATACTATCTTCTACAGTAGAAGTTCTACTCAGTTAATATCAAAGATGGAAGCTTTGGCTTTCATTTCTTTCTTTTTACGAGCGCGACTCTGCGCTAATTCATCGACGCTATATAGAATCGAGAAAGTCGTGCTTCTGGTCTATCCACCTAGTATGGAAGTATGTCATAGAAGATGAACACGAGCAATGGTTTAGGTACTAAAAACCTCCTGCTGAAATCATGTCATCCTCATGCTCATCTTCATCTTTGTCCCTACGACGGGGACCTCCGAGAACAGCGGAAAGGAAACGTCGGAACAAGATGCAACCTCGCTACTTCTTGCCACTCGTCCTCGTCTTTACATCAACATCATGTTTGACCACGTGTACAATTGCCGCAGTACAACAACTACATCAAGAAATAGCACAATACAACATTGGTCCCAATGGTGAAATCGAAGACTCTCAATTCTACTCCGAACCTGCTCATGAGCATGAGGACCACGTTCATCATGCTGAGGAAGGACAAGACGAAGTTTAAGGGTAGGTTAAAGGTGTTCGTTTTACCGTTCGTTTTGTCTTCCCGAACAAGGGGGAAAGACCTAACGAACGCGGTAAACGAACACCAAAAGCCTACCTCTAAGAAGTAGAACAAGAAGATGATCACGCAGCTGAGACTCCTCCTGGAGGAACTCGAGGCACTTCTTCTAGCACTTTGCTTCAAATCAACAACGTTGGCGCTGTGAGGCGGGAACAAGGTGAGGCCATTCAGTACAATTTACGTAGGGGAGATGAGCAAGAAATATCTTCGACTTTTTCACCTGGAACCGTAAGAGTTGAAGGATCAGGATTCCTGGAACCTGTAGCAGCCTACAGTACATCAAACTCACAACGATCAGCAGACATGTCCCTGGATTCGGCAGGAGACGCATCTTCAAACTCGCAACATCAAGTAGGAGAGGTGTTTCTGGATCCCAGCAGCACGAGTACCACGACAGTACCAGACAGCACCACATCGTCAATTTCGAACTCAACTTCTGCTTCGGTTTTTTCTTCGTTCATGACTGTCGAAGAGACGAAGAAGAAAGTCAGTCGCCTATCTTCTGACAAGAAGAAGAAAAAGATAAAAAAGAGTTTTGGCTCAGATTCGTCTGACGAGTCAACAGCATCCGATGCAAGCAGTGATGAGTCGGCGTCTTCGGTACTCTTTACTGTTGCTTTCAGTCTTCCTGTCGCTCTCCCTTCATACAGTTTTGTGATTTTTAGAACATAAGCTGTAGTGATGAAAAAATAAACAAAAACAATTTTTAAATATCCTTCACGTTCACCTTCACCAGTCTCGACGCAAGCGCCGAAAACGTCGACGTGATGACAGCGACAGTGATGAAGACGATACGGATCATCGTAGAAAAAGACGCAACAGCGACAGTGATGATACTTATGAAGGGATACCAGTGATTGTGTTTGTGGTCGTGATGACGTTGTAACACGAAAGTGACAATGTATGGTTCTGGTATTTGGTAACCTGAATTTGATCCTAAGGGTTCTCTTCTTGTTTTCCCTTAGGATCAAACTCAGGTTACCAAATACCAGAACCATTCAGACAACTCAAACTACATCAACAAAGCATACCCCCACATACGACAGACACGGCGAGCATCACAGCGATCATAACTTGTTCACAACAAACTTCTTTATCTTTTTCCACTACCTCTTTCTACATCAACAACGCTTACAACTTCTCTTCCCTTCCCCTTCTAATCTCTCCTGAAAACCGTGGGCGTTGCCGCAGCTGCGGGAGCGGTCGGTGTGGCTGCCGGCGCTGCTGCTGGTGGCGATGGCGACTTTTGGTTTTACAGCGGCAATGGTAATTCTTGCTGCGGGGGTCCTGGACACGGATTTGGCTTCGGCAACGGAGCTAACGGTGGAATGGATGACGCCATGTGCTATTTTCTTTATGAATGGGATGATTATTATAGAATGATCTATAGAACAAGAACGAATGTAGTAGGATGGACCTACCAAAATCCTTGGGTCCTACTCGAAATGCTTAGCGAAGCGGGGAAGTCCATCCGATCCATCCGGTCCATCCCATCCTGGACCGGGCACCCCTATAGATTGCTCTACTATAATTACACTTTTACATACTTTTTACATTGACATTGAGTAGAAGTTAGTACTACTAAAAGATTTCTTGTTCTGCAACAAGAACTTGCTCCAAGTACTTTTTATAAGTCAAACGTGTTTATCGAAGACCTTTGTCATTTTTGGTTGTTACTAGAAGGCAGGAAACTCACTTGATTTACTCTTTATAACTTTATTGATATTTTTTATTGTTTCCTCGCCTCCTCCAATGAACCAACCCTATGATAATGATGTGAAACCATTCACCTTTCATAAATCCTTCATCGGAATACCAATCTTGCTTTTTGCGTTGGTGCTGCTCTGCATGTGCATGAGCGACACGTGCGCTTTCGGGAAAACAGAGGTTTACTACACCTCCGGCGGACGAGGCGGATACAACTACAACTACTATCCGGAGGTAGAGGATGAGGATGATGAAGATAATGTTAAGGCTCAACTTTCAATGGTCATTGGAGTTGGTCACTGAGATGGTCACCATTGAGATTGGAGTCACTGAGATCTTCGAAGGGGCGACCTTCCCTTGAGAGGAGAACCAACAGGGGAAGAAACGAAGGGACGAAAGGGGAGAGCTTTGAAGGGGGTCTCTTCCGTTCAGAGTCATGATGACCATTGATGAAGGCTGAGCTTTAATAATGGCAGTTATGTTGGCGAAGAACATCTTCAAGACGATGATAGCAGTTACCTACCGTCACCCGGAACGGACAATTACCGCTACTACCCAGAAGACGACGGTGACGACGACACTTTATTGGTGTATCACAAATGAGAATAAGTAGGTACTTTTGAAAGATGATGGGGAGCACCATCCGTTTACTGCATGAACTAGAAGTAGAACATCTTACTGTTACTGCTGCTGGAAGAAAGAGTTGTCTACAAGTTGTTGAAAGCTGTGTTATGGTGGTGCATATGTATGTGACGAAAAAGAGAACGAACAAATTATATGCTTAGAGATTGAGAGGTCTATCCACATCAGGGCCACGAACTAAGTTCATATTACAGCATGAAAGGCGAGTTGTACTATGCAGAACTAAACAAAGACACTTCAACATTTACTGCATAGGACAGAAACAATATTCTTAGCAGAACTACTCCTCGATCAACATCAAGTAGATATAGATCATTTATTCCTCAACACTACTAATCGTTCGTGCCTTAATTCCTCAACACTGGCGTAGAACCAGTAGAAATGTATTAGGAATTTACAAATTCACACCATACAAAAATGTTGACGATCATAGTACCATTCGCCTTTCCGGTTAAAATATCGATAACCTCAACCCCAGGATTACTAATTATCTTTCCTCCGCTCTGCTCCTTTACTTCCGCAATCGATTTATTGTTGCTGAAGTTAGACAGCCACTCATGATCAATGGAGCTTCTACAGTTGGTGTTCGTCTTTTTTTTGCCTGAGGAGCAGAAGCAAGCTCCCACTAAAACATCAAGACCACTATGACTATGAAAACAAGGAGAGCATCAAGAGAAAGGGAGAGAGAGTCCGCATAAGATTGCGCTACTAGTGGTAGTAGTGAAATAAGTAAAAGACATTCTTATGTATGAGTATATGAACAAACTGAATACAAGTAGTAGTTACAGATGATTATTTTGGCATCAGCTATTCTCAGAGTCCTCAGACGAGTCAGACTCGATTGTTCTAAGAAAGAAGATTGACGAGCAAAATTCAGTCGTATCGAAGAAAAATAGAAATGTTGCTCGCATCCGCGTGCCGCGCTCCGCTCATGAGCAGAGGTCGCCTCTCTGCGGCGCCACAAACACGCAGCAGTTTCTTTACACATCATCTAGTACCTGGTTCAGGGAACAATATTAGATTACGTTTTTTTAGTGGTAGTACAACTACATTTGCATCATCAACGGCTTCTCCACCGATTTCGGCATCGGCATCTTTTGTTTCGTGTTCCTCGCATCCTACCTCCACTAGTGGAACTTCTTCCACCGCGCCGTCGTCTCCGAGAAACAGCAGCACATCACGTACTATATTAAGGCTCAGCTTTCAATGGTCACCATTGAGATTGGAGTCACTGAGATCTTCGAAGAGGCGACCTTCCCTTGAGAGGCGAACCAACAGGGGAAATAAACGAAGGGACGAAAGGGGAGAGCTTTGAAGGGGGTCGCTTCCGTTCAGAGTCAGTGACCATTGAGCGCTGAGCTTTAACGATAGTTCCCCACTCCACAGCCACAACGAATGTTCCCAGAAGTTTCTCCTCGACTTCAGCCGCGAACACTTCTAGCGCAGCAACCACGCCTGCTTCCGCGTTCTACTGCCTCTTTTACACGTATTGCGAAGGCATCCTGGAAAAGCGGGGTCCTTTTCGTCCAGGACATTTGGCTCTCGCAGAAGGCTTGTACAAAGAAGGCAAACTGGTACTTGGTGGGGCATTTGTTAAGGCTCATGATAATGATTTCTACTAACTTGTTCACAGACAGAGTATCTCGATCTTCTTCACATCAGAGTAAGAAAGTGCTTACACTTACTTATACTGCCTCAGACGATGACTGTGACTCCTTCTTGGATTCTGAGACTAGTATGTGAAGGTAGCAGATCATGGATCACTACTGCAAGCTCTAAATTCGGAGATCTCGGATCGGCAGCCGCCAGTGGAGAGGGTGGGCAGAATAACGATGCCTTGTTCATTTTTAAGGGGATGAGTCCAGATGAAATTGAGACAGAATTCGTGAAGAAAGATCCTTACGTAGCGAACAACTTGGCCATAGGATACCGCATCAGGCCATGGACAGTGCCTCCAAATATCGGTGGGGGAGCGTGAACAGAGTTTTTGATATTGAACAGATGTGATGTTTCAAATTTCATCACCAGATTTTGTTTCTGAATACTTAGGATGAGTTTCTTCCCACTGTGCAGAGTTCTTAATTGAAAGAGACTTGGAGTTTGCTTCGACAAGATGTTGGAGAACCGATTGTGATTGATATTAAGATAAACAAAAACAGAAACAATACATACTTTTACTTACTGTTGAAAGTAGAATGCGGCTTTATCTAGAACGCAGACGATGCACAAGGAACGCAGACGAAGATGAAGGAAGTTTCAGGAGATTGAATCCACCATCTTTCTGCATTTGATGCAGAAGTTTTTGGTCTTTTGAGTGAAAAGAGAGCGACACGACAGGATGCAACCGCACCAGAAAAGCTTGAAAAAAAGAATAGAAGACTGATTGAGACCGGAGGTGACCTATGTCTTCTCGAAAATTGGAAGCAGCTCGCTTGAAAGTGAGAGGGTCAATTTCATTCCAAACAAGAAGTAGCAGCTGTATCACGTGCACAACACACCGACCAAACAAATTTTTTGTCGATTCTTTCAATCAAAAATTCGAAGCGAAACTGTAAAGTCGCAGAGTAGGAGTACTCACAAATAAGAACCAAAGAAATGACTTCTTCGGTATCCGACGCTCGTGGCCTCGAGCCGTCGCCATCGCCAGTGGTACGCGTATCGCATCCTGACGGAAGCGACGCTCCTGCTAGTGAAGATGTAGATGGCACTAGCACCTCTAGTTCCTCTGAAGTAGAAGTAGATCAAGACGATGAAGAATCTGCTTCATCTCCTGGAGGTTCTACTCAAGGACGAGCGTCGAAAAAAAAGAGGGTCCAAGAAGCACGTCGAAAATCGAATATTTTTCGAGCCCCTGCTACGCCTGGAGATGAGTCCTTCCAACAGGATCCGGAGATAGCGGCGATCTTAGAGAGGCAAAGGAAACGGTATGAAAACGAATACAAGGGTCGACCAGAATTCTCGGGAGCAGGTGGACCCGGCGTTGGCCTTGGCGGAAGTGGTCAAATAATAGGTCAAGCAGGAGGAGTCGTGGGGAATGTTAAGGCTTCGGTTCTTTTGTTGTCGAAGTCGATCATAAAGAAGTTAGTACAAGAGGAAGAGAGGAAAATGGATCGACATGTTGTTGTTTGTCGCTCTTCTCCTTTCAAACAGGAGACCTTCTTCTAAGAAATAGCAGAAATTTGGAGGAGGTTTGTCTTCCTCTATAGATGACGTCTCCGCGCACCTAGAAAAAGTTGCTCAGCATGGGAGTAGCGGAGGCGGTGCTGGTATTGCTCACAGTCGAAGCACTGGCTTGAGACAATCAGCACCTCAACCTGGTACACACCAAGCACAGGTAGTAGAACGGAATGCAGCTACTACAGGAGCTGCCTCCTATACCTTTGGAGGATCAGCGCCGTCGTCTTCAACTACTGGAGGTGTCGGAGGAGGAGCTTACAACCCACCAGCGACAGTAGACGCAGGAGGATCATCAACCGCGCAGCCTTGGGCAACAAATCGGGATACCACGATTGCGGTACGTTAGGCTTTGTTACTCGTGATGCAGATAACAACAGTCAATTTCAAGAATAACAGAATCTCTCATATTACGACTATGCCTCTTGTTCTAGTTCTTGTTGCAGTTGTATCATCTTGCCATATCCTTCCACCAGACCCTCCGCAGACAACTTCAAGAGGAGCGTGAGCAGTATTTAGCAGCATTGAAACAGTGGCAGCAGGAACGAGGGAATTACCTCGAAGAAATCCGAACCAAGGACAGAGTCATACACCAACTCGAAGAAGAGCTCATTGAACGGCCCAGTCATAGGGATGTGGCTACTATGCGTACTGTGATGTTATACTACTGTCTTTTCCTATGTTCTTCAGTATCATGTCGTGTAAGTACTAGATTTACGTTCATCTTGATCTTATACTTAGTTGGACAGCACACGATCGAACGTCTCGCAATTGTTAACAGGCGCCGAGCTCCAACGAGCCAAGGACCCGCAAGGGCAGTTGAAGAGTGTATGGAAGAGGGGTGATCCCAGACAAATGATCGAATCTGATAAGCGGTTGCATGCCTTAAACCGACGTAGAAAGGCGAATGGAATGCCACTATTGGAAGAGCTAGATGGCCTTCACTTAAGTTATGACAGGTTTTGCTGAGAATCAAACGATTAGAAATTAAACCTGTCAGATTTTTTCGCATAAAATCAGAAATTTAGGTTTTGAAATTATAAATTCAGAATTCAATATGGGAATCAAAAATTCAAAATTTTCGATTTCACTGCGAGACCGTGCTGGCTTTGCAGCATTTTTGTACTTGGGCGCAAATTTCGGATTCTGATTTCCAACTTTTGATTTCCAAATATACCTAAATTTTTGGAATCAAATCTCATAATGTGATGCTGAGCTCTATGTTTTGTGGATGTGAATTGTGTTGTGTGTGGCAAATTTTAAGTGAGATTGTGGATGAGATGTTGTTTTGCAAAATAAAGTTGCATACTTATTTCAATCGCATAAAATAATTTCACAACCTCTACCGAACACAATGGACTCCCGTGAATCAATATACATCCCCACAGAAGCAACATCCTGATGACCCCCTTCATACCACACGCTTCACAACGAACGTGCTCATGCAGTTGAAGCTGTGTGACTTGCTGGAAGGCGAAAAAGCAGTGGAAATGCTATGTAAAGTGGTGGAGCGGAGTATGCCAAATCTCAGGTCGTTTGCTGAAGAGATTTATCATATAAATGTTATGCTGGGAAGATGTAGATGATGGCGTAGAAGTACACGTAAGTACTTCGACGATTTCTTGATGTTGTATCACTCGGGTTCATGTCGTGCAGAGGCAGATCATTGGGGCTGCGACGTTGTAGAAGTGTTGACTTTAGTACCTCACCGCCGATTAGAAGTGCAGGTGACAGAGGCAGACCCTCATCATTCAGATCAGATGAAGAGACGCACCTTTCTTCAGCACACCTTCCAACAATACCACTCTTCTAACCCCAGCGACGAAGACATAGAGCAGGACTTGCTAGTAAAGAAGGTACGCAAGTGGAAACTGGATAGTACAAGTCTAGATGAGTGGTTTTCGTGGTATGCAGACATGATCACGGTGTTGGCGCAGAGAAGCTCGACAGGGAACAAAGTCCTCGGGCAGCCTTCTATCTTGCACAGCAGCAAACTAGTGGACCAGGCAATAGACGACATTATTGTTATGCTGCTGTACTCGGTGTTCGTCATTTTCTCAATGTCATGGTCATCTGTTAGACAACACTTCCCATTTCTCGTCCGACTTAGTTCTTGAGTGTCGAGGAATTCTGAAGGCTTCCTCGGTGCTTTCTGTCTCTCTACCCTAGTCTTGTATGAATACAATAAATGAGAAAGACCACCTGAAGGTGATCGAATTCCCTGTGGTCTACTTCTCTAACATCTCCCGTGCTCATGATCCTGGCTTTGAGACTGATATTGTGAATAGGGTTGGTGCTGCTGGACCTCGCGAGAAGACGGCATTGGAACGCATGCGCAGAGACCGATACGGAATCCAGAAGACTCGGACCGATATCAAAATAGCTGTGGAATCGCTATTATGGTGAATTCCCTTTTAGGTGTAGTACTGGCTGGCGCTAGAAGGTGATGCTCATGGTGGGAAGATACGTCATTGTAGATGTTGATTTCTAGTATCTCAGCCTGCTCATACATTATTCTACATGATCACAACAGTCACAGTCACACGAATGAAAGTAGGTCATGCTCCTGATATTAAAAGTCAGTCACTCGTCTCTCTCCCTCTCGCTTCTCTTCTAACCTAAATCGAGTTTGAAAACACGATTTTGAAGACGAAGAAGTTCTTTGCCGAGGTGGACGAAAACTTGAAGTCGAGTCAAGACCTGACTGCGAAGATCGTCCGCCACTTCATGCAACTGTTCGATGTGAAAGACGTCGAGGGCGTCTTACCTGCGATGAACAGCGTTTTTGGGCGTTTGCATGAGCTGAAGAATTTTTGGAAGACCCTCTGCGTGGAGTTCAGACTCGATCCAGCTTGTCCACCCAGTCGTTTGCTCGAAAAAGTCATGTCCTCATCCTCGTCTGTGGAGATGGAGAAGAAAGTGATGATGACAACTACGAGTGGTAGTGCTGTAGGGGTTCACGAGAGTTCAAGAACTGGGAGAAGTAGTCAGGATGTTGTTGGAAGGACAAGGGATGAAGTAGAAGCAAGGGATGAAGTAGAAGCACGAAGGAAAAACCAGGAGTTGAGCATCGACGATATCTTGGAATCAAGTAGGCTGCAGGCAGGAGAAATGAAGCATGACACTGGGTGGACTGCAGGCACATTATGGTGAAGGGACGGATCATGATTAGTTTCTTGCGTTTGTCTTGATCGTATCAACTACTTAAAAGGTCTGGGTCTACTTGTAATATCTTAATACGAAGTATGCTCTGCCTGTGCCTCTGTCTACTTCTGACAAGTCATCGATGATCGTGATTGTAGTTGTGCTGTTTTCTGAGAAGAATGCGCCGTGGTCTCTTCTAAAGCGAGAATTCGGGGCAACAGCGTTATCAACAGAGCTTCGAAAGCTAAGCAAAGAAGCTGCAGCAGTACTCAGGAAACATTGATTCAGTTTTCAGCTCGATCACTCGTGGAAAAGCACAAGTGATCATTTTAGCATCTAGGAATTTGATCCATTATCGTATTTCTCGGCTCTTATCTCAAGCTTACCAGTCATTTTTAAGAACGTCTATCCCACTTGCACGAAAAGTACGGAACAGCGAAGAACAAATAAATGATCTGCAGAATACTTCAACTTCTCACGTCATGGTTAGCATCTACAGATGAAGGCTTTGTGATGCCAGTCGAGCGCTTTAGCAGTAAGTCCGGGGGAGCTCGATGTGCAGGACCCAGAGCCTAACCTGCTAACCTTTAGCAGTTGTAACAATTTTCTGACAAGATGATCTTTACTAGTAAGAACAATTTTCACTTTCAGTGCTGCATTCGCTTTCGCAGATCACTCCAAAAGAGATCTATTGGAAGTGATCCTGCGAGTATTTTTTGGGATTTCTTGATCCTGTGAGGAGCCTTCTTCGATGGACCCGATCTCCGGCACCTTTGTGTTCTTGAAGGAGAAGAGACTTGACAATGCGTTCCTCTAATTCGCTTCATCTGTAGAAAATGTTGAGACTTCACACGATTATTGTTCCATTTTCCTCTGCAAACCGTCGATCTGGTGCTCTAAATACAAATACTTATGTTCCAAAGAAATGATGTTTCCATGCACATGCATACGCGCAAAAAAGAAGCGGCAAAGATCTCGTCTTATCTACCATCAAAATATGATGAGCATGACTGCTGGTGTCTATTCGTCGCATTGTTCGTGGTTGTTTGTCGCATCGTTCGTGGCGCTTCTCGGCGTCGCGTTCGCTGGCACAACAGATGTGGCCCGCTGCGACACCGAGATAATTCAATTTCTCGACCAGACCCGTCGACCAGACACGTCGGCGAAGTCTCCTCCTCTGAACGGAGACGCAAATTTTGATGCTCCTCGCATTGGCTTCGGCGGATTTGAGACTCTGGATGTCCCTCTTCACAGCCTTTTCCCCTACCTTTAAGGCTAACCTTTCATTATGTTAAATATCCCATGATGTGGACTATGCGCTAAGGGGGTTGGTTTCCTGTTATTTTATATGGATAATTTCGAGGGGAAGTACTTAGAAAGGGAAGCCACTCGTCAACCACGGAAGATAGTGAAAAACTAGCGTTAATACCTGCAATGTTACTACCAAGAAGGAGTTTATCGCGACGGGAAGTTTTTATCCACTTCTTTTCTGGCGTCACGCGAAGATCTTTTAGCAAGATTGCACAGGGTAAAGGTGCTGCTTGATTCGGAAACTCCAGACATAGATGTGCCGACGCCGGAGGAGATTGAATTTGTGAGCGTCGCGGACTTGGACAAGGCGCTACGGAATACTCTATTGCGCGCGCTGCAGTCAAGGGTCGTGAAAGACGAGGTTGACTCAGGAAACAAGAAAGATCTGAACGCGTGGATTGCCGCGATTCGTGCCACAGAAAAAGCGAGTGCATTCGCAGAGGGAAGAGAAGACTTCGAAGAAAAGCAAAATGAACCAAACGGATTTTTGGAGGTTAAGGCCACGACATCGAATGATTCCGGGTCCGGCTCGTCGTCGTGTGAATCTCTTGACACAATACACACTCTGCAGCCGGCGTCACTTATGTTTGTTGTCCCTGTTGATGGTCGTTTGCCGGACAGCTCGACCTCGACGAGTGACGAGATGACTCTCGGATGGTTTCGGAAAAATCAAAGATACCAGCACCAGCAATTTCTGCCTGAAAACCTGCAAGAGTCGGTCTGGGCTCCGATGCTGGCCAAGAGTGAGTTCTGGATGCTCGTCCGAGCGGTGCCTCTTCTGCAAAGTCTGCTCAAGTATGAAGCCCTTCTGCTCACTTTTCCAAGCGAGGACACATTCGGATTTGCATCCGAAGACACGAGGACACCGACGAGGAACCTCCTTTGGGTATCCTTCGTTCTGTTGCACGAGTATCGGATCATCAATCCGGCACTGCGAGCTCTCGAGTCGATGGTCCTGACTGCGGTCGGGAAGCACCAAACGCGCAGTAAGGATTTATTTCCGCTTGGGGTGGAACAACAAATAGAACAAGAACAAGATGCTCTTCCGGGAGGACTGTGCCGTCGGAGACATTTTCATATTCATCTTACAGACTTCGTCGGCACCGGTCGTCAGATGCGCGTTCCATCGACTCTGGCAGCGGTACGAAATGCAGTTCAAGTTCAAAGCCAGACGAGAGTCGCGTCTTGTTTTGCTGAGGAAAAGGAAGTATCGTCCCTTGTTGAGGACCGAACCTCATCGTCGAACCAGGTTTCTGACATTGTCGAAGAGACCGTGACCACCGGTTCCAGCGTAGACCACGAACAGAGAACGACGAGTCCCGACAAGAGACGAGCGATGGACGAAACTCTCGTGATTGTCGCTGGTGGCTCCGTTTCTCGCAATGCACAGAGCGTGGTGCAAGCCCATTTGCACAGGTATTTTTCGACAGTAGATTCAAGATGCAGCCGCGCACACAACTACCAGGTGGCTGCACATCCTAGTAGAGCAGAAGTCACGTCGTTGATCGAGGGAGGCGATGAGTCATCTTCTGAAGTTGTTTTCGATTTTGAATTTGTGGTGTCTTCTCTATCTCTTGTTGCTCCTCCTGGGTTTGGTCTACAACTTCAGTTGCCGCGGAGGTTGCAGACGCATACTGGGGAATCTTCTGCACTCTCGCGGCAATCCACCTCCTGCTCGTTTTCAATTGCGCACTACAGCAGCTCCTTCGAGCACCGGCACAGCGGCACGGTCCTCGTACCGCAGTGGAGGTTGTTTGGACATTGGTGGAATACGAGTGACGAGCTGGTCAAATGCATTGACCGAGCGATAGTACGAGCAGACGCAATTATGATGGAAGAGGCGGAAACGATCATAGCAAAGAAGCCATCTCTCTCAGCTGTCGGGCCACCCGAGGACTCTCCCTTCTTGGGTCCTGTCGCTGCAACAGACTCTCGTCCCGTGCTGGGACCTGTAAACAAACATCCTGCTGTAACAAAATGCGATACAACTAGAGGAGATTCAAAAAAGATGAATCACCAAGAGGTCGCTTCGTGTGTCGCAGAGCAGTTTGTGACAGCGAAAAAGATTGTATTGGGAGAGTTCACAGAAGTCGAATTGATTCCGTATAAAGTTGACCGAGCCGCAGGAGTGAAGAAGGAAGTCAGCTCGTGAATCATATTTAGCGATGTCATGACAATGAACCGCACTTATGCTTGGACGACATAAGTAGAAGTACGTCTTTTTGCGTGTGCACGTCAGGCGTATGTGCTTGCTTGCTACGGACACAATCACAAAGCGAGTAGTTGATAATTGTATCGTGGTAAAGCAATGCTTTGGCCTGGTGGAAAAAAGCCATTCTCACCACTTCCCATGATATCATGTTTGCTGACGTGAACACTTTCTGCACTGCTGTCGCGAACAGTTTTTCACTAGGTGCGGCGGATCTGATCTTGTTCTGCGCATATCATATAGAGGCGTCAGAGATCATGATCAAGTGGCTAAGATACACCGGTCCTCGCGATTATAGTACTAGAGAGATATACAAGCTTCCCGATTTGTTTTGGCTTGATCTGATCCGTGCCTCAGTAGGGAGCATTTCTAGTACAGGGGGAACGTCGAAGTTTGGACTTAGAAGAATCCTCGGAGTTGTCGTTGATGTGTAACCCTACGCCTACCCCTAGAACAATGTTACTGTTAGTGTACTACTGTTAGTAGTCAAAAAATCCCCATCCTAAGGCTAACGTGATAGATTGTAGGAGCAACTTCTCTGTCGAATGCGAGTGAGTACTCAAAAAATGTCGAAATTGAGCGAGTATTCTTTTTGTATAGGATCTTCAGGGACCACAAAATCAGGTGGACGTGGAGATGAAAGAACATGTTTTACAGGAATTTAGTATACCATGAAGCTGTACAGCAGGACGTTTTCTATCATGAAGCACTAAGTATTAGAGTAAGAAGATAAAGTTAAAGACGATGATGGGTCTTTTTACAACGCCTGTAGTGGGTCTCGTTTTTTCCATGAGTTTTTACCCCTGGATATCTGCTATCCGAATGCGGTCCACATCATCTACGTCGGACGGGTTATTAAGGCAGTAGCTCACTACTAGAACGATTGGATCTAAGTGGGAGGGAAAGTACTAGGCAATTTCTTGAGTATGAGGAGACTTTTTCCTGTCGAGGACCGAAGAGCCATCTGCTTCCTAGAAAATATGATAGATCTGCTCTAAAAATGGTAGCAGACGAGTGCTCTGTGAGTGGTGAGGATATTTAAGGTTAGAGTGTTCAACTGGATGATGATCTGGATCGATGAGTATGTCTATCTGAATACACGAACAAACTGAATATACGCTGCTGCAGCATCTGGTGCTCAGGAAAGACACATCGGAAACCTGAAGAAGATGTACTTATCTATCTATGACTATGTTGTGGACTCAAATAAAAAGAAGAACCACATCCGCCCTCGTCTACAGCTGCTCTAAGATGTATCTCTGCTAGGAGTACGGCAAACAGATGCCACGCCTCAAGGGCTACTCCTTCCGTCTACCACTGCCTATGTTAGCTCCTGCAAAGAATGCTCAAGCCATAACCTCCAGTGCGCAGGACAAAATTAAGAAAACAATGATTTGGATATTATGGGTTTGCTTTACTCCGAGACCTCCGAGGACGGATACGTATTCAGTAACTAGGGAAGTTGCTCCTCTGGACCCCACGTGGCAAATATAGTGGGCTAGGAAGTTCCTCCTTACTGCAACAAGATTATTTTAGCTTCCTTGACTATTTTGAAAACGAGAAAGAGAGAAGAAAAACACTCAAGCAGCTTGAGAGGCTCAAAGAGTTGCAACGTCGAACGCGAACGAGAATAAGAGTGAGCGCTGTTTTTTGTTGTTGTTGCATTTTTTTAAGATGTGAAAGCGTTTACGCGTGTACAGTAACCCGAGGCCATACCTGGCTCAGCCCGCCAGAGTAGCAAGCCAAGCCACGAACCCGAGAGGGCTCGCCGCTGCCGTTTCCGCCGCGAGCCCGATTCGGTTCCGTCTTGCATGCTTCGGACAAATCAGCCCCGCGAACCCGAGCCCGAGCCTGGTCTCGCGAGCGCGGCTCCTTGCGGGCCCGGCCCCGTGCCAGCCCAGCTCCGTGCGGGCCCGGCCTTGTGCGGGCCTGGGCCATAACGTGCCCCGCCCCGTGCGAGCCCAGCCGGCATCGCCGGCTCCGTGCGAGCCCGAGCCGGCCCCGTGTGAGCCCAGCCCCGTGTGAGTCCAGCCATGTGCGAGCCCAGCCCTGTGCCAGTTGAGGTGGGCCCCGTGTGAGCCTGTCCCCGCGCGAGCCCGGTCCCGCCGGATCTGTGCGAGCCCAGCCGGCCCCGCGTGAGCCCAGCCCCGTCTCTTCGAGCTCAGCCCCGTGCGAGCTCAGCGGGCCCCCTGCGAGCCAAGTGGGTCCCGTGCGAGCGTGGTTCCATGCGAGTCCAGCCGGCCCCGTGCGAGCCGAGCGGGC